TGGGTGCTATGAGGAGAAATGAAAGGACAAGTGGAAAATTGAACGTGTTTAGGTAAAGGACTGTTCAAGCTGCAAATGACTCCAGTGGCGCCGGAACAAGCAAATGCAGCCAAGTCGTCATGTCAGGGGGGGCCAAGTCATTAGCCTCTGGCACCTTCGGCTTGGCCACATAGGTCTCGATGGACTCAATTGCATCGTGATCGAAGAACGGTATTGGAATTGGCATCACATATCTTCGGTGAAGAAGTGGGACGTGTGTGAAGGTTGTGCTCTGGGAGGGAAAACAGACTCGAGTGCGCTTCAATCAAATCACTACAGCTCGCACCTCCAAACTTCCTCCAGTGATTCACAGGCGTTACGTATGCGGACCGATGTCGATGGCAACTTTCAGTGGAAAACGGTACTTCGTGACATTCATTGATGACAAGTCAAGATACTGTGTCGTCTATCTGCTCAAGAGCAAATCTGAAGTTGCGGCGGAGTTCATGGAATACGCTGCGATGGCCGAAACGCAAACCGGAAAGCGCGTGAAGTACCTTCAAAGCGACAATGGGGGTGAATACAAGTCCGACAAGCTGGCACGATTCTGCGCGGAACGGGGGGCCCACAACAAGGTTCACACACCCATATACTCCTCAGCTAAACGGAGTGGCTGAGAGAATGGATCGCATGCTGGTCGAGTGTGCGCGCGTTGCATCGATGGAACACGCTGGACTGGGAAAGAGCTACTGGGGTGAAGCAGTGATGACGGCGATGTTTCTTCGAAACCGCTGTTCCCAACACGTGCCATTCACCAAGACAAAGTCTCCATATCAAGTGTGGACGATGAAGAAACCGATTCTGGCCAACCTTAAAGTGTTTGGATGCCACGCGTATGTTCAAGTGCCTCAAGACAAACGCGCGAGGTTCGACTCAAGTCATCACTCTGTCGTTTCCTGGGATACGCCGAACACCAGAAGTCATATCGATTTGAGGAAGTGTCAACAGGAGCGATCAAGATCAGTCGCGATGCCACATTCATGGAAGACAAGTTTGATGAAGGTCCGCGCGCAACTACAACGATGAGTCAAGTGTCGTTGAGTTTGATGATCATGATGAGGACGAACAAAAAGAAGAAGGTAAAACTGACGACGACATGGACTCGAGCGACGATGACAACGAAGACACCAGGTCTTCGAAGAGCAACATCAAGAGACACACGCGCACTCAATCACTTGAGAAAGCTACCGTCATTCAAGTCCCAAGCGAAGAACATACAGAGTCCGTCGCTTGAGCATGTTTCAGCGGCTGCAATGGATTTTGAAGCAGCCTACATCGTTGATTCAGTGGGGAAACGCCGACTACATTCAAGTCGGCGATGGAATCAAGCGACTCCGGCAAGTGGAAAGAAGCGTGTGACTCGGAGTTCGATTCGCTTCAGAGAAACGACACGTGGGAAATCGTGCCTCTTCCGAAAGGTCGCAAGGCCATCGGGTGCCGATGGGTTTTTCGTGTAAAAAGGAGAATCAAGATGGCGAAGTTGAACGTTTCAAGGCAAGAATAGTTGTGGCCAAAGGATTCTCACAGAAATTCGAGGTTGACTATGAAGAAACTTTCGCACCGGTGGCCAAGTTCACATCGATTCGTGTGGTGCTCAGTATGGCGGCCAAGTACGGCCTAATGCTACATCAGATGGACGTCAAGACAGCGTTTCTTAACGGCTCCCTCAACGAAGACATCTACATGGACCAGCCGGACGGATACCTGGATGCAACACAGCCGGACTATGTGTGCCGAAGCTAAAGAGATCACTCTACGGCTTGAAGCTAATCGCCTCATGTGGAACCAAACAATCGATGGGTTCATGATCAAGATGGGATTCAAGAAGGTGCGAATCCGGACCACTGCATCTACATCAAGCGAGACGACCAAGACATGATTCTCGTGGTGCTCTACGTCGATGATCTCATCCTGGCCAGCAGCAACAACGAACTCCTCAAGTCAATGCCTAACCAAGATGGCGCTGAGCAAACGCTTCGAAATGACGGATCTCGGTGAGCTCGATTACTTTCTCGGCATGGAGATCAAGAACGACCGTAAGACGGGAATGGTGACTGTACAACAAACCAAGTTTCTCAAGTCCGTGTTAACCTAAGTCCGGAATGGATAACAGCAAGCCAGTGAAGACGCCTCAAGATCCCGGCCTGAAGCTAACCAAGAACATGTGTGAACAAGAATGCAAGCACGACACACCATGTGCAACGTGCCATATCGAAGTGCTGTCGGAGGCATCATGTATCTCATGGTCGCCACACGTCCGGATCTAGCTGCTGCAGTGGGATCATTATCCCAGTTCTCGTCCGACCCATGCCCGACTCACTGGCAGCTTTGTTTGAAGCGTGTGCTGAGATACCTGCAAGCAACGCCCAATCATGGTCTTGAGTTTACACGTGAAGAAAGGAAGCCATATCTGCGGGTACACCGACGCAGACTGGGCCGGCGACATTAACAAGACGAAGTACAAGCGGCTATGTGTTCATGATGAGCGGAGGATGCCATCAGCTGGAAAAGCCAGAAACAACGGACGGTCGCGCTCATCTTAAAATGTAGCAAAATCCGTGGCTTTCGAAGCAACCAAAGAAGCAGTATGGCTCAAAGTGCTTTTGGGGAACTTGGTGAGATGACAAGCGACGAAGAGATCAAGATGTATGAAGACAACCAAGGATCAATCGCTCTCGCCAAGAACCCCGAGTTCATAAGAGAGGACAAAACACATCGACATACGCTACCATTTTGTGCGTGAGAAGGTGGAATCAGGTGAAGTCGTTTTGAGTATTGCCCGACTTCAAGATATGCTGGCAGATCATGATGACCAAGCCGATCGCCGCTGTACAATTTGAAAACATTCGCGATCGACTTGGGATCCAAGGTGCCGCAGCTAACGAGTCGAGAGGGAGTGTTGAAAAGACAGCGGCTGTGAAGAAGACACCTCGTCAAGCTGCGTCAAGTGTTGAAGCAAGTGGAAGACCAAGCTTCGCTATACCGGTGGGTACCGGTATGTACCAGTAAGGGCGAGTCAGGAAATGACGTCACTGGATGACGTCATTGCATGACGTCAGTGGGTGACGTCAGTGGGTGACGTCACTGGATGACGTCACTGCGAATAATAATAGGCTTAGAGGTAGTATTCAAAGTTGCGAACTAAGTACCTATTATAAATATATATTCACTTTGCGTTTTGCACTCGGACCAAGAAGTCTAAAGTTCATCAAAGTGTGTGCCAGCGAGATATCGTGATGAGCTTAAAAACGTAAATAATATATATTTATAAAGGACTTAGATCAGAAAAAAAAATATATATTTATAATAATATCTAAACTTGAATACTACCTCCTAAGCCTACAACAGTGACGTCACCCACTGACGTCACCCACTGGCAGTCATTTCCTGACTTCGCCCCTTACTGGTACATACCGGTACCCACCGGTATCCCAAGCGGTCTTCCACTTGTACTTCAACTTGGCAGCTTGACGAGGTGTCTTCTTCACAGCCGCTGTTTTCAACCACTTTCCCTCGACTCCTTAGCTGTTGCCCAGATCCCAAGTCGATCGCGAATGTTTTCAAATTGTACAGCGGCGATGCGGCTTTGCACATCATGTCTGCCCGTATCTCGCGCAAAAATAACGACCACCTGGTTCCCCTACACAAAAGGTCGCGTGGCGTGATACGGTGTTTTTCTCTTATGGAATCCGGTTCTGGCGGAGAGGATTGATTTGGTGTCAAATCAATTACATAGATCGCTTCGTCCTTAACATCTCTGCAACCCCAAAGCGAGCTGCTCTTATTGCTATCGCACCATGTATTCTGCTTTTGCTGAAGATAGCGCGCCCGTCGGTTCTGTCTTTTTCCAGCTGATGCATGACATTATCTGCGTCGGTGTACCCGCAGATACGGCTTCCTTCTTCGCGTGTAAACTCAAGACCATGATTGGGCGTTGCTTGCAGGTATCTCAGCACACGCTTCAAAGCTTGCCAGTGAGTCGGGTATGGGTCGGACGAGAACTGGGATAATGATCCCACTGCAGCAGCTAGATCCGGGACGTGTGGCGACCATGAGATACATGATGCCTCCAATGGCACTTCGATATGGCACGTTGCACATGGTGTCTTCATGATTGCATCCTTATTCACACATGTTCTTGGCCAGCTTGAGTCCAGGATCTTGGGGTGTCTTCACAGGCTTGCTGTTATCCATTCCGAACTTGGTTAACCGACTTGAGAAACTTGGTTTGTTGTACAGTCACCATTCCCGTCTTACGGTCGTTCTTGATCTCCATGCCGAGAAAGTAATCGAGCTCACCGAGATCCGTCATTTCGAAGCGTTTGCTCAGCGCCATCTTGGTTGACTTGAGGAGTTCGTTGTTGCTGCTGGCCAGGATGAGATCATCGACGTAGAGCACCACGAGAATCATGTCTTGGTCGTCTCGCTTGATGTAGATGCAGTGGTCCGATTCGCACTTCTTGAATCCCATCTTGATCATGAACCCATCGATTGTTTGGTTCCACATGCGAGGCGATTGCTTCAAGCCGTAGAGTGATCTCTTTTAGCTTGCACACATAGTCCGGCTGTGTTGCATCAGGTATCCGTCCGGCTGGTCCCATGTAGATGTCTTCGTTGAGGGAGCCGTTAAGAAACGCTGTCTTGACGTCCATCTGATGTAGCATTGGCCGTACTTAGCCGCCATACTGAGCACCACACGAATCGATGTGAACTTGGCCACCGTGCGAAAGTTTCTTCATAGTCAGCTCGAATTTCTGTGAGAATCCTTTGGCCACAAGTCTTGCCTTGGAAACGTTCAACTTCTGCCATCTTGATTCTCCTTACACGAAAAACCCATCGGCACCCGATGGCCTTGCGACCTTTCGGAAGAGGCACAATTTCCCACGTGTCGTTTCTCTGAAGCGAATCGAACTCCAAGTCACACGCTTCTTTCCACTTGCCGGAGTCGCTTGATTCCATCGCCGACTTGAATGTAGTCGGCGTTTCCCCCACTGAATCAACGATGTAGGCTGCTTCAAAATCCATTGCAGCCGCTGACACATGCTCAAGCGACGGACCTCTGTATGTTCTTCGCTTGGGACTTGGAATGACGGTAGCTTTCTCAAGTGATTGAGTGCGCGTGTGTCTCTTGATGTTGCTCTTCGAAGACCTGGTGTCTTCGTTGTCATCGTCGCTCGAGTCCATGTCGTCGTCAGTTTTACCTTCTTCTTTTTCTTTCGTCCTCATCATGATCATCAAACTCAACGACACTTGACTCATCGTTGTAGTTGCGCGGACCTTCATCAAACTTTTCTTCCACGAATGTGGCATCGCGACTGATCTTGATCGCTCCTGTTGACACTTCCTCAAATCGATATGACTTCTGGTGTTCGGCGTATCCCAGGAAACGACAGAGTGATGACTTGGAGTCGAACTTCGCGCGTTTGTCTTGAGGCACTTGAACATACGCGTGGCATCCAAACACTTAAGGTTGGCCAGAATCGGTTTCTTCATCGTCCACACTTGATATGGAGACTTGTCTTGGTGAATGGCACGTGTTGGACAGCGGTTTCGAAGAAACATCGCCGTCATCACTGCTTCACCCCAGTAGCTCTTTCCCAGTCCAGCGTGTTCCATCATGCAACGCGCACCTCGACCAGCGTGCGATTCATTCTCTCAGCTACTCCGTTTAGCTGAGGAGTATATGGGTGTGTGAACCTTTGTTGTATTCCCCGTTCCGCGCAGAATCGTGCCAGCTTGTCGGACTTGTATTCACCCCCATTGTCGCTTTGAAGGTACTTCACGCGCTTTCCGGTTTGCGTTTCGGCCATCGCAGCGTATTCCATGAACTTCGCCGCAACTTCAGATTTGCTCTTGAGCAGATAGACGACACAGTATCTTGACTTGTCATCAATGAATGTCACGAAGTACCGTTTTCCACTGAAAGTTGCCATCGACATCGGTCCGCATACGTCGCTGTGAATCACTTCGAGGAGTTTGGAGGTGCGAGCTGTAGTGTTTGATTGGAAGCGCACTCGAGTCTGTTTTCCCAGAGCACAACCTTCACACACGTCCCACTTCTTCACCGAAGATATGTCGATGCCAATTCCAATGTTCTTCGTCACGATGCAATTGAGTCCATCGTGACCTATGTGGCCAAGCCGAAGGTGCCAGAGGTACGACTTGGTGCCCCCTTGACATCCCGACGACTTGGCTGCATTTGCTTGTTCCGGCGCCACTGGAGTCATTTGCAGCTTGAACAGTCCTTTACCTTCACGGGCACCAATTTTCCACTTGGTCCCTTTCGCTTCTCCATAGCACCCATCCTTCGTGAACGTCACTGGGCCGACATCCTTGGTGAAGCGGCCGACCGAGAACAGGTTTCTGGATAACTTTGGGATGTGCCACACGTTTGTGAGCACACCTTTCTTCATCCCTTGGGGTGTCTTCATCGACATGACAATGTCCCCACTGCCGATTGCTTGGACGATTCCATCATTCGCGAGATGGACATCCACAGCGTCAAACCCCTTGTAGTTCCGCATGAACTTCTTGGAGCACGTCATGTGCTGCGTCGCCCCGGAGTCGACCAGCCAGATGTCGCTCGATTTCGCGAGATGTCGTTTCACCGATCGAAAAGAGGTAGTCGCCCGAGTCTTCTTCTTGAGCGACGTTTGCACGTTGTGATCGATAGCGGTCGCCGCTGTCTTGAGCACGCTGTGGCCGGTGTCTCTCCGTGTTTTCTTGGATGCGCGAGGGCGCTCCGCCATCCAGTGACCAATCTTTCCTGGAATTGTGGCACGGCCAGGACTTCTTCACTGGTCGCCCTTTGCGCTGATTGTCCCTTGTGATGAACGCTTGACCTTGCGAAGCTTCATCACCTTTACTTCCTTGCTCCTTCCGCTTCATTTCTTCATGAAGCAGTCGAGACGTCACGAGCTCCCAGCTAAGAGTGTCTGAGCGCGACTCCAAAGCTGTGATCAAGAATTGATACGAGTCACTCAGGCTGCCGAGGAGTGTGATCACCAGATCGTCCTCGCAGACTGGAGCCCTCACCGCTTCTAGCTGTTCCGCCAGCGTCTTGAGCTTGTTGATGTGTTCGAGCACATCGTCGCCTTCTTCCATCATTGTCGTGAAGAAGCGACGGCGCAAGAACAGCTTGTTGGCAAGACTCTTCTTCTCGAAGTGGTCTTCCAACCTTGACCATGCGTCGCATGCACCACTTGCTCGACCGGACCAACGGTAGCTGGGAATCTTCCATGGCTAGACAGATCACTGCCATCGCCTTTCTTGACTTCCTCTTGTACGTCGCTTGGTCCAACTGAGTCTCGCACTGTTCCGCCTTGATCTCACCGCTGACGACCTCCCATAGGTCCCGTTCCTCCAGCACCATCTGCATCTTGAACTTCCAGGCGTGGAAGTTAGTTCCATCGAACTTGGAGATGCGGAGGGAGGAGGCGTCCATGGCAGCTAAGCTTGAATTGTTGGCGGTTTCAGAGTCTGACGAACTTGGGCTCATAACCTGATGAACTTTAGACTTCTTGGTCCGAGTGCAAAACGCAAAGTGAATATATATTTATAATAGGTACTTAGTTCGCAACTTTGAATACTACCTCTAAGCCTATTATTCGCAGTGACGTCATCCAGTGACGTCACCCACTGACGTCACCCACTGACTGTTGTAACTTGAGCGCGAGGCGAAGAGAAAACGAAGCGGAGAGACCGGAGAGAACGAAGCAGAGAACACTTGCTCACTTGAGGGAGGATTCGAAAGTGATTGATTTATAGGTCTTAACTTCTGCCTACCCTAGACTGCATCCAATCACATGGTGCATCTAATCAACCTGATTTACACGCGTCCAATCATCCTACGCGTCTAATCATCTCTGAGGTAATTACCGATGTAAAAACTATCTCGTAAGAACTACGCGCTAGGTTCGGATTGTACCGGTAGCCCTCAATACGCCCCCTCAATCCGAACACGCACGGATGCCAAGCGCCGCCGTCAAGTCCTTGTGACGCGGTCCGTGAAGTCCCTTCGTCATGATGTCCGCCAACATCAACGTCGTCTCGCAGTATTCAAGCTTCACTTCGCCGCGCTTGACTTCATCACGGATGTGATGGTACTTGATGTCGATGTGTTTAGCGCGGCCGTGGTTGACCGGATTCTTCGTCATCTTGATGCACGACTGGTTGTCTTCACGGATGACGAGCTCGGGTCCTTCTTCGTTTGCAGCCGCCATGATCTCGCACAGCAAGCGATTGATCCACTTGCCTTCTTGGATCGCCAGGCTGAGCGCGATGTACTCCGCTTCGCTTGTAGACAGTGACACACTTGGCTGTTTCTTGCTGCCCCAACTCACCGGAGCACCCAATAGCATGAAGACGTAGCCGGACGTCGATTTGCGATCAGCAAGGTCACCGGCCCAGTCTGCATCTGAATAGCCACGAAAGTCGATCTTCGCACTTGGCTTGTAGCAGATTCCATGCATCTTGGTGCCTTGTAGGTAGCGGAAGATGCGCTTGACTGCAACCCAGTGTTCTTCTTGGGGTTTCTCCATGAACCGTGACACAAAGCTTACAGCATAGGCGATGTCCGGTCGCGTTGCAGTCGTCAGATGCATCAAAGCACCCACTGCTTCACGGAATGGGACATCCACCTTGCTTGCAGAGTTGCTTGGAACCAGTCGAGAGCTGACGTCCACCGGACTTGCCACAGCCTTGCACTCATCCATTCCAAAGCGCTTGAGGACATCGTCGACATAACGGCGCTGACACATAGTCACGCTGCCATCTTCACCGTCCAATAACTCGATCCCAAGAACAAAGGCACACTTGCCGCTGTCCGTCATCTCGAAGCGTGTCTTGAGGTCGTTCTTGGTGCGCGCAATCATCTCGAGCGAGCTTCCAGTCACCAAGACATCGTCCACGTAGACCAGCACAAAAACACAATGGCCTTCCGAAGTCATGATGTAGAGACATGGATCGAATCCTGACGCTTGAAAACCAATCGAGCGTATGAACTCGTCGAAGGTCTCGTTCCAAACACGCGAGGCTTGCTTGAGACCGTAGATCGCCTTGATCAGCTCGAGACAGTCGAAATCACCTTCCATCTTGACGCCTTCCGGAACAGCGCAGAACACCTTCTCCTTCATCACTCCATACAGGAACGCAGTCACCACATCGAGCTGGTCGAGGGGCCATCCAAAGTGCTTGGTAATGGCGATGACCATTCGCAGCGTCACATACTTGACCACGGGTGAGAACGTCTCCGTGTAGTCGATGCCATACTTTTGGCGAAAACCCTTGGCCACAAGTCGTGCCTTGTATTTCTCGATCGACCCATCCGCCTTGCGCTTGATCTTGAAGACCCACTTTGTGCCAATGGCGCTTTGTCCGTTGGGTAACTTGGCCGCACGAAAGACACCGCGAAGCTTCATCGAATCGAGCTCCGCATCAATTGCCTTGCGCCAGTGTACTTGGTCCGGGCCAGACACTGCTTCTTCAAATGTCGACGGCTCCGAAAAATCGACCGCTGCTTCGACGGCATTTGCACTCGCATGCCAAAACGCGGAGGAAGTCGGTGTGTCATGTTGTTCCTCCGACTTCCTTTCTTCATCTTCGTTGGCTCGACGTGAAGAGAGGTCATCCGGCGCACTCGACTCTTCCAATCCGGGTCGTTGGCGCACTGCTCGGGGCATGCTTGCGTCGTCATTGTCGTGACTGGGTTGGGCCTTGCGCTTTCCTGTTTGTTTGAAGTGTCTCGGACGCGGTTCTTCATCATCAAGATCGATCGATTCGAAGTCCAGGCCATCAACATCGTCATCGGAAATCAGCATCGACATTCCAAAGGCCGACTCATCGAAGTTGACATCGCGACTTATCATCACCTGCCCCGCTTCGATGTCGTAAACTCGATACGCCTTGGACACTTCTTCGTAGCCCAAAAACAATCCAGCCCGGGCCTTGGGATCCCACTTGAGTCGTTTCTCCTTCGGGGTCAAGATGTATGCTTGGCACCCAAAAACGCGCATGTGCTTGACACTTGGCTTAGAATTGTAGACAATCTCGAACGGTGTCTTGTGTGGAATCTTGGGTGACGGCAAACGGTTCTTCACATAGACGGCCGTCATTGCCGCTTCAGCCCAGAAGCACTTGTCCAACTTGGCATGATGGAGCATGCTACGACCGATGGTGACGATAGTTCGAATCGCGCGTTCAGCAGTTCCATTGGCTTGATGTGCGTATGGCACCGTGGTTTGTTGCTCGATGCCTTCGACTTCGTAGAAATCTTGAAGCGAGTTCGTCGCAAACTCGCGGGCTCCATCGTGTCGCACAAATTTGACCTTCTTGTTGAACTGCGTCTGTATCATCGTGATGTACTTCTTGATGCACTCTTCGCTCTCTGACTTGGAATGCAGACAAAAACCCTTCATGCATCCGCTGGATTCATCCACGATCAGCAGCAGATACTTGCTGCCACCCAGAGATTTTTCTTCCATGGGTCCGCAGATGTCGAAGTGAAGCATCTCGAAGGTGTTGTAGGTGCGCTTGTCACGGTTGCTCGGGAATGGTTTTTGGACCATCTTCCCTTCTTGGCATCCTCGACACACACTTGATCCATTCGGCTTGGAAGGGATGTGAGCGTCCTTGATCATGTGGCTTGTCACCATCCTGCGAAGCACGTCGACTGGAGCATGGCCCATTCGCGCATGTAGATCAACAGCGTTGCTGAGTGATGTCGCATTGGCCGATCGCTGCGTCGTGCGAAGCCAGTAGAGTCCGTCTACAAGATCCGCAGCTGCCACCACTTGATTGGAATCCTTGCGAGCGACGTACATCGTATCCCCGTCAAACACCACTTGGAAGTTGCCGTGCTTGTTAATCTGCGGCACCGAGAGCAGATTTTTGCTCATGCTGGGCACATAGAGCGCGTTCTTGATCTCGATCTCGCGCTCTTCCCCGTTTGGCAGAATCACCTTTTCCACGATGGTCCCCACACCTTTGATGGCCGCCTTGTTGCCATCAGCCAACAGGATCTCGCCATCATTGCCTTCAACCAAGCTTGCAAACTTGAACTTGTCGTGGCAGATGTGATGTGTTGCCCCGCTGTCAACGGCCCACATTCCTGGTCCATTCTTGTTCGTCGAAACTCCGCATTCAAACGAAACTGCAAACGCCACTCGATCGTAGCCATTGCCTTCATCATGATGTCCCCACTGGACATTGTTAGCCCCGCGTCCACGACCATTGCCGCCGCGTCGGGCTCCCCGACCTTCGTTCTTCTGCTTTGTCCAGCAACGATCCACCGTGTGTCCCACCTTGCCGCAGTATGTGCATTGGTAGGACTTGCGCTCGGTACTGAATGCCTTTGTCGCATCTTCAGTCTTCACCGTTGTCGTTGCCGTTGTCATCTTCTCGCCTTGTCGCTTGATGTGCTCGTTAGTCAGCACCTTGACCACATCTTGCGTGCGCAGCTCTGCATTGCTCATCTCCAAGTTCAGAACCACGTTCTCGAAACTCTTCGGGAGACTGAGCAGCAAGCAGATCGCAATGTCTTCGTCTTCCATCTTGGCACCGATGCTGCTGAGCTTGGCGCCGATGTTCAAGACTTCGTTGCAATGGTGCAAGACGTTGGCACCTTCCGCCATCTTGATGCTGAACAGCTGGCGCTTGAGGTAGATGCGTCCCGCCTTCTGCGACCCACCATAGAGCATCTTCAACCGCGACCACGCTGTCCATGCTTCTTCACAGTTGTCGACCACATGGTGGTAGTCGGCGTCCATGTGGAGCAACATCAACCCGAACGCGATGTTGCTCGCCTTGACGTACTCGTCGGAAGCTCGCGTGTCGGTGAAGGTTGGAGACGTTTCGCGGTTCACGACGTACCAGACTGACTTCGTCAGAAACACGCCGCGCATGTAGCGACACCAGGTTGAGTAGTTGTCCCCATCGAACTTATCGATGGAGACACTGGCCGAGGTGTTGTTGGACGACATGGCGCTTGGGCTCATAACCTGTTGTAACTTGAGCGCGAGGCGAAGAGAAAACGAAGCGGAGAGACCGGAGAGAACGAAGCAGAGAACACTTGCTCACTTGAGGGAGGATTCGAAAGTGATTGATTTATAGGTCTTAACTTCTGCCTACCCTAGACTGCATCCAATCACATGGTGCATCTAATCAACCTGATTTACACGCGTCCAATCATCCTACGCGTCTAATCATCTCTGAGGTAATTACCGATGTAAAAACTATCTCGTAAGAACTACGCGCTAGGTTCGGATTGTACCGGTAACCCTCAATACTGACGTCATGCAATGACGTCATCCAGTGACGTCATTTCCTGACTTCGCCCTTACTGGTACATACCGGTACCCACCGGTATAGCGAAGCTTGGTCTTCCACTTGCTTCAACACTTGACGCAGCTTGACGAGGTGTCTTCTTCACAGCCGCTGTCTTTTCAACACACTTGGTCCATTCGGTTTGAAAGGGATGTAAGCGTCTTTAATCATGTTGCTTGTCACCATCTTGCGAAGTACGTCGACTGAAGCATGGCCCATTCGCGCATGGATATCTTCAAATTTCAGCCGCGAAGTAGCAATCACAGATCGTTGTGATGTGCGAAGCCAGTAGGGTCCATTCATAATATCCGCCATCGCCACCACTTGCTTGGAGTCTTTGTGCAAACTCTTTATCTCACTTTTATCAAACACCACTTGGAACTTGCCGCTTTTGTTAATCTGGGGTATCGACAGTAGGTTCTTGTTCATGCTTGAGACATTAAGTGCATCCTCGATTTCAACTTCGCGCTCTTCACCGTTTGGTAGGACCACCTTTTCGACGATAGTCCCAACTCTATTGATCGCAGCCTTGTTTCCGTCTGCAACCAGCACATCACCTTCATTGCGCTCGTCCAGAACTTCAAACTTGGACTTTTCATAGAAGATGTGGTGCGTTGCTGCTGTAAATCGCCCACATTCCCACCATGGTCTTGGCTGTCGAAAGCTCGCATTCCAGCGAAACAGCAAACGCCACTCGATCATGGTCGTAGTGTTTGCCGTTGCCGTTGTAGCCGTGCCATTGGACTTGATTTGCTCCGCGTCCACGAGCCCAATGGCACGGCCCTTGTTGCCGCTGCGTCGATCTCCTCGGTCGTCTTCCCTCTGTTTGGTCCAGCACTTTATCACCATGTGCCCCAATCTTCCGCAGAACGTACATTGACGGAATTCACGCTCGTGCTGAAGGCCTTGGTCGCTTCTTCAGTCTTCACCAATGTCGTCTTGTTTTGTTGTCTCTTGATGTGCTCATTCGTAAGCACTCTCACGACGTCTTGCGACCGCAGTTCTGCGCTGCTCATCTCAAGTTGAGAACAACGTTCTCATAGCTCTTGGGGAGACTGCGCAACAAACGGATCGCCACGTCTTTGTCCTCCATCTTAGCGCCGACGCTGCTGAACTTAGCGCTGATGTTGAGAACGTTGTTGCAATGATGCATGGCATTGCCGCCTTCCTCCATCTCCATGCTGAACAGCTGGCGCTTCAAGTAGATGCATCCCACCTTCTGAGATCCGCCGTAGAGAGTCTTCAACCGTGCCCACGCAACCCACGCTTCTTTACACTCATCAACCACATCATGGTAATCCGCGCTCATCTGAGGCAGCATCAAGCCGATCGCAATGTAGTTCGTCTTGACATACTCGTCACTAGCGCGAGGATCAGCGAAGGCGGGGGTGGTCTCCCGGATGACTACGTACCACGTCGACTTGGTCAGGAACACGCCGCGCATGTAGCGGCTCCACGTCGCATATTTTTTACCATCGAATTTGTCGATGCAGATCTTGGTGGCGGAATCTTGAGCAGAGGACATCGCGCTTAGGCTTATAACCTGTTAAAGTCTGAAGAGAACTTGATGAGAGAACCGAAGCTTGAAGAAACGAAAGAAGTCTGTGATGAACTTTAGACTTCTTGGTCCGAGTGCAAAACGCAAAGTGAATATATATTTATAATAGGTACTTAGTTCGCAACTTTGAATACTACCTCTAAGCCTATTATTCGCAGTGACGTCATCCAGTGACGTCACCCACTGACGTCACCCACTGACGTCATGCAATGACGTCATCCAGTGACGTCATTTCCTGACTTCGCCCTTACTGGTACATACCGGTACCCACCGGTATAGCGAAGCTTGGTCTTCCACTTGCTTCAACACTTGACGCAGCTTGACGAGGTGTCTTCTTCACAGCCGCTGTCTTTTCAACACTCCCTCTCGACTCGTTAGCTGCGGCATCTTGGATCCCAAGTCGATCGCGAATGTTTTCAAATTGTACAGCGGCGATCGGCTTGGTCATCATGTCTGCCAGCATATCTTGAGTCGGGTGATACTCCAAAACGACTTCACCTGATTCCACCTTCTCACGCACAAAATGGTAGCGTATGTCGATGTGTTTTGTTCTCTTATGGAACTCCGGGTTCTTGGCGAGAGCGATTGATCCTTGGTTGTCTTCATACATCTTGATCGCTTCGTCGCTTGTCATCTCACCAAGTTCCCCCAAAAGCACCTTGAGCCATACTGCTTCTTTGGTTGCTTCGGAAAGCGCCATGTATTCTGCTTCTGTTGAAGATAGCGCGACCGTCCGTTGTTTCTGGCTTTTTCCAGCTGATGCATCCTCCGCTCATCATGAACACATAGCCGCTTGTACTTCGTCTTGACTCAATGTCGCCGGCCCAGTCTGCGTCGGTGTACCCGCAGATACGGCTTCCTTCTTCACGTGTAAACTCAAGACCATGATTGGGCGTTGCTTGCAGGTATCTCAGCACACGCTTCAAAGCTTGCCAGTGAGTCGGGCATGGGTCGGACGAGAACTGGGATAATGATCCCACTGCAGCAGCTAGATCCGGACGTGTGGCGACCATGAGATACATGATGCCTCCGACAGCACTTCGATATGGCACGTTGCACATGGTGTCTTCGTGCTTGCATTCTTGTTCACACATGTTCTTGGTTAGCTTCAGGCCGGGATCTTGAGGCGTCTTCACTGGCTTGCTGTTATCCATTCCGAACTTGGTTAACACGGACTTGAGAAACTTGGTTTGTTGTACAGTCACCATTCCCGTCTTACGGTCGTTCTTGATCTCCATGCCGAGAAAGTAATCGAGCTCACCGAGATCCGTCATTTCGAAGCGTTTGCTCAGCGCCATCTTGGTTGACTTGAGGAGTTCGTTGTTGCTGCTGGCCAGGATGAGATCATCGACGTAGAGTACCACGAGAATCATGTCTTGGTCGTCTCGCTTGATGTAGATGCAGTGGTCCGATTCGCACTTCTTGAATCCCATCTTGATCATGAACCCATCGATTGTTTGGCTCCACATGCGAGGCGATTGCTTCAAGCCGTAGAGTGATCTCTTTAGCTTGCACACATAGTCCGGCTGTGTTGCATCCAGGTATCCGTCCGGCTGGTCCATGTAGATGTCTTCGTTGAGGGAGCCGTTAAGAAACGCTGTCTTGACGTCCATCTGATGTAGCATTAGGCCGTACTTAGCCGCCATACTGAGCACCACACGAATCGATGTGAACTTGGCCACCGGTGCGAAAGTTTCTTCATAGTCAGCTCCGAATTTCTGTGAGAATCCTTTGGCCACAAGTCTTGCCTTGAAACGTTCAACTTCGCCATCTTGATTCTCCTTTACACGAAAAACCCATCGGCACCCGATGGCCTTGCGACCTTTCGGAAGAGGCACAATTTCCCACGTGTCGTTTCTCTGAAGCGAATCGAACTCCGAGTCACACGCTTCTTTCCACTTGCCGGAGTCGCTTGATTCCATCGCTGACTTGAATGTAGTCGGCGTTTCCCCCACTGAATCAACGATGTAGGTGTTGAAAAGACAGCGGCTGTGAAGAAGACACCTCGTCAAGCTGCGTCAAGTGTTGAAGCAAGTGGAAGACCAAGCTTCGCTATACCGGTGGGTACCGGTATGTACCAGTAAGGGCGAAGTCAGGAAATGACGTCATTGGATGACGTCAGTGGGTGACGTCAGTGGGTGACGTCACTGGATGACGTCACTGCGAATAATAGGCTTAGAGGTAGTATTCAAAGTTGCGAACTAAGTACCTATTACAAATATATATTCACTTTGCGTTTTGCACTCGGACCAAGAAGTCTAAAGTTCATCAGGTTATGAGCCCAAGTTCGTCAGACTCTGAAACCGCCAACAATTCAAGCTTAGCTGCCATGGACGCCTCCTCCCTCCGCATCTCCAAGTTCGATGGAACTAACTTCCACGCCTGGAAGTTCAAGATGCAGATGGTGCTGGAGGAACGGGACCTATGGGAGGTCGTCAGCGGTGAGATCAAGGCGGAACAGTGCGAGACTCAGTTGGACCAAGCGACGTACAAGAGGAAGTCAAGAAAGGCGATGGCAGTGATCTGTCTAGCCATGGAAGATTCCCAGCTACCGTTGGTCCGGTCGGCAAGTGGTGCATGCGACGCATGGTCAAGGTTGGAAGACCACTTCGAGAAGAAGAGTCTTGCCAACAAGCTGTTCTTGCGCCGTCGCTTCTTCACGACAATGATGGAAGAAGGCGACGATGTGCTCGAACACATCAACAAGCTCAAGACGCTGGCGGAACAGCTAGAAGCGGTGGGGGGCTCCAGTCTGCGAGGACGATCTGGTGATCACACTTCTCGGCAGCCTGAGTGACTCGTATCAATTCTTGATCACAGCTTTGGAGTCGCGCTCAGACACTCTTAGCTGGGAGCTCGTGATGTCTCGACTGCTTCATGAAGAAATGAAGCGGAAGGAGCAAGGAAGTAAAGGTGATGAAGCTTCGCAAGGTCAAGCGTTCATCACAAGGGACAATCAGCGCAAAGGGCGACCAGTGAAGAAGTCCTGGCCGTGCCACAATTGCGGAAAGATTGGTCACTGGATGGCGGAGTGCCCCTCGCGCATCCAAGAAAACACGGAGAGACACCGGCCACAGCGTGCTCAAGACAGCGGCGACCGCTATCGATCACAACGTGCAAACGTCGCTCAAGAAGAAGACTCGGGCGACTACCTCTTTTCGATCGGTGAAACGACATCTGCGAAATCGAGCGACATCTGGCTGGTCGACTCCGGGGCGACGCAGCACATGACGTGCTCCAAGAAGTTCATGCGGAACTACAAGGGGTTTGACGCTGTGGATGTCCATCTCGCGGATGATGGAATCGTCCAAGCAATCGGCAGTGGGGACATTGTCATGTCGATGAAGACACCCCAAGGGATGAAGAAAGGTGTGCTCACAAACGTGTGGCACATCCCAAAGTTATCCAGAAACCTGTTCTCGGTCGGCCGCTTCACCAAGGATGTCGGCCCAGTGACGTTCACGAAGGATGGGTGCTATGGAGAAGCGAAAGGGACCAAGTGGAAAATTGGTGCCCGTGAAGGTAAAGGACTGTTCAAGCTGCAAATGACTCCAGTGGCGCCGGAACAAGCAAATGCAGCCAAGTCGTCGGGATGTCAAGGGGGCACCAAGTCGTACCTCTGGCACCTTCGGCTTGGCCACATAGGTCACGATGGACTCAATTGCATCGTGACGAAGGACATTGGAATTGGCATCGACATATCTTCGGTGAAGAAGTGGGACGTGTGTGAAGGTTGTGCTCTGGGAAAACAGACTCGAGTGCGCTTCCAATCAAACACTACAGCTCGCACCTCCAAACTCCTCGAAGTGATTCACAGCGACGTATGCGGACCGATGTCGATGGCAACTTTCAGTGGAAAACGGTACTTCGTGACATTCATCGATGACAAGTCAAGGTACTGTGTCGTCTATCTGCTCAAGAGCAAATCTGAAGTTGCGGCGAAGTTCATGGAATACGCTGCGATGGCCGAAACGCAAACCGGAAAGCGCGTGAAGTACCTTCAAAGCGACAATGGGGGTGAATACAAGTCCGACAAGCTGGCACGATTCTGCGCGGAACGGGGAATACAACAAAGGTTCACACCCCCATATACTCCTCAGCTAAACGGAGTAGCTGAGAGAATGAATCGCACTCTGGTCGAGTGTGCGCGTTGCATGATGGAACACGCTGGACTGGGAAAGAGCTACTGGGGTGAAGCAGTGATGACGGCGATGTTTCTTTGAAACCGCTGTCCAACACGTGCCATTCACCAAGACAAGTCTCCATATCAAGTGTGGACGATGAAGAAACCGATTCTGGCCAACCTTAAAGTGTTTGGATGCCACGCGTATGTTCAAGTGCCTCAAGACAAACGCGCGAAGTTCGACTCCAAGTCATCACTCTGTCGTTTCCTGGGATACGCCGAACACCAGAAGTCATATCGATTTGAGGAAGTGTCAACAGGAGCGATCAAGATCAGTCGCGATGCCACATTCATGGAAGACAAGTTTGATGAAGGTCCGCGCAACTACAACGATGAGTCAAGTGCCGTTGAGTTTGATGATCAAGACGAGGACGAAGAAAAAGAAGAAGGTAAAACTGACGACGACATGGACTCGAGCGACGATGACAACGAAGACACCAGGTCTTCGAAGAGCAACATCAAGAGACACACGCGCACTCAATCACTTGAGAAAGCTACCGTCATTCCAAGTCCCAAGCGAAGAACGTACAGAGGTCCGTCGCTTGAGCATGTGTCAGCGGCTGCAATGGATTTTGAAGCAGCCTACATCGTTGATTCAGTGGGGGAAACGCCGACTACATTCAAGTCGGCGATGGAATCAAGCGACTCCGGCAAGTGGAAAGAAGCGTGTGACTCGGAGTTCGACTCGCTTCAGAGAAACGACACGTGGGAAATCGTGCCTCTTCCGAAAGGTCGCAAGGCCATCGGGTGCCGATGGGTTTTTCGTGTAAAGGAGAATCAAGATGGCGAAGTTGAACGTTTCAAGGCAAGACTTGTGGCCAAAGGATTCTCACAGAAATTCGGAGTTGACTATGAAGAAACTTTCGCACCGGTGGCCAAGTTCACATCGATTCGTGTGGTGCTCAGTATGGCGGCCAAGTACGGCCTAATGCTACATCAGATGGACGTCAAGACAGCGTTTCTTAACGGCTCCCTCAACGAAGACATCTACATGGACCAGCCGGACGGATACCTGGATGCAACACAGCCGGACTATGTGTGCAAGCTAAAGAGATCACTCTACGGCTTGAAGCAATCGCCTCGCATGTGGAACCAAACAATCGATGGGTTCATGATCAAGATGGGATTCAAGAAGTGCGAATCGGACCTGATGAACTTTAGACTTCTTGGTCCGAGTGCAAAACGCAAAGTGAATATATATTTATAATAGGTACTTAGTTCGCAACTTTGAATACTACCTCTAAGCCTATTATTCGCAGTGACGTCATCCAGTGACGTCATTTCCTGACTTCGCCCTTACTGGTACATACCGGTACCCACCGGTATAGCGAGGCTTGGTCTTCCACTTGCTTCAACACTTGACGCAGCTTGACGAGGTGTCTTCTTCACAGCCGCTGTCTTTTCAACAGGACCACTGCATCTACATCAAGCGAGACGACCAAGACATGATTCTCGTGGTGCTCTACGTCGATGATCTCATCCTGGCCAGCAGCAACAACGAACTCCTCAAGTCGACCAAGATGGCGCTGAGCAAACGCTTCGAAATGACGGATCTCGGTGAGCTCGATTACTTTCTCGGCATGGAGATCAAGAACGACCGTAAGACGGGAATGGTGACTGTGCAACAAACCAAGTTTCTCAAGTCCGTGTTGACCAAGTTCGGAATGGATAACAGCAAGCCAGTGAAGACGCCTCAAGATCCCGGCCTGAAGCTAACCAAGAACATGTGTGAACAAGAATGCAAGCACGAAGACACCATATGCAACGTGCCATATCGAAGTGCTGTCGGAGGCATCATGTATCTCATGGTCGCCACACGTCCGGATCTAGCTGCTGCAGTGGGATCATTATCCCAGTTCTCGTCCGACCCATGCCCGACTCACTGGCAAGCTTTGAAGAGTGTGCTGAGATACCTGCAAGCAACGCCCAATCATGGTCTTGAGTTTACACGTGAAGAAGGAAGCCGTATCTGCGGGTACACCGACGCAGACTGGGCCGGCGACATTGAGTCAAGACGAAGTACAAGCGGCTATGTGTTCATGATGAGCGGAGGATGCATCAGCTGGAAAAGCCAGAAACAACGGACGGTCGCGCTATCTTCAACAGAAGCAGAATACATGGCGCTTTCCGAAGCAACCAAAGAAGCAGTATGGCTCAAGGTGCTTTTGGGGGAACTTGGTGAGATGACAAGCGACGAAGCGATCAAGGTGTATGAAGACAACCAAGGATCAATCGCTCTCGCCAAGAACCCGGAGTTCCATAAGAGAACAAAACACATCGACATACGCTACCATTTTGTGCGTGAGAAGGTGGAATCAGGTGAAGTCGTTTTGGAGAATTGCCCGACTCAAGATATGCTGGCAGACATGATGACCAAGCCGATCGCCGCTGTACAATTTGAAAACATTCGCGATCGACTTGGGATCCAAGGTACCGCAGCTAACGAGTCGAGAGGGAGTGTTGAAAAGACAGCGGCTGTGAAGAAGACACCTCGTCAAGCTGCGTCAAGTGTTGAAGCAAGTGGAAGACCAAGCTTCGCTATACCGGTGGGTACCGGTATGTACCAGTAAGGGCGAAGTCAGGAAATGACGTCATTGGATGACGTCAGTGGGTGACTTCAGTGGGTGACGTCACTGGATGACGTCACTGCGAATAATAGGCTTAGAGGTAGTATTCAAAGTTGCGAACTAAGTACCTATTACAAATATATATTCACTTTGCGTTTTGCACTCGGACCAAGAAGTCTAAAGTTCATCAGTAGGCTGCTTCAAAATCCATTGCAGCCGCTGACACATGCTCAAGCGACGGACCTCTGTATGTTCTTCGCTTGGGACTTGGAATGACGGTAGCTTTCTCAAGTGATTGAGTGCGCGTGTGTCTCTTGATGTTGCTCTTCGAAGACCTGGTGTCTTCGTTGTCATCGTCGCTCGAGTCCATGTCGTCGTCAGTTTTACCTTCTTCTTTTCCTTCGTCCTCATCATGATCATCAAACTCAACGACACTTGACTCATCGTTGTAGTTGCGCGGACCTTCATCAAACTTGTCTTCCATGAATGTGGCATCGCGACTGATCTTGATCGCTCCTGTTGACACTTCCTCAAATCGATATGACTTCTGGTGTTCGGCGTATCCCAGGAAACGACAGAGTGATGACTTGGAGTCGAACTTCGCGCGTTTGTCTTGAGGCACTTGAACATACGCGTGGCATCCAAACACTTTAAGGTTGGCCAGAATCGGTTTCTTCATCGTCCACACTTGATATGGAGACTTGTCTTGGTGAATGGCACGTGTTGGACAGCGGTTTCGAAGAAACATCGCCGTCATCACTGCTTCACCCCAGTAGCTCTTTCCCAGTCCAGCGTGTTCCATCATGCAACGCGCACACTCGACCAGCGTGCGATTCATTCTCTCAGCTACTCCGTTTAGCTGAGGAGTATATGGGGGTGTGAACCTTTGTTGTATTCCCCGTTCCGCGCAGAATCGTGCCAGCTTGTCGGACTTGTATTCACCCCCATTGTCGCTTTGAAGGTACTTCACGCGCTTTCCGGTTTGCGTTTCGGCCATCGCAGCGTATTCCATGAACTTCGCCGCAACTTCAGATTTGCTCTTGAGCAGATAGACGACACAGTATCTTGACTTGTCATCAATGAATGTCACGAAGTACCGTTTTCCACTGAAAGTTGCCATCGACATCGGTCCGCATACGTCGCTGTGAATCACTTCGAGGAGTTTGGAGGTGCGAGCTGTAGTGTTTGATTGGAAGCGCACTCGAGTCTGTTTTCCCAGAGCACAACCTTCACACACGTCCCACTTCTTCACCGAAGATATGTCGATGCCAATTCCAATGTTCTTCGTCACGATGCAATTGAGTCCATCGTGACCTATGTGGCCAAGCCGAAGGTGCCAGAGGTACGACTTGGTGCCCCCTTGACATCCCGACGACTTGGCTGCATTTGCTTGTTCCGGCGCCACTGGAGTCATTTGCAGCTTGAACAGTCCTTTACCTTCACGGGCACCAATTTTCCACTTGGTCCCTTTCGCTTCTCCATAGCACCCATCCTTCGTGAACGTCACTGGGCCGACATCCTTGGTGAAGCGGCCGACCGAGAACAGGTTTCTGGATAACTTTGGGATGTGCCACACGTTTGTGAGCACACCTTTCTTCATCCCTTGGGGTGTCTTCATCGACATGACAATGTCCCCACTGCCGATTGCTTGGACGATTCCATCATCCGCGAGATGGACATCCACAGCGTCAAACCCCTTGTAGTTCCGCATGAACTTCTTGGAGCACGTCATGTGCTGCGTCGCCCCGGAGTCGACCAGCCAGATGTCGCTCGATTTCGCAGATGTCGTTTCACCGATCGAAAAGAGGTAGTCGCCCGAGTCTTCTTCTTGAGCGACGTTTGCACGTTGTGATCGATAGCGGTCGCCGCTGTCTTGAGCACGCTGTGGCCGGTGTCTCTCCGTGTTTTCTTGGATGCGCGAGGGCACTCCGCCATCCAGTGACCAATCTTTCCGCAATTGTGGCACGGCCAGGACTTCTTCACTGGTCGCCCTTTGCGCTGATTGTCCCTTGTGATGAACGCTTGACCTTGCGAAGCTTCATCACCTTTACTTCCTTGCTCCTTCCGCTTCATTTCTTCATGAAGCAGTCGAGACATCACGAGCTCCCAGCTAAGAGTGTCTGAGCGCGACTCCAAAGCTGTGATCAAGAATTGATACGAGTCACTCAGGCTGCCGAGGAGTGTGATCACCAGATCGTCCTCGCAGACTGGAGCCCCCACCGCTTCTAGCTGTTCCGCCAGCGTCTTGAGCTTGTTGATGTGTTCGAGCACATCGTCGCCTTCTTCCATCATTGTCGTGAAGAAGCGACGGCGCAAGAACAGCTTGTTGGCAAGACTCTTCTTCTCGAAGTGGTCTTCCAACCTTGACCATGCGTCGCATGCACCACTTGCCGACCGGACCAACGGTAGCTGGGAATCTTCCATGGCTAGACAGATCACTGCCATCGCCTTTCTTGACTTCCTCTTGTACGTCGCTTGGTCCAACTGAGTCTCGCACTGTTCCGCCTTGATCTCACCGCTGACGACCTCCCATAGGTCCCGTTCCTCCAGCACCATCTGCATCTTGAACTTCCAGGCGTGGAAGTTAGTTCCATCGAACTTGGAGATGCGGAGGGAGGAGGCGTCCATGGCAGCTAAGCTTGAATTGTTGGCGGTTTCAGAGTCTGACGAACTTGGGCTCATAACCTGATGAACTTTAGACTTCTTGGTCCGAGTGCAAAACGCAAAGTGAATATATATTTATAATAGGTACTTAGTTCGCAACTTTGAATACTACCTCTAAGCCTATTATTCGCAGTGACGTCATCCAGTGACGTCACCCACTGACGTCACCCACTGACGTCATGCAATGACGTCATCCAGTGACGTCATTTCCTGACTTCGCCCTTACTGGTACATACCGGTACCCACCGGTATAGCGAAGCTTGGTCTTCCACTTGCTTCAACACTTGACGCAGCTTGACGAGGTGTCTTCTTCACAGCCGCTGTCTTTTCAACAGTCTGCACTGCAAAGTGTAGACGACTTACGACGGAGAAGGAAATCTTTGGAAGTGAATTTATTTCTGGGTTGTTTAAGCTACCTGATTGATCCATGTCCTGATTCATGTATTTTGCACATTTAAATCATAAATCATAGAACATGTAGGTCATCCAATCTTCCTATGCGTCTAATCATTGGTAAGCGCTCACCGTAATTACGCGAGACCGACTTGGACAGGTTTACGGTTTCCACGGTATCTGATAATAGTACCTTAACCGTCAACCCACGATACGCCCCCTCAATGCGAACACGCGTGTATGCCAAGCGCTGCCGTCAATTCCCTGTGACGCGGTCCTGGCAGTCCCTTTGTCATGATGTCCGCCATCATCATCGCAGTCTCACAGTACTCCGACTTGTCATCACCACGCTTGACTTCATCGCGACTGTGGTGGTACTTGGTGTTGACGTGATTGGCCCGACCATGGTTCACAGGATTCTTCGTCATCTTGATGCACGATTGATTGTCTTCCATGATCTTGAGCTCGGGTCTGGGCTTGTCCTCTGCGGCATTCAGAATCTCGCATAACAGGCGATGCACTCACTTGCCTTCTTTAATTGCCAGACTTAGCGCGACGTACTCTGCTTCGCTTGTCGATAGCGATACGCTTGATTGCTTCTTGCTTTTCCAGCTTATCGGAGCACCCATCAGGATAGACGCACATTCTGAAGTCGACTTGCGGTCTTCATGATCACTGGGCTAGTCTGCATCCGGAGTCGCCACATAAATCCACCTTGTTGTCGGGTTTAACGAAGATGCCGTGTGACTTGGTTTCTTGTAGATAACGAAGAATTCGCTTGACTGCCATCCAATGCTCGACTTGGGGTTCTCCATGGAACGCGAAACGTAGCCCACAACAAAAGCAATGTCCGGTCTTTTCGCGGTCATTAAGTGCATCAAAGCACCTACTGCTTCACGAGACGGAGCGTTGTTCTTGGATGCTGCGTCGCTTGGTGTGAGTCGAGAACTGATATCCGTTGGACTGATGACGGCCTTGCAATCACTCATGCCAAAACGCTTGAGAACATCGTCCACGTATCGTCGCTGACACATTGTCACACTACCGTCGATGTTGTTCACCAGCTCGATGCCCAATACGAACGCGCACTTGCCGCTGTCAGTCATATCGAAACGCCTTTTCAAGTCACTCTCGGTGCGCACAATTACCTCAGTCGAACTGCCCGTTGCCAGCACATCATCGACGAGACCAAAAACAGCACGCACTTTCCGCTTGCGACCTTGAGATAGAGGCATGGGTCGAAGTCGGACTGTTGAAATACAATCGAGCAAACAAAGTCATACAAAGTCTCGCTCCATACCCGCAATGCTTGTTTCAGTCCGTAGATCGCCTTCGCCAATTCGATGCAGTCAAAGTCTTCATCACTGTCGACACCTGCTGGGATCGCGCAGAACACCTTTTTTTCATCTTTCCGTACAAGAAGGCTTTCACCATGTCCAGTTAGTCCAGTGACCATTTGAAGTACTTGATGCTCGCGATTACTATGCACAGCATCACGTACTTGACCACGGGCGAGAACGTCTCCGTGTAGTCGATGTCATAATTTTGGCGAAAACCCTTGGCCGCAAGTCGTGCTTTGTATTTATCGATCGACCCATCCGCCTTGCGCTTGATCTTGAAGACTCACTTTGTGCCAATGGCGCTTCACCCGTTGGGTAACTTGGCAGCACGAAACACACGCGAAGTCGCATTGACTCGAGCTCTGCATTAATTGCCTTGCGCTAGTGCGCTTGGTCCGGGCCAGTCACTGCTTCTCTAAATATCGACGGGCTCAAAGATGCACTGCTGCTTCGACAGCGTTTGCACTTACCTGTTGAAATACGAAAGAAGTTGGTGTGTCACGTTGCTCGACTGACTTCCTTCATCTTTATTGGCTCGACGTGAAGAGAGGTCGTCTGAAGCACTTGCCCCTTCCAATCTGGGTCGTTGGCGCACTGCTCGGGGCATATTTGCATCTTCATCTTCGTGACTGAGTTAGGCCTTGCGCATTCCTATTCATTTTGAAGTATCTAGGAAGCGGATCTTTATCATCAAGATCAAAGGATTCGACGTCCTGTCCATCAACACCGTCATCGGAAATCAGCATAGAAAGTCCAAAGGCTGACTCTTCAAAGTTGACATCACGACTTATCGTCTCCTGCCCCACTTCAATGTCATAAACTCGATAAGCCTTAGACATTTCTTCGTAGCCAAAATTAACCCAGTACGTGCCTTGGGATTCCGCTTGAGTTGTTTCTCCTTCAGAGTTAAGATGTAAGTGTGGCACCCAAAACCGCGCATGTGCTTGACACTTGACTTGGAATTGTAGACAATCTCGAACGGTGTCTTGTGTGGAATCTTGGGTGACGGCAAACGGTTCTTCACATAGACTGCCGTCATTGCCGCTTCAGCCCAGAAGCACTTGTCCAACTTGGCATGATGGAGCATGCTACGACCGATGGTGACGATAGTCCGAATTGCGCGTTCAGCAGTTCCGTTGGCTTGATCAGCGGATGACACCGTGGTTTGCTGTTCGATGCCTTCGACTTCGTAGAAATCTTGAAGCGAGCTTGTCGCAAACTCGCGGGATCTATCGTGTCACAAAAACTTGACCTTTATGTTGATCTGCTTTTGGACAATCGTGATGTACCTCTTGATTCACTCCTCACTCCCCGACTTGGCATGCAGACAAAAATCCTCTATGCATCCGCTGGTTTCATCCGCGATAAGCAGCAGATACTTGCTGCCTGTTGACGGTCATTGGTTTCCTACCAGTATTGGTAACCGTGACCGGTCCAATCCGAACCGCCTGTTCAGCTTAGTATTTACGACGTAGTTCTTACGGTAATTACCATAGTTGATTAGACGCGTAGGATGATGAGACGCTTCACATGATTTATATATGCACCACATGTAAATCATGTAGTAAGTAGTAAGCCCCGATAATCAATCACTTTCCAATCTTCCATCTACCCCCCTGTTGAAAAAAGACAGCGGCTGTGAAGAAGACACCTCGTCAAGCTGCGTCAAGTGTTGAAGCAAGTGGAAGACCAAGCCTCGCTATACCGGTGGGTACCGGTATGTACCAGTAAGGGCGAAGTCAGGAAATGACGTCACTGGATGACGTCATTGCATGACGTCAGTGGGTGACGTCAGTGGGTGACGTCACTGGATGACGTCACTGCGAATAATAGGCTTAGAGGTAGTATTCAAAGTTGCGAACTAAGTACCTATTATAAATATATATTCACTTTGCGTTTTGCACTCGGACCAAGAAGTCTAAAGTTCATCAGGTTATGAGCCCAAGTTCGTCAGACTCTGAAACCGCCAACAATTCAAGCTTAGCTGCCATGGACGCCTCCTCCCTCCGCATCTCCAAGTTCGATGGAACTAACTTCCACGCCTGGAAGTTCAAGATGCAGATGGTGCTGGAGGAACGGGACCTATGGGAGGTCGTCAGCAGTGAGATCAAGGCGGAACAGTGCGAGACTCAGTTGGACCAAGCGACGTACAAGAGGAAGTCAAGAAAGGCGATGGCAGTGATCTGTCTAGCCACGGAAGATTCCCAGCTACCGTTGGTCCGGTCGGCAAGTGGTGCATGCGACGCATGGTCAAGGTTGGAAGACCACTTCGAGAAGAAGAGTCTTGCCAACAAGCTGTTCTTGCGCCGTCGCTTCTTCACGACAATGATGGAAGAAGGCGACGATGTGCTCGAACACATCAACAAGCTCAAGACGCTGGCGGAACAGCTAGAAGCGGTGGGGGCTCCAGTCTGCGAGGACGATCTGGTGATCACACTCCTCGGCAGCCTGAGTGACTCGTATCAATTCTTGATCACAGCTTTGGAGTCGCGCTCAGACACTCTTAGCTGGGAGCTCGTGACGTCTCGACTGCTTCATGAAGAAATGAAGCGGAAGGAGCAAGGAAGTAAAGGTGATGAAGCTTCGCAAGGTCAAGCGTTCATCACAAGGGACAATCAGCGCAAAGGGCGACCAGTGAAGAAGTCCTGGCCGTGCCACAATTGCGGAAAAGATTGGTCACTGGATGGCGGAGTGCCCCTCGCGCATCCAAGAAAACACGGAGAGACACCGGCCACAGCGTGCTCAAGACAGCGGCGACCGCTATCGATCACAACGTGCAAACGTCGCTCAAGAAGAAGACTCGGGCGACTACCTCTTTTCGATCGGTGAAACGACATCTGCGAAATCGAGCGACATCTGGCTGGTCGACTCCGGGGCGACGCAGCACATGACGTGCTCCAAGAAGTTCATGCGGAACTACAAGGGGTTTGACGCTGTGGATGTCCATCTCGCGGATGATGGAATCGTCCAAGCAATCGGCAGTGGGGACATTGTCATGTCGATGAAGACACCCCAAGGGATGAAGAAAGGTGTGCTCACAAACGTGTGGCACATCCCAAAGTTATCCAGAAACCTGTTCTCGGTCGGCCGCTTCACCAAGGATGTCGGCCCAGTGACGTTCACGAAGGATGGGTGCTATGGAGAAGCGAAAGGGACCAAGTGGAAAATTGGTGCCCGTGAAGGTAAAGGACTGTTCAAGCTGCAAATGACTCCAGTGGCGCCGGAACAAGCAAATGCAGCCAAGTCGTCGGGATGTCAAGGGGGCACCAAGTCGTACCTCTGGCACCTTCGGCTTGGCCACATAGGTCACGATGGACTCAATTGCATCGTGACGAAGAACATTGGAATTGGCATCGACATATCTTCGGTGAAGAAGTGGGACGTGTGTGAAGGTTGTGCTCTGGGAAAACAGACTCGAGTGCGCTTCCAATCAAACACTACAGCTCGCACCTCCAAACTCCTCGAAGTGATTCACAGCGACGTATGCGGACCGATGTCGATGGCAACTTTCAGTGGAAAACGGTACTTCGTGACATTCATTGATGACAAGTCAAGATACTGTGTCGTCTATCTGCTCAAGAGCAAATCTGAAGTTGCGGCGAAGTTCATGGAATACGCTGCGATGGCCGAAACGCAAACCGGAAAGCGCGTGAAGTACCTTCAAAGCGACAATGGGGGGTGAATACAAGTCCGACAAGCTGGCACGATTCTGCGCGGAACGGGGAATACAACAAAGGTTCACACCTCCATATACTCCTCAGCTAAACGGAGTAGCTGAGAGAATGAATCGCACGCTGGTCGAGTGTGCGCGTTGCATGATGGAACACGCTGGACTGGGAAAGAGCTACTGGGGTGAAGCAGTGATTGATGAACTTTAGACTTCTTGGTCCGAGTGCAAAACGCAAAGTGAATATATATTTATAATAGGTACTTAGTTCGCAACTTTGAATACTACCTCTAAGCCTATTATTCGCAGTGACGTCATCCAGTGACGTCATTTCCTGACTTCGCCCTTACTGGTACATACCGGTACCCACCGGTATAGCGAAGCTTGGTCTTCCACTTGCTTCAACACTTGACGCAGCTTGACGAGGTGTCTTCTTCACAGCCGCTGTCTTTTCAACACTCCCTCTCGACTCGTTAGCTGCGGCACCGCTGGATCCCAAGTCGATCGCGAATGTTTTCAAATTGTACAGCGGCGATCGGCTTGGTCATCATGTCTGCCAGCATATCTTGAGTCGGGCAATACTCCAAAACGACTTCACCTGATTCCACCTTCTCACGCACAAAATGGTAGCGTATGTCGATGTGTTTTGTTCTCTTATGGAACTCCGGGTTCTTGGCGAGAGCGATTGATCCTTGGTTGTCTTCATACATCTTGATCGCTTCGTCGCTTGTCATCTCACCAAGTTCCCCCAAAAGCACCTTGAGCCATACTGCTTCTTTGGTTGCTTCGGAAAGCGCCATGTATTCTGCTTCTGTTGAAGATAGCGCGACCGTCCGTTGTTTCTGGCTTTTCCAGCTGATGCATCCTCCGCTCATCATGAACACATAGCCGCTTGTACTTCGTCTTGACTCAATGTCGCCGGCCCAGTCTGCGTCGGTGTACCCGCAGATACGGCTTCCTTCTTCACGTGTAAACTCAAGACCATGATTGGGCGTTGCTTGCAGGTATCTCAGCACACGCTTCAAAGCTTGCCAGTGAGTCGGGCATGGGTCGGACGAGAACTGGGATAATGATCCCACTGCAGCAGCTAGATCCGGACGTGTGGCGACCATGAGATACATGATGCCTCCGACAGCACTTCGATATGGCACGTTGCACATGGTGTCTTCGTGCTTGCATTCTTGTTCACACATGTTCTTGGTTAGCTTCAGGCCGGATCTTGAGGCGTCTTCACTGGCTTGCTGTTATCCATTCCGAACTTGGTTAACACGGACTTGAGAAACTTGGTTTGTTGCACAGTCACCATTCCCGTCTTACGGTCGTTCTTGATCTCCATGCCGAGAAAGTAATCGAGCTCACCGAGATCCGTCATTTCGAAGCGTTTGCTCAGCGCCATCTTGGTTGACTTGAGGAGTTCGTTGTTGCTGCTGGCCAGGATGAGATCATCGACGTAGAGCACCACGAGAATCATGTCTTGGTCGTCTCGCTTGATGTAGATGCAGTGGTCCGATTCGCACTTCTTGAATCCCATCTTGATCATGAACCCATCGATTGTTTGGTTCCACATGCGAGGCGATTGCTTCAAGCCGTAGAGTGATCTCTTTAGCTTGCACACATAGTCCGGCTGTGTTGCATCCAGGTATCCGTCCGGCTGGTCCATGTAGATGTCTTCGTTGAGGGAGCCGTTAAGAAACGCTGTCTTGACGTCCATCTGATGTAGCATTAGGCCGTACTTAGCCGCCATACTGAGCACCACACGAATCGATGTGAACTTGGCCACCGGTGCGAAAGTTTCTTCATAGTCAACTCCGAATTTCTGTGAGAATCCTTTGGCCACAAGTCTTGCCTTAAAACGTTCAACTTCGCCATCTTGATTCTCCTTTACACGAAAAACCCATCGGCACCCGATGGCCTTGCGACCTTTCGGAAGAGGCACGATTTCCCACGTGTCGTTTCTCTGAAGCGAATCGAACTCCGAGTCACACGCTTCTTTCCACTTGCCGGAGTCGCTTGATTCCATAGCCGACTTGAACGTAGTCGGCATTTCCCCACTGAATCCATGATGTACGCTGCTTCAAAATCCATTGCAGCCGCTGACACATGCTCAAGCGACGGACCTCTGTATGTTCTTCGCTTGGGACTTGGAATGACGGTAGCTTTCTCAAGTGATTGAGTGCGCGTGTGTCTCTTGATGTTGCTCTTCGAAGACCTGGTGTCTTCGTTGTCATCGTCGCTCGAGTCCATGTCGTCGTCAGTTTTACCTTCTTCTTTTTCTTCGTCCTCATCATGATCATCAAACTCAACGACACTTGACTCATCGTTGTAGTTGCGCGGACCTTCATCAAACTTGTCTTCCATGAATGTGGCATCGCGACTGATCTTGATCGCTCCTGTTGACACTTCCTCAAATCGATATGACTTCTGTGTTGAAAAGACAGCGGCTGTAAAGAAGACACCTCGTCAAGCTGCGTCAAGTGTTGAAGCAAGTGGAAGACCAAGCTTCACTATACCGGTGGGTACCGGTATGTACCAGTAAGGGCGAAGTCAGGAAATGACGTCATTGGATGACGTCATTGCATGACGTCAGTGGGTGACGTCAGTGGGTGACGTCACTGGATGACGTCACTGCGAATAATAGGCTTAGAGGTAGTATTCAAAGTTGCGAACTAAGTACCTATTATAAATATATATTCACTTTGCGTTTTGCACTCGGACCAAGAAGTCTAAAGTTCATCAGGTTATGAGCCCAAGTTCGTCAGACTCTGAAACCGCCAACAATTCAAGCTTAGCTGCCATGGACGCCTCCTCCCTCCGCATCTCCAAGTTCGATGGAACTAACTTCCACGCCTGGAAGTTCAAGATACAGATGGTGCTGGAGGAACGGGACCTATGGGAGGTCGTCAGCGGTGAGATCAAGGCGGAACAGTGCGAGACTCAGTTGGACCAAGCGACGTACAAGAGGAAGTCAAGAAAGGCGATGGCAGTGATCTGTCTAGCCATGGAAGATTCCCAGCTACCGTCGGTCCGGTCGGCAAGTGGTGCATGCGACGCATGGTCAAGGTTGGAAGACCACTTCGAGAAGAAGAGTCTTGCCAACAAGCTGTTCTTGCGCCGTCGCTTCTTCACGACAATGATGGAAGAAGGCGACGATGTACTCGAACACATCAACAAGCTCAAGACGCTGGCGGAACAGCTAGAAGCGGTGGGGGCTCCAGTCTGCGAGGACGATCTGGTGATCACACTTCTCGGCAGCCTGAGTGACTCGTATCAATTCTTGATCACAGCTTTGGAGTCGCGCTCAGACACTCTTAGCTGGGAGCTCGTGACGTCTCGACTGCTTCATGAAGAAATGAAGCGGAGGGAGCAAGGAAGTAAAGGTGATGAAGCTTCGCAAGGTCAAGCGTTCATCACAAGGGACAATCAGCGCAAAGGGCGACCAGTGAAGAAGTCCTGGCCGTGCCACAATTGCGGAAAGATTGGTCACTGGATGGCGGAGTGCCCCTCGCGCATCCAAAAAAACACGGAGAGACACCGGCCACAGCGTGCTCAAGACAGCGGCGACCGCTATCGATCACAACGTGCAAACGTCGCTCAAGAAGAAGACTCGGGCGACTACCTCTTTTCGATCGGTGAAACGACATCTGCGAAATCGAGCGACATCTGGCTGGTCGACTCCGGGGCGACGCAGCACATGACGTGCTCCAAGAAGTTCATGCGGAACTACAAGGGGTTTGACGCTGTGGATGTCCATCTCGCGGATGATGGAATCGTCCAAGCAATCGGCAGTGGGGACATTGTCATGTCGATGAAGACACCCCAAGGGATGAAGAAAGGTGTGCTCACAAACGTGTGGCACATCCCAAAGTTATCCAGAAACCTGTTCTCGGTCGGCCGCTTCACCAAGGATGTCGGCCCAGTGACGTTCACGAAGGATGGGTGCTATGGAGGAAGCGAAAGGGACCAAGTGGAAAATTGGTGCCCGTGAAGGTAAAGGACTGTTCAAGCTGCAAATGACTCCAGTGGCGCCAGAACAAGCAAATGCAGCCAAGTCGTCGGGATGTCAAGGGGGCACCAAGTCGTACCTCTGGCACCTTCGGCTTGGCCACATAGGTCACGATGGACTCAATTGCATCGTGACGAAGAACATTGAATTGGCATCGACATATCTTCGGTGAAGAAGTGGGACGTGTGTGAAGGTTGTGCTCTGGGAAAACAGACTCGAGTGTGCTTCCAATCAAACACTACAGCTCGCACCTCCAAACTCCTCGAAGTGATTCACAGCGACGTATGCGGACCGATGTCGATGGCAACTTTCAGTGGAAAACGGTACTTCGTGACATTCATCGATGACAAGTCAAGATACTGTGTCGTCTATCTGCTCAAGAGCAAATCTGAAGTTGCGGCGAAGTTCATGGAATACGCTGCGATGGCCGAAACGCAAACCGGAAAGCGCGTGAAGTACCTTCTGTTGAATGATGAAGAGCTTGACGACCGAAACTGGGAGGGATGCTGAGAGTCCACTCGGAAGACCGGAGAAGACACTTGGGGTAGATGGAAGATTGGAAAGTGATTGATTATCGGGGCTTACTACTTACTACATGATTTATATGTGGTGCACATATAAATCATGTGAAGCGTCTCATCATCCTACGCGTCTAATCAACTATGGTAATTACCGTAAGAACTACGTCGTAAATACTAAGCTGAACAGGCGGTTCGGATTGGACCGGTCACGGTTACCAATACTGGTAGAAAACCGATGACCGTCAACACGCCCCCCTCAATCCGAACTCGCACGAATGCCGAGAGCCGTCGTCAAGTCCTTGTGACGAGGTCCCGAAAGTCCCTTGGTCATGATGTCCGCCATCATCACGGAAGTCTCGCAATACTCGAGCTGCACTTCACCGCGCTTGACCTCATCACGGATGTGATGGTACTTGATGTCGATGTGCTTGGCGCGGCCATGATTCACCGGATTCTTTGTCATCTTGATGCAGGACTGGTTGTCTTCACGGATGACGAGGTCCGGTCCTGGTTCGTTTGCGGCCGCCAAAATCTCGCATAGCAGGCGATGCACCCACTTGCCTTCCTGGATGGCCAGACTCAGTGCGATGTATTCCGCTTCACTCGTCGACAGCGACACACTTGACTGCTTCTTGCTTCCCCAACTCACAGGAGCACCCATCAGCATGAAAGTGTAACCCGAAGTCGACTTGCGATCAGCGTGGTCGCCGGCCCAGTCCGCGTCCGAGTAGCCACGAAAGTCGATCTTATCGCTTGGCTGGAATCGGAGTCCGTGCGACTTGGTCCCTTGCAAGTAACGAAAGATGCGCTTCACCGCCGTCCAATATTCTTGCTGCGGATTCTCCATGAAGCGCGAGACGTACCCCACAGCATACGCAATGTCCGGGCGCGTCGCAGTCGTCAAGTGCATCAAAGCTCCCACAGCTTCACGAAACGGAACGTCGATCTTGGCCGCTTCGGTGCTTGCGACAAGCCGAGTGCTCAAGTCGACCGGACTTGATGTGGCCTTGCACTCATCCATGCCGAAGCGCTTGAGGATGTCGTTGACATACCGTCGCTGGCACATCGTCACGCTGCCATCCGATTCGTCCACCAGTTCGATGCCCAGTACAAAAGTACACTTGCCACTGTCGGTCATCTCGAAACGCGTCTTGAGGTCGGCCTTCGTCTGCGCAATCAACTCGAGCGAGCTGCCGGTGACCAACACGTCATCCACGTAGACCAGCACGAGCACACAGTGACCATCGACAACCTTGATGTAGAGACATGGGTCGAACGCCGACGCTTCGAAACCGATAGAGCATACGAACTCATCGAAAGTCTCGTTCCACACACGTGAAGCTTGCTTGAGACCGTAGATCGCCTTCACCAACTCGAGACAGTCGAAGTCGCCATCCATCTCGACGCCTTCTGGTACCACGCAGTACACCTTCTCCTTCATCACTCCGTAGAGAAAGGCTGTCACCACATCGAGTTGGTCCAGTGGCCAGTCGAAATACTTGGTGATCGCGATCACCATACGCAGTGTCACGTACTTGACCACGGGCGAGAACGTCTCTGTGTAGTCGATGCCGTACTTCTGCTTGAAGCCCTTGGCAACGAGACGCGCCTTGTATTTCTCGACCGATCCATCCGCTTTGCGCTTGATCTTGAACACCCACTTGGTGCCGATCGCGCCTTGGCCTCTTGGTAGTTTTGCCGTGATGAACTTTAGACTTCTTGGTCCGAGTGCAAAACGCAAAGTGAATATATATTTATAATAGGTACTTAGTTCGCAACTTTGAATACTACCTCTAAGCCTATTATTCGCAGTGACGTCATCCAGTGACGTCACCCACTGACGTCACCCACTGACGTCATGCAATGACGTCATCCAGTGACGTCATTTCCTGACTTCGCCCTTACTGGTACATACCGGTACCCACCGGTATAGCGAAGCTTGGTCTTCCACTTGCTTCAACACTTGACGCAGCTTGACGAGGTGTCTTCTTCACAGCCGCTGTCTTTTCAACACTCCCTCTCGACTCGTTAGCTGCGGCACCTTGGATCCCAAGTCGATCGCGAATGTTTTCAAATTGTACAGCGGCGATCGGCTTGGTCATCATGTCTGCCAGCATATCTTGAGTCGGGCAATACTCCAAAACGACTTCACCTGATTCCACCTTCTCACGCACAAAATGGTAGCGTATGTCGATGTGTTTTGTTCTCTTATGGAACTCCGGGTTCTTGGCGAGAGCGATTGATCCTTGGTTGTCTTCATACATCTTGATCGCTTCGTCGCTTGTCATCTCACCAAGTTCCCCCAAAAGCACCTTGAGCCATACTGCTTCTTTGGTTGCTTCGGAAAGCGCCATGTATTCTGCTTCTGTTGAAGATAGCGCGACCGTCCGTTGTTTCTGGCTTTTCCAGCTGATGCATCCTCCGCTCATCATGAACACATAGCCGCTTGTACTTCGTCTTGACTCAATGTCGCCGGCCCAGTCTGCGTCGGTGTACCCGCAGATACGGCTTCCTTCTTCACGTGTAAACTCAAGACCATGATTGGGCGTTGCTTGCAGGTATCTCAGCACACGCTTCAAAGCTTGCCAGTGAGTCGGGCATGGGTCGGACGAGAACTGGGATAATGATCCCACTGCAGCAGCTAGATCCGGACGTGTGGCGACCATGAGATACATGATGCCTCCGACAGCACTTCGATATGGCACGTTGCACATGGTGTCTTCGTGCTTGCATTCTTGTTCACACATGTTCTTGGTTAGCTTCAGGCCGGGATCTTGAGGCGTCTTCACTGGCTTGCTGTTATCCATTCCGAACTTGGTTAACACGGACTTGAGAAACTTGGTTTGTTGTACAGTCACCATTCCCGTCTTACGGTCGTTCTTGATCTCCATGCCGAGAAAGTAATCGAGCTCACCGAGATCCGTCATTTCGAAGCGTTTGCTCAGCGCCATCTTGGTTGACTTGAGGAGTTCGTTGTTGCTGCTGGCCAGGATGAGATCATCGACGTAGAGCACCACGAGAATCATGTCTTGGTCGTCTCGCTTGATGTAGATGCAGTGGTCCGATTCGCACTTCTTGAATCCCATCTTGATCATGAACCCATCGATTGTTTGGTTCCACATGCGAGGCGATTGCTTCAAGCCGTAGAGTGATCTCTTTAGCTTGCACACATAGTCCGGCTGTGTTGCATCCAGGTATCCGTCCGGCTGGTCCATGTAGATGTCTTCGTTGAGGGAGCCGTTAAGAAACGCTGTCTTGACGTCCATCTGATGTAGCATTAGGCCGTACTTAGCCGCCATACTGAGCACCACACGAATCGATGTGAACTTGGCCACCGGTGCGAAAGTTTCTTCATAGTCAACTCCGAATTTCTGTGAGAATCCTTTGGCCACAAGTCTTGCCTTGAAACGTTCAACTTCGCCATCTTGATTCTCCTTTACACGAAAAACCCATCGGCACCCGATGGCCTTGCGACCTTTCGGAAGAGGCACGATTTCCCACGTGTCGTTTCTCTGAAGCGAATCGAACTCCGAGTCACACGCTTCTTTCCACTTGCCGGAGTCGCTTGATTCCATCGCCGACTTGAATGTAGTCGGCGTTGTTGAAAAGACAGCGGCTGTGAAGAAGACACCTCGTCAAGCTGCGTCAAGTGTTGAAGCAAGTGGAAGACCAAGCTTCGCTATACCGGTGGGTACCGGTATGTACCAGTAAGGGCGAAGTCAGGAAATGACGTCACTGGATGACGTCATTGCATGACGTCAGTGGGTGACGTCAGTGGGTGACGTCACTGGATGACGTCACTGCGAATAATAGGCTTAGAGGTAGTATTCAAAGTTGCGAACTAAGTACCTATTATAAATATATATTCACTTTGCGTTTTGCACTCGGACCAAGAAGTCTAAAGTTCATCAGGTTATGAGCCCAAGTTCGTCAGACTCTGAAACCGCCAACAATTCAAGCTTAGCTGCCATGGACGCCTCCTCCCTCCGCATCTCCAAGTTCGATGGAACTAACTTCCACGCCTGGAAGTTCAAGATGCAGATGGTGCTGGAGGAACGGGACCTATGGGAGGTCGTCAGCGGTGAGATCAAGGCGGAACAGTGCGAGACTCAGTTGGACCAAGCGACGTACAAGAGGAAGTCAAGAAAGGCGATGGCAGTGATCTGTCTAGCCATGGAAGATTCCCAGCTACCGTTGGTCCGGTCGGCAAGTGGTGCATGCGACGCATGGTCAAGGTTGGAAGACCACTTCGAGAAGAAGAGTCTTGCCAACAAGCTGTTCTTGCGCCGTCGCTTCTTCACGACAATGATGGAAGAAGGCGACGATGTGCTCGAACACATCAACAAGCTCAAGACGCTGGCGGAACAGCTAGAAGCGGTGGGGGCTCCAGTCTGCGAGGACGATCTGGTGATCACACTCCTCGGCAGCCTGAGTGACTCGTATCAATTCTTGATCACAGCTTTGGAGTCGCGCTCAGACACTCTTAGCTGGGAGCTCGTGACGTCTCGACTGCTTCATGAAGAAATGAAGCGGAGGGAGCAAGGAAGTAAAGGTGATGAAGCTTCGCAAGGTCAAGCGTTCATCACAAGGGACAATCAGCGCAAAGGGCGACCAGTGAAGAAGTCCTGGCCGTGCCACAATTGCGGAAAGATTGGTCACTGGATGGCGGAGTGCCCCTCGCGCATCCAAGAAAACACGGAGAGACACCGGCCACAGCGTGCTCAAGACAGCGGCGACCGCTATCGATCACAACGTGCAAACGTCGCTCAAGAAGAAGACTCGGGCGACTACCTCTTTTCGATCGGTGAAACGACATCTGCGAAATCGAGCGACATCTGGCTGGTCGACTCCGGGGCGACGCAGCACATGACGTGCTCCAAGAAGTTCATGCGGAACTACAAGGGGTTTGACGCTGTGGATGTCCATCTCGCGGATGATGGAATCGTCCAAGCAATCGGCAGTGGGGACATTGTCATGTCGATGAAGACACCCCAAGGGATGAAGAAAGGTGTGCTCACAAACGTGTGGCACATCCCAAAGTTATCCAGAAACCTGTTCTCGGTCGGCCGCTTCACCAAGGATGTCGGCCCAGTGACGTTCACGAAGGATGGGTGCTATGGAGAAGCGAAAGGGACCAAGTGGAAAATTGGTGCCCGTGAAGGTAAAGGACTGTTCAAGCTGCAAATGACTCCAGTGGCGCCGGAACAAGCAAATGCAGCCAAGTCGTCGGGATGTCAAGGGGGCACCAAGTCGTACCTCTGGCACCTTCGGCTTGGCCACATAGGTCACGATGGACTCAATTGCATCGTGACGAAGAACATTGGAATTGGCATCGACATATCTTCGGTGAAGAAGTGGGACGTGTGTGAAGGTTGTGCTCTGGGAAAACAGACTCGAGTGCGCTTCCAATCAAACACTACAGCTCGCACCTCCAAACTCCTCGAAGTGATTCACAGCGACGTATGCGGACCGATGTCGATGGCAACTTTCAGTGGAAAACGGTACTTCGTGACATTCATTGATGACAAGTCAAGATACTGTGTCGTCTATCTGCTCAAGAGCAAATCTGAAGTTGCGGCGAAGTTCATGGAATACGCTGCGATGGCCGAAACGCAAACCGGAAAGCGCGTGAAGTACCTTCAAAGCGACAATGGGGGTGAATACAAGTCCGACAAGCTGGCACGATTCTGCGCGGAACGGGGAATACAACAAAGGTTCACACCCCCATATACTCCTCAGCTAAACGGAGTAGCTGAGAGAATGAATCGCACGCTGGTCGAGTGTGCGCGTTGCATGATGGAACACGCTGGACTGGGAAAGAGCTACTGGGGTGAAGCAGTGATGACGGCGATGTTTCTTCGAAACCGCTGTCCAACACGTGCCATTCACCAAGACAAGTCTCCATATCAAGTGTGGACGATGAAGAAACCGATTCTGGCCAACCTTAAAGTGTTTGGATGCCACGCGTATGTTCAAGTGCCTCAAGACAAACGCGCGAAGTTCGACTCCAAGTCATCACTCTGTCGTTTCCTGGGATACGCCGAACACCAGAAGTCATATCGATTTGAGGAAGTGTCAACAGGAGCGATCAAGATCAGTCGCGATGCCACATTCATGGAAGACAAGTTTGATGAAGGTCCGCGCAACTACAACGATGAGTCAAGTGTCGTTGAGTTTGATGATCATGATGAGGACGAAGAAAAAGAAGAAGGTAAAACTGACGACGACATGGACTCGAGCGACGATGACAACGAAGACACCAGGTCTTCGAAGAGCAACATCAAGAGACACACGCGCACTCAATCACTTGAGAAAGCTACCGTCATTCCAAGTCCCAAGCGAAGAACATACAGAGGTCCGTCGCTTGAGCATGTGTCAGCGGCTGCAATGGATTTTGAAGCAGCCTACATCGTTGATTCAGTGGGGGAAACGCCGACTACATTCAAGTCGGCGATGGAATCAAGCGACTCCGGCAAGTGGAAAGAAGCGTGTGACTCGGAGTTCGACTCGCTTCAGAGAAACGACACGTGGGAAATCGTGCCTCTTCCGAAAGGTCGCAAGGCCATCGGGTGCCGATGGGTTTTTCGTGTAAAGGAGAATCAAGATGGCGAAGTTGAACGTTTCAAGGCAAGACTTGTGGCCAAAGGATTCTCACAGAAATTCGGAGTTGACTATGAAGAAACTTTCGCACCGGTGGCCAAGTTCACATCGATTCGTGTGGTGCTCAGTATGGCGGCTAAGTACGGCCTAATGCTACATCAGATGGACGTCAAGACAGCGTTTCTTAACGGCTCCCTCAACGAAGACATCTACATGGACCAGCCGGACGGATACCTGGATGCAACACAGCCGGACTATGTGTGCAAGCTAAAGAGATCACTCTACGGCTTGAAGCAATCGCCTCGCATGTGGAACCAAACAATCGATGGGTTCATGATCAAGATGGGATTCAAGAAGTGCGAATCGGACCACTGCATCTACATCAAGCGAGACGACCAAGACATGATTCTCGTGGTGCTCTACGTCGATGATCTCATCCTGGCCAGCAGCAACAACGAACTCCTCAAGTCAACCAAGATGGCGCTGAGCAAACGCTTCGAAATGACGGATCTCGGTGAGCTCGATTACTTTCTCGGCATGGAGATCAAGAACGACCGTAAGACGGGAATGGTGACTGTACAACAAACCAAGTTTCTCAAGTCCGTGTTAACCAAGTTCGGAATGGATAACAGCAAGCCAGTGAAGACGCCTCAAGATCCCGGCCTGAAGCTAACCAAGAACATGTGTGAACAAGAATGCAAGCACGAAGACACCATGTGCAACGTGCCATATCGAAGTGCTGTCGGAGGCATCATGTATCTCATGGTCGCCACACGTCCGGATCTAGCTGCTGCAGTGGGATCATTATCCCAGTTCTCGTCCGACCCATGCCCGACTCACTGGCAAGCTTTGAAGCGTGTGCTGAGATACCTGCAAGCAACGCCCAATCATGGTCTTGAGTTTACACGTGAAGAAGGAAGCCGTATCTGCGGGTACACCGACGCAGACTGGGCCGGCGACATTGAGTCAAGACGAAGTACAAGCGGCTATGTGTTCATGATGAGCGGAGGATGCATCAGCTGGAAAAGCCAGAAACAACGGACGGTCGCGCTATCTTCAACAGAAGCAGAATACATGGCGCTTTCCGAAGCAACCAAAGAAGCAGTATGGCTCAAAGTGCTTTTGGGGGAACTTGGTGAGATGACAAGCGACGAAGCGATCAAGATGTATGAAGACAACCAAGGATCAATCGCTCTCGCCAAGAACCCGGAGTTCCATAAGAGAACAAAACACATCGACATACGCTACCATTTTGTGCGTGAGAAGGTGGAATCAGGTGAAGTCGTTTTGGAGTATTGCCCGACTCAAGATATGCTGGCAGACATGATGACCAAGCCGATCGCCGCTGTACAATTTGAAAACATTCGCGATCGACTTGGGATCCAAGGTGCCGCAGCTAACGAGTCGAGAGGGAGTGTTGAAAAAAGACAGCGGCTGTGAAGAAGACACCTCGTCAAGCTGCGTCAAGTGTTGAAGCAAGTGGAAGACCAAGCTTCGCTATACCGGTGGGTACCGGTATGTACCAGTAAGGGCGAAGTCAGGAAATGACGTCACTGGATGACGTCATTGCATGACGTCAGTGGGTGACGTCAGTGGGTGACGTCACTGGATGACGTCACTGCGAATAATAGGCTTAGAGGTAGTATTCAAAGTTGCGAACTAAGTACCTATTATAAATATATATTCACTTTGCGTTTTGCACTCGGACCAAGAAGTCTAAAGTTCATCAGGCGTTTCCCCACTGAATCAACGATGTAGGCTGCTTCAAAATCCATTGCAGCCGCTGACACATGCTCAAGCGACGGACCTCTGTATGTTCTTCGCTTGGGACTTGGAATGACGGTAGCTTTCTCAAGTGATTGAGTGCGCGTGTGTCTCTTGATGTTGCTCTTCGAAGACCTGGTGTCTTCGTTGTCATCGTCGCTCGAGTCCATGTCGTCGTCAGTTTTACCTTCTTCTTTTTCTTCGTCCTCATCATGATCATCAAACTCAACGACACTTGACTCATCGTTGTAGTTGCGCGTACCTTCATCAAACTTGTCTTCCATGAATGTGGCATCGCGACTGATCTTGATCGCTCCTGTTGACACTTCCTCAAATCGATATGACTTCTGGTGTTCGGCGTATCCCAGGAAACGACAGAGTGATGACTTGGAGTCGAACTTCGCGCGTTTGTCTTGAGGCACTTGAACATACGCGTGGCATCCAAACACTTTAAGGTTGGCCAGAATCGGTTTCTTCATCGTCCACACTTGATATGGAGACTTGTCTTGGTGAATGGCACGTGTTGGACAGCGGTTTCGAAGAAACATCGCCGTCATCACTGCTTCACCCCAGTAGCTCTTTCCCAGTCCAGCGTGTTCCATCATGCAACGCGCACACTCGACCAGCGTGCGATTCATTCTCTCAGCTACTCCGTTTAGCTGAGGAGTATATGGGGGTGTGAACCTTTGTTGTATTCCCCGTTCCGCGCAGAATCGTGCCAGCTTGTCGGACTTGTATTCACCCCCCATTGTCGCTTTGAAGGTACTTCACGCGCTTTCCGGTTTGCGTTTCGGCCATCGCAGCGTATTCCATGAACTTCGCCGCAACTTCAGATTTGCTCTTGAGCAGATAGACGACACAGTATCTTGACTTGTCATCGATGAATGTCACGAAGTACCGTTTTCCACTGAAAGTTGCCATCGACATCGGTCCGCATACGTCGCTGTGAATCACTTCGAGGAGTTTGGAGGTGCGAGCTGTAGTGTTTGATTGGAAGCGCACTCGAGTCTGTTTTCCCAGAGCACAACCTTCACACACGTCCCACTTCTTCACCGGAAGATATGTCGATGCCAATTCCACGTTCTTCGTCACGATGCAATTGAGTCCATCGTGACCTATGTGGCCAAGCCGAAGGTGCCAGAGGTACGACTTGGTGCCCCCTTGACATCCCGACGACTTGGCTGCATTTGCTTGTTCCGGCGCCACTGGAGTCATTTGCAGCTTGAACAGTCCTTTACCTTCACGGGCACCAATTTTCCACTTGGTCCCTTTCGCTTCTCCATAGCACCCATCCTTCGTGAACGTCACTGGGCCGACATCCTTGGTGAAGCGGCCGACCGAGAACAGGTTTCTGGATAACTTTGGGATGTGCCACACGTTTGTGAGCACACCTTTCTTCATCCCTTGGGGTGTCTTCATCGACATGACAATGTCCCCACTGCCGATTGCTTGACGATTCCATCATCCGCGAGATGGACATCCACAGCGTCAAACCCCTTGTAGTTCCGCATGAACTTCTTGAGCACGTCATGTGCTGCGTCGCCCCGGAGTCGACCAGCCAGATGTCGCTCGATTTCGCAGATGTCGTTTCACCGATCGAAAAGAGGTAGTCGCCCGAGTCTTCTTCTTGAGCGACGTTTGCACGTTGTGATCGATAGCGGTCGCCGCTGTCTTGAGCACGCTGTGGCCGGTGTCTCTCCGTGTTTTCTTGGATGCGCGAGGGGCACTCCGCCATCCAGTGACCAATCTTTCCGCAATTGTGGCACGGCCAGGACTTCTTCACTGGTCGCCCTTTGCGCTGATTGTCCCTTGTGATGAACGCTTGACCTTGCGAAGCTTCATCACCTTTACTTCCTTGCTCCTTCCGCTTCATTTCTTCATGAAGCAGTCGAGACGTCACGAGCTCCCAGCTAAGAGTGTCTGAGCGCGACTCCAAAGCTGTGATCAAGAATTGATACGAGTCACTCAGGCTGCCGAGGAGTGTGATCACCAGATCGTCCTCGCAGACTGGAGCCCCCACCGCTTCTAGCTGTTCCGCCAGCGTCTTGAGCTTGTTGATGTGTTCGAGCACATCGTCGCCTTCTTCCATCATTGTCGTGAAGAAGCGACGGCGCAAGAACAGCTTGTTGGCAAGACTCTTCTTCTCGAAGTGGTCTTCCAACCTTGACCATGCGTCGCATGCACCACTTGCCGACCGGACCAACGGTAGCTGGGAATCTTCCATGGCTAGACAGATCACTGCCATCGCCTTTCTTGACTTCCTCTTGTACGTCGCTTGGTCCAACTGAGTCTCGCACTGTTCCGCCTTGATCTCACCGCTGACGACCTCCCATAGGTCCCGTTCCTCCAGCACCATCTGCATCTTGAACTTCCAGGCGTGGAAGTTAGTTCCATCGAACTTGGAGATGCGGAGGGAGGAGGCGTCCATGGCAGCTAAGCTTGAATTGTTGGCGGTTTCAGAGTCTGACGAACTTGGGCTCATAACCTGATGAACTTTAGACTTCTTGGTCCGAGTGCAAAACGCAAAGTGAATATATATATTATTAATAGGTACTTAGTTCGCAACTTTGAATACTACCTCTAAGCCTATTATTCGCAGTGACGTCATCCAGTGACGTCATATATCATCATGACGTCATTTCCTGACTTCGCCCTTACTGGTACATACCGGTACCCACCGGTATAGCGAAGCTTGGTCTTCCACTTGCTTCCAACACTTGACGCAGCTTTTGACGAGGATGTCTTCTTCACAGCCGCTGTCTTTTCAACATGCCGCACGGAAAACTCCACGAAGATGCATCGACTTGAGTTCCGCCTTCACAGCATTTCGCCAGTGAGGCTTGATCAGGACCATTGATCGCGTCTTGAAAAGTCACAGGTTCTGCTAGGTCCGTTGCTTCCACTGCGTTTGCACTTGCACGCCAAAATGTTGGAGGCGTCAAGTCGTCATCTTGATCGTTGACGCTTGCATCTTCTTCGTCATCAGACATCGTTTCTGGAGCACTTGATCGTCGTTTCTGGTGACGGTTGGAGACGTGTGCCGGCGCACTTGCTTGTTCCAATCCAGTTCGAGGGCGAGCTGAACGTGACATGCCGGGTCTTGCTTCACTCTTGCGCTTGCCAGTCTGCTTGTAGACAGTTTGACGCACGTCGTCCTCGTTGATCGCCAGGAGGTCGAGATCCAACTCCGCATCTTCATCATCGTCACTTGGTCGGTCCATCGAAAAGTCAAAAGTCGATTCGTCGAAGGTGATGTCACGACTGATCACCACTTGGTCCGCCTCAATGTCGTACACTCGATAAGCTTTTGACACTTCTTCGTAGCCCATGAATATCCCTTCACGAGCCTTCGGGTCCCACTTCAATCGCTTCTCCCTTGGTGTCAGGATAAACGCCCGACATCCAAACACGCGCATGTGCTTGACACTTGGTTTCGACTTGTACACGATCTCGAACGGAGTCTTGTGGTCGATCTTGGGTGAAGGCAGGCGGTTCTTGATGTAGATCGCCGTCATTGCCGCTTCAGCCCCAGAAACACTTCTCCAGCTTTGCATGATGCAACAAGCTGCGTCCGATCGTGACGATGGTCCTTATCGCGCGTTCTGCGGTGCCGTTGGTCTGGTGTCATACGGCACCGTGATCTGTTGCTCGATACCATGATCTTCGTAGAAGGTCTTGATCGAGTTGGTCGCAATCATACGCTCCATCGTGCCGAACAAACTTGATCTTCGTGCCGAACTGTGTTTGAATCTTGATGATGTGGTTCTTGATACAGTCTTCACTCTCAGACTTGGACCGCAGACAGAAGCCCTTCATGCAACCGCTAGCTTCGTCAACCACAAGCAGTAAGTATTTGCTGCCGCTGATCGAGACTTGTTCCATTGGCCCGCAGATGTCGAAGTGCAGCAACTCGAACATACCATATTGGCGTTTGTCACGGTTGGTTGGGAATGGTTTTTGGACCATCTTTCCTTGCTGAAAACCGCGACACACACTTGGACCAGTCGAGTTGAGAGGTGCCTTGGCGTCCTTGATCATGCCAGTGGCCATCATCTTGCGCAGAACTTCGAGAGGTGCATGACCCATGCGCGCATGCAAGTCGATGGTCCCATTGCGTGTTGCTGCATTCGCCGATCGTTGAGGAGTCCGCAGCCAGTAAAGTCCATCGACGAGATCCGCTGTTGCCACGACTTGTGTGGAATTCTTGCGCTTCACTTGCATCTTGGATCCATCGAACACGACTTGGAACCTCCCACCCTTGTTGATCTGTGGCACCGAAAGCAGATTCTTGCTCATGCTTGGTACGAACAGCGCGTCCTTGATCTCGATGTCGCGTTCGTCACCATTGGGCAGAACCACCCGTTCCATGATGGTTCCCACACTCTTGATCGCAGCCTTGCTGCCATCAGCCACTGATAGTTCGCCTTCCCTCTCGCTCATTCAGGCTTGCAAACTTGGCCTTGTCGTTGCAGATGTGATGCGTCGCACCGCTGTCGACTGCCCACATCCCTGGCATATTCTTGCCCGTCGAAAGTCCGGCCTCCAGCGAAACCGCGAACGCAACTCGATCGCAGTTGTCGTCGTAGTTGCTGTTGGTTCGCCACTGAACGTTGTTGGCTCCAGTCCACGAGCATTGTTGCCGCCGCGTCGAGCTCCACCTTGATTCTCGTCCTTCTGCTTGGTCCAGCACCGCTCCGCCGTGTGCCCCAATTTTCCGCAGTATGTACACTGGCGAGGTTCACGCTCGGTACTGAACGCCTTGGCCGCGTCTTCAGTCTTCACCGATGTCCGTCTTGTCACCTTGCCTCTTGATGTGCTCATTCGTGAGCACTCTCACGACGTCTCGCGATCGCAGTTCCGCGCTGCTCATCTCCAAGTTGAGAACGACGTTCTCGTAGCTCTTGGGGAGGGCTGCGCAACAAGCAGATCGCCACGTCCCCTCGTCCTCCATCTTGGCGCCGATGCTGCTGAGCTGCGCTGATGTGTTGAGGACTTCCGTTGCAATGATGCATCACACGCCGCCTTCCGCCATCTCCATGGAACAGCTGGCGCTTCAGTAGATGCGTCCAGCCTTCTGCGACCCGCCGTACAGCTGTCTTCAAGCGCGCCCACGCGACCCACGCCCTTCACAGTCATCAACCACGTGATGATAATCCGCGCCTATGTGCAGCAGCATCAAGCCGAACGCAATGTTGTTGGTCTTGACGTAGTCGTCACTGGCGCGAGGATCGGCGAAGGTGGGGGTGGTCTCCCCGGTTCACAATGCGCCACGCCGACTTGGTCAGGAACACGCCACGCATGTAGCGGCTCCACGTCGCGTAGTTGTTGCCGTCGAACTTGTCGATGGAGATCTTGGTGGTGGCATACATGAGCAGAGGACATCGTGCTTGGGCTCATAACCTGTTGATTGGTAAAAAGCTTGACGACCGAAATTGGGAGTGATGCTGGGAGTCTACTCGGAAGACCGGAAAAGACACTTGGGGGTAGATTTAGAAGATTCGAAAGTGATTGATTATCGGGACTTACTACTTACTACATGATTTATATGTAGTGTACATATAAATCATGTGAAGCGTCTCATCATCCTACGCGTCTAATCAACTATGGTAATTACCGTAAGAACTCTGTCGTAAATACTAAGCTGAACAGGCGGTTCGGATTGGACCGGTCACAGTTACCAATACTGGTAGAAAACGATGACCGTCATCAAGACCCCCTCAATCCGAATGCTCACGAATCCCGGAGAGCCGTCGTCATCTCCTTTTTGTGGTGTGGTCCATGAGTCCCTTCTGTCATGATGTCCGCTAAAATCACCGCAGTTTCACAGTACTTGAGCTTCACTTCACCGCGCTTGACCTCATCACGGATGTGATGGTACTTGATATCAATGTGCTTGGCACGGCCGTGGTTGACCGGGTTCTTCGTCATCTTGATACATGACTGATTGTCTTCATGAATCATGAGTTCCGGTCCTTCTTCATTGGCAGCCATCACGATCTCACAAAGCAGACGATGAATCCACTTGGCCCCCTCTTGAATCGCCAAGCTGAGTGCGATGTATTCAGCTTCAGTCGTGGACAACGAAACACTTGGCTGCTTCTTGCTGCCCCAACTCACTGGCGCACCGAGTAGCATGAACGTGTACCCCGATGTTGACTTGCGGTCGGTAAGTTCACCAGCCCAATCCGCATCCGAATATCCACGGAAGTCGATCCTAACTGCACTTGGCTTGTAGCAAATTCCATGCGTCTTAGTGCCTTGTAGGTAGCGAAAGATACGCTTAACTGCAACCCAGTGTTCTTCTTGGGGATTTTCCATGAACCGCGACATAGCCCACAGCAAACGCAATGTCCGGACGCGTGGAGGGTCAGGTGCATCAACGCACCAACAGCTTCGCGAAAAGGAGCATCGACCTTGGTAGTTGCATCACTTGAAACAAGTCGAGAGCTCATGTCGACTGGACTTGCGACTGCCTTGCAATCATCCATGCCAAAGCGCTTGAGGATATCATCGACATACCGACGCTGACATAGTGTCACACTGCCATCTTCACCGTCCAAAAGCTCGATCCCAAGAACAAACGCACACTTTGCCGCTGTCCGTCATCTCGAACCGCGTCTTCAGGTCGTTCTTGGTTTGTGCAATCAGCTCGAGCGAGCTTCCAGTCACCAAGACGTCGTCCACGTAGACCAGTATAACACGCAATGGCCGTCCGATGTCTTGATGTAGAGACATGGGTCAAAGCCTGACACTTGAAATCCAATGGAACACTCAAATTCGTCAAAAGTCTCGTTCCATACTCGCGAAGCTTGCTTCAGGTCGTAAATTGCCTTCACCAATTCTAGGCAGTCGAACGTACTGTCAAGTTCGACGCCTTCAGGAATCACGCAGAACACTTGTTCATTCATGACGCCAAACAGGAAAGCTGTCACCACATCAAGCTGGTCGATGGGCCATCCAAAATACTTGGAAATTGCGATCACCATTCTCAGCGTCACATACTTGACCACAGGCGAAAACGTCTCCGTGTAGTTAATGCCATACTTTTGGCGGAAACCCTTGGCCACAAGTCGTGCCTTGTACTTCTCGATAGATCCATCCGCTTTACGCTTGATCTTGAACACCCATTTTGTGCCAATGGCGCGTTGTCCGTTGGGCAGCTTGGCTGCACGAAACACACCGCGAAGTCGCATTGACTCGAGCTCTGCATGAATTGCTTTTCTCCAGTGCACTTGGTCAGGGCCGCTTACTGCTGCTTCAAATGTTGAGGGCTCTGATAAGTCCACTGCTGCTTCAACGGCATTTGCACTCGCACGCCAAAACACAGGCGGTGTTGAATCACCAGAATCCTTCGTTTCTTCGTCTTCTTCTTGGCGTGACGAGTTGTTTTCCCGGCGCGTTTGACTCTTCTAGTCCTGGTCGTTGACGCACTGCACGCGGTCGTGGGGCTGCTGTATCTTCATCATTGAGTCGGTTCTTGCGCTTGCCTGTTTGCTTGTACTCCATTTGACGCAGCTCTTCGTCATCAAGATCCAGCAATTTGAAGTCCAGGTCATCGACATCTTCATCAGTGATCGGCAGTTGAAGTCCAAAGGTGGACTCGTCGAAGTTGACATCGCGGCTGATAACCACCTACCCCGCCTCGACGTCATAAACACGATATGACTTCGAAACTTCTTCGTAGCCCACGAATATGCCAGCGCGAGCCTTTGGATCCCACTTGAGTCGCTTCTCCTTCGGAGTCAGTATAAATGTCTGACAGCCGAATACTCGCATGTGCTTGACACTTGGCTTCGAGTTGTACACGATCTCAAACGGGATCTTGTGCACGACTTTAGGTGACGGCAGTCGATTCTTGACGTAGATGGCCGTCATCGCTGCTTCGGCCCAGAAAAACTTGTCCAGTTTGGCATGATGAAGCATGCTGCGGCCGATCGTGACAACAGTCCTAATGGCACACTCTGCTGTTCCGTTTGTTTGATGTGCATACGGCACCGTTGTCTGCTGTTCAATGCCTTAGTCTTCGTAGAACAGCTGAAGCGAGTTGGTTGCAAACTCGCGAGCTCCGTCGTGTCGCACGAACTTGACCTTCTTACAGAATTGCGTCTGTACCATGGTGATATATTTCCGGATGTAGTCTTCACTCTCGGACTTCACTCGTAGACAAAAGCCCTTCATGCATCCACTGGCTTCGTCGATGATCAGCAGCAAATATTTGCTGCCACCAAGCGAATCCTTTTCCATGGGCCCGCAGATGTCCAGATGAAGTAGCTGTTGACGGTCATCGGTTTTCTACCAGTGTTGGTAACCGTGACCGGTCCAATCCAAACCGCCTGTTCAGCCTAGTATTTATGACGTAGTTCTTACGGTAATTACCATAGTTGATTAGACGCGTAGGATGATGAGACGCTTCACATGATTTATATGTACACCACATATAAATCATGTAGTAAGTAGTAAGTCCCGATAATCAATCACTTTCGAATCTTCCAACTATTGGGCAAGTGTTTTCTGCTCCACTCTCTTCGGTCTCTCCACTCCGTTCGCTCCGATCTACAATGCAACAGGTTATGAGCCCAAGCGCCATGTCGTCCACCAGCAACGCCTCCATTGACAAGTTCAACGGAGACAATTACGCAACGTGGAGCCGGTACATGCGCGGTGTGTTTTTGACGAAGTCCGTCTGGCACGTCGTCAACCGTGAAGTGACTCCGACTTTCACCGACCCGCGAGCGTCCGATGACTACGTCAAGGCAAGCAACGTCGCGTTTGGTATGATGCTGCTGCACATGAACGCGGACTACTATCATGTGCTGGACAACTGCGAGGAAGCCTGGGTTGCGTGGACCAGTCTGAAGACGCTGTACGGTGGGTCGCAGAAGGCAGGACGCATCTACCTCAAGCGACAACTTTTCAGCATCAAGATGGCTGAAGGCGCGAACGTCATGCATCACTGCAACGAGGTCCTCAACATCTCCGCCAAGCTTAGCGGCATCGGTGCGAAGATGGAAGACGAAGACATTGCAATTTGTCTGCTACTCAGTCTTCCGAAGAGCTACGAAAATGTGGTACTCAACATGGAAATGAGCAGCACCGAGCTTCGCACTCAAGATGTGGTGAGAGTCCTGACGAATGAGCATGCCAAGCGTCAAGGAGAAAAAGGGACAACGACAGCGACTACGGTGAAGGCTGAAGATGCAAGCAAGGCATTCAGCGCCGAGCGTGAGCCCTACCAATACACGTATTGTGGCAAGGTGGGATACACGGTGGATCGTTGCTGGACAAAGCAGAAGAACGAAGGTCGGGGAGCCCGACGCGGCGGCAATGGTCGTGGACGCGGGGCTAACAATGTCCAGTGGGGACATCATGATCAAGGCAATGGCTACGATCGAGTGGCGTTTGCAGTCTCGTTCGAATGTGGAGTTTCGACGAGCAAGGACGTGTCTGGAATGTGGGCCGTTGACAGTGGTGCAACGCACCACATTTGCCACGACAAGACCAAGTTCGCAAGTTTGGCAGAGCGCAATGAGGGCGAACTCTTGGTGGATGATGGCAACAAGGTGGCCATCAAGGGTGTGGGAACCATAATGGAAAAGGTGGTTCTGCCCAACGGTGAAGAGCGTGAGATCGAAATCAAGAACGCGCTATATGTTCCAAGTATGAGCAAGAACCTGCTCTCGGCGCCACAGATTAACAGCCATGGCAAGTTTCAAGTCGTGTTTGACGGGTCCAAGATGTATGTGACTCTCAAGAACTCACAGCAAGTGGTGGCGACAGCGGATCTCGTGGATGGACTCTACTGGCTTCGGACGACTCAACGATCAGCGAATGTGACAACAAGTGGAACCAGTTGTGCCGATCTACATGCGAGAATGGGTCATGCTCCAGTCGATGTACTTCTCGAGATGATCGCGACCAACATGATCAAGGATGTGCGAGTCCCTCTCAAGTCGGGTGGAGCAACTACATGTCGAGGATGTCAGCAAGGGAAAATGGTCCAAAACCCATTCCCAAGCAATCGTGACAAGCGAAGTTACGACACGTTTGAGCTGCTTCATCTGGACATCTGCGGGCCCATGGAAAATGATTCGCTCGGTGGCAGCAAATATTTGCTGCTGATCATCGACGAAGCCAGTGGATGCATGAAGGGCTTTTGTCTACGAGTGAAATCCGAGAGTGAAGACTACATCCGGAAATATATCACCATGGTACAGACGCAATTCTGTAAGAAGGTCAAGTTCGTGCGACACGACGGAGCTCGCGAGTTTGCAACCAACTCGCTTCAACTGTTCTACGAAGACATTGAACAGCAGACAACGGTGCCGTATTCACATCAAACAAACGGAACAGCAGAGCGTGCCATTAGTACTATTGTCACGATCGGCCGCAGCATGCTTCATCATGCCAAACTGGACAAGTGTTTCTGGGCTGAAGTAGCAATGACGGGCCATCTACGTCAAGAATCGCCTACCGTCACCTAAAGTTGTGCACAAGACCCCGTTTGAGATCGTGTACAACTCCAAGCCAAGTGTCAAGCATATGCGAGTATTTGGCTGTCAGACATTATACTGACTCTGAAGGAGAAGCGACTCAAGTGGGATCCCAAGGCTCGCGCTGGCATATTCGTGGGCTACGAAGAAGTTTCGAAGTCATATCGTGTTTATGACGTCGAGGCGGGGTAGGTGGTTATCAGCCGCGATGTCAACTTCGACGAGTCCACCTTTGGACTTCAACTGCCGATCACTGATGAAGATGTCGATGACCTGGACTTCGACTTGCTGGATCTTGATGACGAAGAGCTGCGTCAAATGGAGTACAAGCAAACAGGCAAGCGCAAGAACCGACTCAATGATGAAGATACAGCAGCCCCACGACCGCGTGCAGTGCGTCAACGACCAGGACTAGAAGAATCAAGCGCGCCGGAAAACAACTCGTCACGCCAAGAAGAAGACGAAGAAACGAAGGATTCTGGTGATTCAACACCGCCTGTGTTTTGGCGTGCGAGTGCAAATGCCGTTGAAGCAGCAGTGGACTTATCAGAGCCCTCAACATTTGAAGCAGCAGTAAGCGGCCCTGACCAAGTGCACTGGAGAAAAGCAATTCATGCAGAGCTCGAGTCAATGCGACTTCGCGGTGTGTTTCGTGCAGCCAAGCTGCCCAACGGACAACGCGCCATTGGCACAAAATGGGTGTTCAAGATCAAACGTAAAGCGGACAGATCCATCAAGAAGTACAAGGCGCGTCTCGTGGCAAAGGGCTTTCGCTTAAAGTATGGAATCAACTACACGGAGACGTTTTCGCCTGTGGTCGAGTATGTGACGCTGAGAATGGTGATCGCAATTTCCAAGTATTTTGGATGACCCATCGACCAGCTTGATGTGGTGACAGCTTTCCTGTATGGCGTCATGAAGGAACAAGTATTCTGCGTGATTCCTGAAGGCGTCGAACTTGACAGTACGTTCGACTGCCTGGAATTGGTGAAGTCAATTTACGGCCTGAAGCAAGCTTTGCGAGTATGGAACGAGACTTTTGGCGAGTGTGTGTTCCATTGGATTTCAAGTGTCAGGCTTCGACCCATGTCTCTACATCAAGACATCGGACGGCCATTGCGTGTTTATACTGGTCTATGTGGATGACGTGTTGGTGACAGGAAGCTCACCCAAGTTGATTGCACACACCAAGGAAGACCTGAAGACACGCTTCGAGATGACTGATAGCGGCAAGTGTGCGTTTGTTCTTGGGATCGAGCTTTTGGACGGTGAAGATGGCAGTGTGACACTATGTCAGCGTCGGTATGTCGATGATATCCTCAAGCGCTTTGGCATGGATGATTGCAAGGCAGTCGCAAGTCCAGTCGACATGAGCTCTCGACTTGTTTCAAGTGATGCAACTACCAAGGTCGATGCTCCTTTTCGCGAAGCTGTTGGTGCGTTGATGCACCTGACCACTGCAACGCGTCCGGACATTGCGTTTGCTGTGGGCTATGTGTCGCGGTTCATGGAAAATCCCCAAGAAGAACACTGGGTTGCAGTTAAGCGTATCTTTCGCTACCTACAAGGCACCAAGACGCATGGAATTTGCTACAAGCCAAGTGCAAGGATCGACTTCCGTGGATATTCGGATGCGGATTGGGCTGGTGATCTTACCGACCGCAAGTCAACATCGGGGTACACGTTCATGCTACTCGGTGCGCCAGTGAGTTGGGGCAGCAAGAAGCAGCCAAGTGTTTCGTTGTCCACGACTGAAGCTGAATACATCGCACTCAGCTTGGCGATTCAAGAGGGCAAGTGGATTCATCGTCTGCTTTGTGAGATCGTGATGGCTGCCAATGAAGAAGGACCGGAACTCATGATTCATGAAGACAATCAGTCATGTATCAAGATGACGAAGAACCCGGTCAACCACGGCCGTGCCAAGCACATTGATATCAAGTACCATCACATCCGTGATGAGGTCAAGCGCGGTGAAGTGAAGCTCAAGTATTGTGAAACTGCGGTGATGTTAGCGGACATCATGACGAAGGGACTTCATGGACCACGCCACAAGGAGATGACGACGGCTCTCGGGATTCGTGAGCATTCGGATTGAGGGGGCGTGTTGACGGTCATCGGTTTTCTACCAGTGTTGGTAACCGTGACCGGTCCAATCCGAACCGCCTGTTCAGCCTAGTATTTACGACGTAGTTCTTACGGTAATTACCATAGTTGATTAGACGCGTAGGATGATGAGACGCTTCACATGATTTATATGTACACCACATATAAATCATGTAGTAAGTAGTAAGTCCCGATAATCAATCACTTTCGAATCTTCCAACTATTGGGCAAGTGTTTTCTGCTCTACTCTCTTCGGTCTCTCCGCTCCGTTCGCTCCGCTTTCCTCGCTCCGATCTACAATGCAACAGGTTATGAGCCCAAGCGCCATGTCGTCCACCAGCAACGCCTCCATTGACAAGTTCAACGGAGACAATTACGCAACGTGGAGCCGGTACATGCGCGGTGTGTTTTTGACGAAGTCCGTCTGGCACGTCGTCAACCGTGAAGTGACTCCGACTTTCACCGACCCGCGAGCGTCCGATGACTACGTCAAGGCAAGCAACGTCGCGTTTGGTATGATGCTGCTGCACATGAACGCGGACTACTATCATGTGCTGGACAACTGCGAGGAAGCCTGGGTTGCGTGGACCAGTCTGAAGACGCTGTACGGTGGGTCGCAGAAGGCAGGACGCATCTACCTCAAGCGACAACTTTTCAGCATCAAGATGGCTGAAGGCGCGAACGTCATGCATCACTGCAACGAGGTCCTCAACATCTCCGCCAAGCTTAGCGGCATCGGTGCGAAGATGGAAGACGAAGACGTTGCAATTTGTCTGCTACTCAGTCTTCCGAAGAGCTACGAAAATGTGGTACTCAACATGGAAATGAGCAGCACCGAGCTTCGCACTCAAGATGTGGTGAGAGTCCTGACGAATGAGCATGCCAAGCGTCAAGGAGAAAAAGGGACAACGACAGCGACTACGGTGAAGGCTGAAGATGCAAGCAAGGCATTCAGCGCCGAGCGTGAGCCCTACCAATGCACGTATTGTGGCAAGGTGGGACACACGGTGGATCGTTGCTGGACAAAGCAGAAGAACGAAGGTCGGGGAGCCCGACGCGGCGGCAATGGTCGTGGACGCGGGGCTAACAATGTCCAGTGGGGACATCATGATGAAGGCAATGGCTACGATCGAGTGGCGTTTGCAGTCTCGTTCGAATGTGGAGTTTCGACGAGCAAGGACGTGTCTGGAATATGGTCCGTCGACAGTGGTGCAACGCACCACATTTGCCACGACAAGACCAAGTTCGCAAGTTTGGCAGAGCGCAATGAGGGCGAACTCTTGGTGGATGATGGCAACAAGGTGGCCATCAAGGGTGTGGGAACCATCATGGAAAAGGTGGTTCTGCCCAACGGTGAAGAGCGTGAGATCGAAATCAAGAACGCGCTATATGTTCCAAGTATGAGCAAGAACCTGCTCTCGGTGCCACAGATTAACAGCCATGGCAAGTTTCAAGTCGTGTTTGACGGGTCCAAGATGTATGTGACTCTCAAGAACTCACAGCAAGTGGTGGCGACAGCGGATCTCGTGGATGGACTCTACTGGCTTCGGACGACTCAACGATCAGCGAATGTGACAACAAGTGGAACCAGTTGTGCCGATCTACATGCGAGAATGGGTCATGCTCCAGTCGATGTACTTCTCAAGATGATCGCGACCAACATGATCAAGGATGTGCGAGTCCCTCTCAAGTCGGGTGGAGCAACTACATGTCGAGGATGTCAACAAGGGAAAATGGTCCAAAAACCATTTCCAAGCAACCGAGACAAGCGCAGCTACGATACGTTTGAGCTGCTTCATCTGGACATCTGCGGGCCCATGGAAAAGGATTCGCTCGGTGGCAGCAAATATTTGCTGCTGATCATCGACGAAGCCAGTGGATGCATGAAGGGCTTTTGTCTACGAGTGAAGTCCGAGAGTGAAGACTACATCCGGAAATATATCACCATGGTACAGACGCAATTCTGTAAGAAGGTCAAGTTCGTGCGACACGACGGAGCTCGCGAGTTTGCAACCAACTCGCTTCAGCTGTTCTACGAAGACGAAGGCATTGAACAGCAGACAACGGTGCCGTATGAACATCAAACAAACGGAACAGCAGAGTGTGCCATTAGGACTGTTGTCACGATCGGCCGCAGCATGCTTCACCATGCCAAGTTGGACAAGTGCTTCTGGGCTGAATTAGCAATGACGGTCATCTACGTCAAGAATCGCCTACCGTCACCAAAAATGTGCATAAGACCCCGTTTGAGATCGTGTACAACTCCAAGCGAAGTTTCAAGCACATGCGAGTATTCGGCTGTCAGACGTACATACTGACGCCTAAAGAGAATCGACTCAAGTGGGATCCAAAGGCTCGCGCTGGCATATTCGTGGGCTACGAAGAAGTGTCCAAGGCATATCGTGTATTTGACATTGAGGCGGGGTAGGTTGTTGTCAGTCACAATGTCAACTTCGACGAGTCCACCTTTGGACTTCAACTGCCGATCACTGATGAAGATGTCGATGACCTGGACTTCGACTTGCTGGATCTTGATGACGAAGAGCTGCGTCAAATGGAGTATCAGCAAACTGGCAAGCGCAAGAACCGACTCAATGATGAAGATACAGCAGCTCCACGACCGCGTGCAGTGCGTCAACGACCAGGACTAGAAGAGTCAAGCGCGCCGGAAAACAACTCGTCACGCCAAGAAGAAGACGAAGAAACGAAGGATTCTGGTGATTCAACACCGCCTGTGTTTTGGCGTGCGAGTGCAAATGCCGTTGAAGCAGCAGTGGACTTATCAGAGCCCTCAACATTTGAAGCAGCAGTAAGCGGCCCTGACCAAGTGCACTGGAGAAAAGCAATTCATGCAGAGCTCGAGTCAATGCGACTTCGCGGTGTGTTTCGTGCAGCCAAGCTGCCCAACGGACAACGCGCCATTGGCACAAAATGGGTGTTCAAGATCAAGCGCAAGGCGGATGGGTCAATCGAGAAGTACAAGGCACGACTTGTGGCCAAGGGTTTCCGCCAAAAGTATGGCATCGACTACACGGAGACGTTTTCGCCTGTGGTCAAGTATGTGACGCTGCGAATGGTGATCGCAATTTCCAAGTATTTTGGATGGCCCATCGACCAGCTTGATGTGGTGACAGCTTTCCTGTATGGCGTCATGAAGGAACAAGTGTTCTGCGTGATTCCTGAAGGCGTCGAACTTGACAGTACGTTCGACTGCCTGGAATTGGTGAAGTCAATTTACGGCCTCAAGCAAGCGTCGCGAGTGTGGAACGAGACGTTCGACGAGTATGTGTGCTCCATCGGATTTCAAGTATCGGACTTCGACCCATGTCTCTACATCAAGACATCGGAAGGCCATTGCGTGTTTATACTGGTCTACGTGGACGACGTCTTGGTGACTGGAAGCTCGCTCGAGCTGATTGCACAAACCAAGAACGACCTGAAGACGCGGTTCGAGATGACGGACAGCGGCAAGTGTGCGTTTGTTCTTGGGATCGAGCTTTTGGACGGTGAAGATGGCAGTGTGACACTATGTCAGCGTCGGTATGTCGATGATATCCTCAAGCGCTTTGGCATGTATGATTGCAAGGCAGTCGCAAGTCCAGTCGACATGAGCTCTCGACTTGTTTCAAGTGATGCAACTACCAAGGTCGATGCTCCTTTTCGCGAAGCTGTTGGTGCGTTGATGCACCTGACCACTGCAACGCGTCCGGACATTGCGTTTGCTGTGGGCTATGTGTCGCGGTTCATGGAAAATCCCCAAGAAGAACACTGGGTTGCAGTTAAGCGTATCTTTCGCTACCTACAAGGCACTAAGACGCATGGAATTTGCTACAAGCCAAGTGCAAGGATCGACTTCCGTGGATATTCGGATGCGGATTGGGCTGGTGAACTTACCGACCGCAAGTCAACATCGGGGTACACGTTCATGCTACTCGGTGCGCCAGTGAGTTGGGGCAGCAAGAAGCAGCCAAGTGTTTCGCTGTCCACGACTGAAGCTGAATACATCGCACTCAGCTTGACGATTCAAGAGGGCAAGTGGATTCATCGTCTGCTTTGTGAGATCGTGATGGCTGCCAATGAAGAAGGACCGGAACTCATGATTCATGAAGACAATCAGTCATGTATCAAGATGACGAAGAACCCGGTCAACCACGGCCGTGCCAAGCACATTGATATCAAGTACCATCACATCCGTGATGAGGTCAAGCGCGGTGAAGTGAAGCTCAAGTATTGTGAAACTGCGGTGATGTTAGCGGACATCATGACGAAGGGACTTCATGGACCACGCCACAAGGAGATGACGACGGCTCTCGGGATTCGTGAGCATTCGGATTGAGGGGGCGTGTTGACGGTCATCGGTTTTCTACCAGTGTTGGTAACCGTGACCGGTCCAATCCGAACCGCCTGTTCAGCTTAGTATTTACGACGTAGTTCTTACGGTAATTACCATAGTTGATTAGACGCGTAGGATGATGAGACGCTTCACATGATTTATATGTACACCACATATAAATCATGTAGTAAGTAGTAAGCCCCGATAATCAATCACTTTCGAATCTTCCAACTATTGGGCAAGTGTTTTCTGCTCTACTCTCTTCGGTCTCTCCGCTCCGTTCGCTCCGCTTTCCTCGCTCCGATCTACAATGCAACAGTAGCTCAAACGTATCGTGGCTGCTCTTGTATTGGTTGTTTGGAAATGGTTTTTGGACCAATTTCTCTTGTTGACATCCTCGACATGTAGTTGCTCCACCCGACTTGAGAGGGACTCGCACATCCTTGATCATGTTGGTCGCGATCATCTTGAGAAGTACATCGACAGGCGCCTGAATCACCCATGTAGATCTTTCTTCGCTCTCGATCTACAACTCGCACAGTAGCTCAAACGTATTCGTGGCCATGGTTGTTTGGAAATGGTTTTGGACCATTTTCTTTTGCTGACCCTCGACATGTACCTGATCCACTTGACTTGAGAGGTACTCCCACATCTTTGATCATGTTTTTGGAGACCATCTTGTGAAGCACGTCGACTGGAGCATGACCCATTCTCGCATGTAGATCGGCACAACTGGTTCCACTTGTTGTCACATTCGCTGATCGTTGAGTCGTCCGAAGCCAGTAGAGTCCATCCACGAGATCCGCTGTCGCCACCACTTGCTGTGAGTTCTTGAGAGTCACATACATCTTGGACCCGTCAAACACGACTTGAAACTTGCCATGGCTGTTAATCTGTGGCACCGAGAGCAGGTTCTTGCTCATACTTGGAACATATAGCGCGTTCTTGATTTCGATCTCACGCTCTTCACCGTTGGGCAGAACCACCTTTTCCATTATGGTTCCCACACCCTTGATGGCCACCTTGTTGCCATCATCCACCAAGAGTTCGCCCTCATTGCGCTCTGCCAAACTTGCGAACTTGGTCTTGTCGTGGCAAATGTGGTGCGTTGCACCACTGTCGACGGCCCACATTCCAGACACGTCCTTGCTCGTCGAAACTCCACATTCGAACGAGACTGCAAACGCCACTCGATCGTAGCCATTGCCTTCATCATGATGTCCCCACTGGACATTGTTAGCCCCCGCGTCCACGACCATTGCCGCCGCGTCGGGCTCCCCGACCTTCGTTCTTCTGCTTTGTCCAGCAACGATCCACCGTGTGTCCCACCTTGCCACAATACGTGCATTGGTAGGGCTCACGCTCGGCGCTGAATGCCTTGCTTGCATCTTCAGCCTTCACCGTAGTCGCTGTCGTTGTCCCTTTTTCTCCTTGACGCTTGGCATGCTCATTCGTCAGGACTCTCACCACATCTTGAGTGCGAAGCTCGGTGCTGCTCATTTCCATGTTGAGTACCACATTTTCGTAGCTCTTCGGAAGACTGAGTAGCAGACAAATTGCAACGTCTTCGTCTTCCATCTTCGCACCGATGCCGCTAAGCTTGGCAAAGATGTTGAGGACCTCGTTGCAGTGATGCATGACGTTCGCGCCTTCAGCCATCTTGATACTGAAAAGTTGTCGCTTGAGGTAGATGCGTCCTGCCTTCTGCGACCCACCGTACAGCGTCTTCAGACTTGTCCACGCAACCCAGGCTTCCTCGCAGTTGTCCAGCACATGATAGTAGTCCGCGTTCATGTGCAGCAGCATCATACCAAACGCGACGTTGCTTGCCTTGACGTAGTCATCGGACGCTCGCGGGTCGGTGAAAGTCGGAGTCACTTCACGGTTGACGACGTGCCAGACGGACTTCGTCAAAAACACACCGCGCATGTACCGGCTCCACGTTGCGTAATTGTCTCCGTTGAACTTGTCAATGGAGGCGTTGCTGGTGGACGACATGGCGCTTGGGCTCATAACCTGTTGCATTGTTGATCGGAGCGAGGAAAGCGGAGCGAACGGAGCGGAGAGACCGAAGAGAGTGGAGCAGAAAACACTTGCCCAATAGTTGGAAGATTCGAAAGTGATTGATTATCGGGACTTACTACTTACTACATGATTTATATGTGGTCCACATATAAATCATGTGAAGCGTCTCATCATCCTACGCGTCTAATCAACTATGGTAATTACCGTAAGAACTACGTCGTAAATACCAAGCTGAACAGGCGGTTCGGATTGGACCGGTCACGGTTACCAATACTGGTAGAAAACCGATGACCGTCAACACGCCCCCTCAATCCGAATGCTCACGAATCCCGAGAGCCGTCGTCATCTCCTTGTGGCGTGGTCCATGAAGTCCCTTCGTCATGATGTCCGCTAACATCACCGCAGTTTCACAATACTTGAGCTTCACTTCACCGCGCTTGACCTCATCACGGATGTGATGGTACTTGATATCAATGTGCTTGGCACGGCCGTGGTTGACCGGGTTCTTCGTCATCTTGATACATGACTGATTGTCTTCATGAATCATGAGTTCCGGTCCTTCTTCATTGGCAGCCATCACGATCTCACAAAGCAGACGATGAATCCACTTGCCCTCTTGAATCGCCAAGCTGAGTGCGATGTATTCAGCTTCAGTCGTGGACAACAAAACACTTGGCTGCTTCTTGCTGCCCCAACTCACTGGCGCACCGAGTAGCATGAACGTGTACCCCGATGTTGACTTGCGGTCGGTAAGTTCACCAGCCCAATCCGCATCCGAATATCCACGGAAGTCGATCCTTGCACTTGGCTTGTAGCAAATTCCATGCGTCTTGGTGCCTTGTAGGTAGCGAAAGATACGCTTAACTGCAACCCAGTGTTCTTCTTGGGGATTTTCCATGAACGACCGCGACACATAGCCCACAGCAAACGCAATGTCCGGACGCGTTGCAGGTGGTCAGGTGCATCAACGCACCAACAGCTTCGCGAAAAGGAGCATCGACCTTGGTAGTTGCATCACTTGAAACAAGTCGAGAGCTCATGTCGACTGGACTTGCGACTGCCTTGCAATCATCCATGCCAAAGCGCTTGAGGATATTATCGACATACCGACGCTGACATAGTGTCACACTGCCATCTTCACCGTCCAAAAGCTCGATCCCAAGAACAAACGCACACTTGCCGCTATCAGTCATCTCGAAGCGTGTCTTCAGGTCTTCCTTGGTGTGTGCAATCAACTTGGGTGAGCTTCCTGTCACCAACACGTCATCCACATAGACCAGTATAAACACGCAATGGCCGTCCGATGTCTTGATGTAGAGACATGGGTCGAAGCCTGACACTTGAAATCCAATGGAACACACACTCGTCAAAAGTCTCGTTCCATACTCGCAAAGCTTGCTTCAGGCCGTAAATTGCCTTCACCAATTCCAGGCAGTCGAACGTACTGTCAAGTTCGACGCCTTCAGGAATCACGCAGAATACTTGTTCCTTCATGACGCCATACAGGAAAGCTGTCACCACATCAAGCTGGTCGATGGGTCATCCAAAATACTTGGAAATTGCGATCACCATTCTCAGCGTCACATACTCGACCACAGGCGAAAACGTCTCCGTGTAGTTAATGCCATACTTTTGGCGGAAACCGGCCGCCATCAAGTGCCTTGTACTTCTCGATAGATACATCCGCCTTTACGCTTGATCTTGAATTTTTGTGCCAATGGCGCGTTGTCCGTTGGGCAGCTTGGCTGCACGAATCACACCGCGAAGTGCATTGCCAACTTGACTCGAAGCCCTGAATTGCTGATTTCTCTAGTGCGCTCATGGATCAGGGCTGCTTACTGCTTCAAATGTTGAGGGCTCTGATAAGTCCCTTCCCTGCTGCTTCAACGGCATTTGCGCCCTCGCACGCCAAAACACAGGCGGTGTTGAATCACCAAGCAATCCTTCGTTTCTTCTTCTTGGCGTGCTTGGCGGTTACCAGTGGTGTTTGCCGCCGCGCTTTCTATGTCCTGGTCGTTGACGCACTGCACGGGTCGTGGAGCTGCTGTATCTTACATCATTGAGTCGGTTCTTGCGCTTGCCTGTTTTTCTGTACTCCCATTTGACGCAGCTCTTCGTCATCAAGATCCAGCAATTCGAAGGTCAGGTCATCGACATCTTCATCAGTGATCGGCAGTTGAAGTTCTCAAGGTGGACTCGTCGAAGTTGACATCGCGGCTGATAACCACCTGCCCCGCCTCGATGTCATAAACACGATACGCCTTCGAAACTTCTTCGTAGCCCACCGAATATGCCAGCGCGACGCCTTTGGTAATCTCCACTTAGAGTCGATTCTCTTTAGGCGTCAGTATGTACGTCTGACATCCGAATGTTCGCATGTGCTTGACGCTTGGTTTCCAAGTTGTAGACGATCTCAAACGGGGTCTTGTGCACGACTTTAGGTGACGGCAGTCGATTCTTGACGTAGATGGCCGTCATCGCTGCTTCGGCCCAGAAACACTTGTCCAGTTTGGCATGATGAAGCATGCTGCGGCCGATCGTGACAATAGTCCCTAATGGCACGCTCTGCTGTTCCGTTTGTTTGATGTGCATACGGCACCGTTGTCTGCTGTTCAATGTCTTCGTAGAACAGTTGAAGCGAGTTGGTTGCAAACTCGCGAGCTCCGTCGTGTCGCACGAACTTGACCTTCTTACAGAATTGCGTCTGTACCATGGTGATATATTTCCGGATGTAGTCTTCACTCTCGGATTTCACTCGTAGAAACAAAAGCCCCTTCATGCATCCACTGGCTTCGTCGATGATCAGCCGCGAAATATTTGCTGCCACCGAGCGAATCCTTTTCCATGAGCCCGCAGATGTCCAGATGAAGTAGATCCAAAGTATCGTGGCTGCGCTTGTCTCGGTTGTTTGGAAATGGTTTTGGACCATTTTCCCTTGCTGAAATTCTCGACATGTACCTGATCCACTTGACTTGAGAGGCACTTCCACATCTTTGATCATGTTGTTGGAGACCATCTTGAGAAGCACGTCGACTGTAGCATGACCCATTCTCGCATGTAGATCGAGCACAACTGGTTCCACTTGTTGTCACATTCGCTGATCGTTGAGTCGTCCGAAGCCAGTAGAGTCCATCCACGAGATCCGCTGTCGCCACCACTTGCTGTGAGTTCTTGAGAGTCACATACATCTTGGACCCGTCAAACACGACTTGAAACTTGCCATGGCTGTTAATCTGTGGCACCGAGAGCAGTATTCTTGCTCATACTTGGAACATATAGCGCGTTCTTGATTTCGATCTCACGCTCTTCAACCGTTGGGCAGAACCACCTTTTCCATGATGGTTCCCTCACCCTTGATGGCCACCTTGTTGCCATCACCCACCCAAGAGTTCGCCCTCATTGCGCTCTGCCAAACTTGCGAACTTGGTCTTGTCGTGGCAAATGTGGTGCGTTGCACCACTGTCGACGGACCATATTCCAGACACGTCCTTGCTCGTCGAAACTCCACATTCGAACGGACTGCAAACGCCACTCGATCGTAGCCATTGCCTTGATCATGATGTCCCCACTGGACATTGTTAGCCCCCGCGTCCACGACCATTGCCGCCGCGTCGGGCTCCCCCGACCTTCGTTCTTCTGCTTTGTCCAGCAACGATCCACCGTGTATCCCACCTTGCCACAATACGTGTATTGGTAGGGCTCACGCTCGGCGCTGAATGCCTTGCTTGCATCTTCAGCCTTCACCGTAGTCGCTGTCGTTGTCCCTTTTCTCTCTCCTTGACGCTTGGCATGCTCATTCGTCAGGACTCTCACCACATCTTGAGTGCGAAGCTCGGTGCTGCTCATTTCCATGTTGAGTACCACATTTTCGTAGCTCTTCGGAAGACTGAGTAGCAGACAAATTGCAACGTCTTCGTCTTCCATCTTCGCACCGATGCCGCTAAGCTTTGGCAAAGATGTTGAGGACCACGTTGCAGTGATGCATGACGTTCGCGCCTTCAGCCATCTTGATACTGAAAAGTTGTCGCTTGAGGTAGATGCGTCCTGCCTTCTGCGACCCACCGTACAGCGTCTTCCAGACTGGTCCACGCAACCCAGGCTTCCTCACAGTTGTCCAGCACATGATAGTAGTCCGCGTTCATGTGCAGCAGCATCATACCAAACGCGACGTTGCTTGCCTTGACGTAGTCATCGGACGCTCGCGGGTCGGTGAAAGTCGGAGTCACTTCACGGTTGACGACGTGCCAGACGGACTTCGTCAAAACACACCGCGCATGTACCGGCTCCACGTTGCGTAATTGTCTCCGTTGAACTTGTCAATGGAGGCGTTGCTGGTGGACGACATGGCGCTTGGGCTCATAACCTGTTGCATTGTTGATCGGAGCGAGGAAAGCGGAGCGAACGGAGCGGAGAGACCGAAGAGAGTGGAGCAGAAAACACTTGCCCAATAGTTGGAAGATTCGAAAGTGATTGATTATCGGGACTTACTACTTACTACATGATTTATATGTGGTGTACATATAAATCATGTGAAGCGTCTCATCATCCTACGCGTCTAATCAACTATGGTAATTACCGTAAGAACTACGTCGTAAATACCAAGCTGAACGGGCGGTTCGGATTGGACCGGTCACGGTTACCAATACTGGTAGAAAACCGATGACCGTCAACACGCCCCCTCAATCCGAATGCTCACGAATCCCGAGAGCCGTCGTCATCTCCTTGTGGCGTGGTCCATGAAGTCCCTTCGTCATGATGTCCGCTAACATCACCGCAGTTTCACAATACTTGAGCTTCACTTCACCGCGCTTGACCTCATCACGGATGTGATGGTACTTGATATCAATGTGCTTGGCACGGCCGTGGTTGACCGGGTTCTTCGTCATCTTGATACATGACTGATTGTCTTCATGAATCATGAGTTCCGGTCCTTCTTCATTGGCAGCCATCACGATCTCACAAAGCAGACGATGAATCCACTTGCCCTCTTGAATCGCCAAGCTGAGTGCGATGTATTCAGCTTCAGTCGTGGACAGCAAAACACTTGGCTGCTTCTTGCTGCCCCAACTCACTGGCGCACCGAGTAGCATGAACGTGTACCCCGATGTTGACTTGCGGTCGGTAAGTTCACCAGCCCAATCCGCATCCGAATATCCACGGAAGTCGATCCTTGCACTTGGCTTGTAGCAAATTCCATGCGTCTTGGTGCCTTGTAGGTAGCGAAAGATACGCTTAACTGCAACCCAGTGTTCTTCTTGGGGATTTTCCATGAACCGCGACACATAGCCCACAGCAAACGCAATGTCCGGACGCGTTGCAGTGGTCAGGTGCATCAACGCACCAACAGCTTCGCGAAAAGGAGCATCGACCTTGGTAGTTGCATCACTTGAAACAAGTCGAGAGCTCATGTCGACTGGACTTGCGACTGCCTTGCAATCATCCATGCCAAAGCGCTTGAGGATATCATCGACATACCGACGCTGACATAGTGTCACACTGCCATCTTCACCGTCCAAAAGCTCGATCCCAAGAACAAACGCACACTTGCCGCTATCAGTCATCTCGAAGCGTGTCTTCAGGTCTTCCTTGGTGTGTGCAATCAGCTCGAGCGAGCTTCCAGTCACCAAGACGTCGTCCACGTAGACCAGTATAAACACGCAATGGCCGTCCGATGTCTTGATGTAGAGACATGGGTCGAAGCCTGACACTTGAAATCCAATGGAACACACACTCGTCAAAAGTCTCGTTCCACACTCGCGAAGCTTGCTTGAGGCCGTAAATTGACTTCACCAATTCCAGGCAGTCGAACGTACTGTCAAGTTCGACGCCTTCAGGAATCACGCAGAATACTTGTTCCTTCATGACGCCATACAGGAAAGCTGTCACCACATCAAGCTGGTCGATGGGTCATCCAAAATACTTGGAAATTGCGATCACCATTCTCAGCGTCACATACTCGACCACAGGCGAAAACGTCTCCGTGTAGTCGATGCCATGCTTTTGGCGGAAACCCTTGGCCACAAGTCGTGCCTTGTACTTCTCGATAGATCCATCCGCTTTACGCTTGATCTTGAACACCCATTTTGTGCCAATGGCGCGTTGTCCGTTGGGCAGCTTGGCTGCACGAAACACACCGCGAAGTCGCATTGACTCGAGCTCTGCATGAATTGCTTTTCTCCAGTGCACTTGGTCAGGGCCGCTTACTGCTGCTTCAAATGTTGAGGGCTCTGATAAGTCCACTGCTGCTTCAACGGCATTTGCACTCGCACGCCAAAACACAGGCGGTGTTGAATCACCAGAATCCTTCGTTTCTTCGTCTTCTTCTTGGCGTGACGAGTTGTTTTCCGGCGCGCTTGACTCTTCTAGTCCTGGTCGTTGACGCACTGCACGCGGTCGTGGAGCTGCTGTATCTTCATCATTGAGTCGGTTCTTGCGCTTGCCTGTTTTCTTGTACTCCATTTGACGCAGCTCTTCGTCATCAAGATCCAGCAATTCGAAGTCCAGGTCATCGACATCTTCATCAGTGATCGGCAATTGAAGTCCAAAGGTGGACTCGTCGAAGTTGACATCGCGGCTGATAACCACCTGCCCCGCCTCGATGTCATAAACACGATACGCCTTCGAAACTTCTTCGTAGCCCACGAATATGCCAGCGCGAGCCTTTGGATCCCACTTGAGTCGATTCTCTTTAGGCGTCAGTATGTACGTCTGACATCCGAATGTTCGCATGTGCTTGACGCTTGGTTTCAAGTTGTAGACGATCTCAAACGGGGTCTTGTGCACGACTTTAGGTGACGGCAGTCGATTCTTGACGTAGATGGCCGTCATCGCTGCTTCGGCCCAGAAACACTTGTCCAGTTTGGCATGATGAAGCATGCTGCGGCCGATCGTGACAATAGTCCTAATGGCACGCTCTGCTGTTCCGTTTGTTTGATGTGCATACGGCACCGTTGTCTGCTGTTCAATGTCTTCGTAGAACAGTTGAAGCGAGTTGGTTGCAAACTCGCGAGCTCCGTCGTGTCGCACGAACTTGACCTTCTTACAGAATTGCGTCTGTACCATGGTGATATATTTCCGGATGTAGTCTTCACTCTCGGATTTCACTCGTAGACAAAAGCCCTTCATGCATCCACTGGCTTTGTCGATGATCAGCAGCAAATATTTGCTGCCACCGAGCGAATCCTTTTCCATGAGCCCGCAGATGTCCAGATGAAGTAGCTCAAACGTATCGTGGCTGCGCTTGTCTCGGTTGTTTGGAAATGGTTTTTGGACCATTTTCCCTTGTTGACATCCTCGACATGTAGTTGCTCCACCCGACTTGAGAGGGACTCGCACATCCTTGATCATGTTGGTCGCGATCATCTTGAGAAGTACATCGACTGGAGCATGACCCATTCTCGCATGTAGATCGGCACAACTGGTTCCACTTGTTGTCACATTCGCTGATCGTTGAGTCGTCCGAAGCCAGTAGAGTCCATCCACGAGATCCGCTGTCGCCACCACTTGCTGTGAGTTCTTGAGAGTCACATACATCTTGGACCCGTCAAACACGACTTGAAACTTGCCATGGCTGTTAATCTGTGGCACCGAGAGCAGGTTCTTGCTCATACTTGGAACATATAGCGCGTTCTTGATTTCGATCTCACGCTCTTCACCGTTGGGCAGAACCACCTTTTCCATGATGGTTCCCACACCCTTGATGGCCACCTTGTTGCCATCAGCCACCAAGAGTTCGACCTCATTGCGCTCTGCCAAACTTGCGAACTTGGTCTTGTCGTGGCAAATGTGGTGCGTTGCACCACTGTCGACGGACCATATTCCATACACGTCCTTGCTCGTCGAAACTCCACATTCGAACGAGACTGCAAACGCCACTCGATCGTAGCCATTGCCTTCATCATGATGTCCCCACTGGACATTGTTAGCCCCGCGTCCACGACCATTGCCGCCGCGTCGGGCTCCCCGACCTTCGTTCTTCTGCTTTGTCCAGCAACGATCCACCGTGTATCCCACCTTGCCACAATACGTGCATTGGTAGGGCTCACGCTCGGCGCTGAATGCCTTGCTTGCATCTTCAGCCTTCACCGTAGTCGCTGTCGTTGTCCCTTTTTCTCCTTGACGCTTGGCATGCTCATTCGTCAGGACTCTCACCACATCTTGAGTGCGAAGCTCGGTGCTGCTCATTTCCATGTTGAGTACCACATTTTCGTAGCTCTTCGGAAGACTGAGTAGCAGACAAATTGCAACGTCTTCGTCTTCCATCTTCGCACCGATGCCGCTAAGCTTGGCAAAGATGTTGAGGACCACGTTGCAGTGATGCATGACGTTCGCGCCTTCAGCCATCTTGATACTGAAAAGTTGTCGCTTGAGGTAGATGCGTCCTGCCTTCTGCGACCCACCGTACAGCGTCTTCAGACTGGTCCACGCAACCCAGGCTTCCTCACAGTTGTCCAGCACATGATAGTAGTCCGCGTTCATGTGCAGCAGCATCATACCAAACGCGACGTTGCTTGCCTTGACGTAGTCATCGGACGCTCGCGGGTCGGTGAAAGTAGGAGTCACTTCACGGTTGACGACGTGCCAGACGGACTTCGTCAAAAACACACCGCGCATGTACCGGCTCCACGTTGCGTAATTGTCTCCGTTGAACTTGTCAATGGAGGCGTTGCTGGTGGACGACATGACGCTTGGGCTCATAACCTGTTGCATTGTTGATCGGAGCGAGGAAAGCGGAGCGAACGGAGCGGAGAGACCGAAGAGAGTGGAGCAGAAAACACTTGCCCAATAGTTGGAAGATTCGAAAGTGATTGATTATCGGGGCTTACTACTTACTACATGATTTATATGTGGTGTACATATAAATCATGTGAAGCGTCTCATCATCCTACGCGTCTAATCAACTATGGTAATTACCGTAAGAACTACGTTGTAAATACTAAGCTGAACAGGCGGTTCGGATTGGATCGGTCACGGTTACCAATACTGGTAGAAAACCGATGACCGTCAACAACACGGCTTCTGCTTGAACCCGACAACAAGGTGGACTTACGTGGATACTCGGATGAAGACTAACCGGTCATCATGAAGATCGCAAGTCGACTTCAGGATATGCGTTTATCCCGATGGGTGATCCGATAAGCTGGGGAAGCAAGAAGCAATCAAGTATACTACTGTAGACAAGCGAAGCAGAGCACGTCGCGCTAATTCTGCCAATTCAAGAAGGCAAGTGGGTGCATCGATTGCTGTGCAAGATTCTGGATGCCGCAGAGAACAAGTCCGGACCCGCACTCAAGATCATGGAAGACAATCAATCGTGTATCAAGATGACGAAGAATCCTGTGAACCATGGTCGGGCCAAGCACATCGACATCAAGTACCATCACATTCGTGATGAATTCAAGCGTGGTGATTTCAAGTTGGAGTACCGTGAGAATTCCGTGATGATGGCGGACATCATGACGAAAGGACTGCCAGGACCGCGTCACAAGGACTTGACGGCAGCGCTCGGCTTACACGCGTGTTCGCATTGAGGGAGCGTATTGTGGGTTGACGGTTGAGGTACTGTTATCAGTTACCGTGGAAACCGTAAACCCAGCCCAAGTCGATCTCGCGTAATTACGGTGAGTTCTTGGAAATGATTAGACGCATGGATGATTGGATGACCTACATATTTTATGATTTATTTGCACAGCATATAGATCAGAACACAGATAAATCAGGTAGCTTAAGCAAACCCACAGATTAGTTCACTTCCAAACATTCCTTTTTCAGCACAAGTCGTCTCCACTTTGCAGTGCAGACTTCTTCGGCGTTCTGCAAAGTTCCAGAACTCTCACCAAGTGCTCTTCGGACTTTATCATGCGCCACTGTCGACCGTCCACATTCCTGATATATGCTTGCCCGTCGAGGGTCCAGCCTCCAGCAAAACCGCAAACGCAACTCGATCGTAGTCTTCACCACTATTGTTGTATTGCCATTAAACATTGATGGCTCCGCGTCCACAACCATTGTTGCCGCCGCATTGATCCCCTTTGATTTTATTCTTTCTTCTTGGTCCAGCACCGCTCGGCCGCATGCCCCAATTTCTCGCAGTACGTACACTGGCGAGTCTCGCGCTCGGTACTGAACGACTTCGCCGCTTCTTCAGTCTTCACCGACGTCGTCTTGTCACCTTGCCTCTTGATGTGCTCATTTGTCAGCACTCTCACGACGTCTCGCGATCGCAGTTCCGCACTGCTCATCTCCAAGTTTAACACGACATTATCGTAGCTCTTAAGGAGCCTGCGTAACAAACAGATCGCCACGTCCTCTTCCTCCATCTTAGCGCCGATGCTGCTGAGCTTGGCGCTGATGTTGAGAACGTTGTAGCAATGATGCTTGACCTTTTCGCCTTCCGCCATCTCCATGCTGTTCAGCTGGCGCTTCAAGAAGATCCTCCCCCCTTCTGACCCATGCTTCTTTGCAATTATCAGCTACGTGATAATAGTCCGCGTCCATAGGCAGTAGCATCAGACCAAAAGCGATGTTACTTGCGTTAACGTAGTCTTCCATATCTCGCGAAATGGCAAAGGTCGGTGTCACTTTGCGGATCACCACGTGCCTCGTCGACTTAGTCAGGAACACGCCACGCATGTAGCGGCTCCATGTCGCGTAGTTGTCTCCGTCGAACTTGTAACTGCAGATCTTGCTGGCGGAATCTTGAGAAGAGAACATCGTGCTTGGGCTCATAACCTGGTGAAAGGTATGAATCTTGAACGTCGAAGAGGGTGGATTAAAACGAAGGGATTCACTTGAAAGACCGGAGTAAAGAACATTGAGTTGGAGAAAGAATTTTTGGAAATAATTGATAGATAGGTCTTAGTTCTACCTACTCTAGACTGCATCCAATCACATGGTGCATCTAATTAATCTGATATATGTCCTCTTCCTATCATCTTACTCGTCTAATCATCGGATAATTAATTTACCGTGATTACGTAAGATCGAATTGTATCGATTAATCGGTACATGATACAAAGTATTAATAATGATAGCCGTCAAAAGCCATCAAGATCAAGGACGCACTGTTCATGCCAAGTATGAGCAAGAATCTGCTTTCGGTACCGCAGATCAACAAGGTTGGCAGGTTCCAAGTCGTGTTCGATGGGTCCAAGATGCAAGCAACGCACAAGAATTCCCCACAAGTCGTGGCAATAGCGGATCTCGTCGATGGACTCTACTGGCTGCGGACTTCCCAACGATCGGCAAATGCAGCTACACACAATGGGGACATCGACTTGCACCCGCGCATGGGTCATGCACCCCTCGTTGTTCTGCGCAAAATTGTTGACAGTCATCGGTTTTCTACCAGTATTGGTAACCGTGACCGGTCCAATCCGAACCGCCTGTTCAGCTTAGTATTTACGACGTAGTTCTTACGGTAATTGCCATAGTTGATTAGACGCGTAGGATGATGAGACGCTTCACATAATTTATATGTACACCACATATAAATCATGTAGTAAGTAGTAAGCCCCGATAATCAATCACTTTCGAATCTTCCAACTATTGGGCAAGTGTTTTCTGCTCTACACTCTTCGGTCTCTCCGCTCCGTTCGCTCTGCTTTCCTCGCTCCGATCTGCAATGCAACAAAGCGCAAGAACCGACTCAATGACGAAGATACAGCAGCTCCACGACCGCGTGCAGTGCGTCAACGACCAGGACTAGAAGAGTCAAGCGCGCCGGAAAACAACTCGTCACGCCAAGAAGAAGACGAAGAAACGAAGGATTCTGGTGATTCAACACCGCCTGTGTTTTGGCGTGCGAGTGCAAATGCCGTTGAAGCAGCAGTGGACTTATCAGAGCCCTCAACATTTGAAGCAGCAGTAAGCGGCCCTGACCAAGTGCACGGGAGAAAAGCAATTCATGCAGAGCTCGAGTCAATGCGACTTCGCGGTGTGTTTCGTGCAGCCAAGCTGCCCAACGGACAACGCGCCATTGGCACAGAATGGGTGTTTAAGATCAAGCGTAAAGCGGATGTATCTATCGAGAAGTACAAGGCACGACTTGTGGCCAAGGGTTTCCGCCAAAAGTATGGCATCGACTACACGGAGACGTTTTCGCCTGTGGTCAAGTATGTGACGCTGAGAATGGTGATCGCAATTTCCAAGTATTTTGGATGGCCCATCGACCAGCTTGATGTGGTGACAGCTTTCCTGTATGGCGTCATGAAGGAACAAGTGTTCTGCGTGATTCCTGAAGGCGTCGAACTTGACAGTACGTTCGACTGCCTGGAATTGGTGAAGGCAATTTACGGCCTGAAGCAAGCTTTGCGAGTATGGAACGAGACTTTTGACGAGTTTGTGTGTTCCATTGGATTTCAAGTGTCAGGCTTCGACCCATGTCTCTACATCAAGACATCGGAAGGCCATTGCGTGTTTATACTGGTCTACGTGGACGACGTCTTGGTGACTGGAAGCTCGCTCGAGCTGATTGCACAAACCAAGAACGACCTGAAGACGCGGTTCGAGATGACGGACAGCGGCAAGTGTGCGTTTGTTCTTGGGATCGAGCTTTTGGACGGTGAAGATGGCAGTGTGACACTATGTCAGCGTCGGTATGTCGATGATATCCTCAAGCGCTTTGGCATGTATGATTGCAAGGCAGTCGCAAGTCCAGTCGACATGAGCTCTCGACTTGTTTCAAGTGATGCAACTACCAAGGTCGATGCTCCTTTTCGCGAAGCTGTTGGTGCGTTGATGCACCTGACCACTGCAACGCGTCCGGACATTGCGTTTGCTGTGGGCTATGTGTCGCGGTTCATGGAAAATCCCCAAGAAGAACATTGGGTTGCAGTTAAGCGTATCTTTCGCTACCTACAAGGCACTAAGACGCATGGAATTTGCTACAAGCCAAGTGCAAGGATCGACTTCCGTGGATATTCGGATGCGGATTGGGCTGGTGAACTTACCGACCGCAAGTCAACATCGGGGTACACGTTCATGCTACTCGGTGCGCCAGTGAGTTGGGGCAGCAAGAAGCAGCCAAGTGTTTCGCTGTCCACGACTGAAGCTGAATACATCGCACTCAGCTTGGCGATTCAAGAGGGCAAGTGGATTCATCGTCTGCTTTGTGAGATCGTGATGGCTGCCAATGAAGAAGGACCGGAACTCATGATTCATGAAGACAATCAGTCATGTATCAAGATGACGAAGAACCCGGTCAACCACGGCCGTGCCAAGCACATTGATATCAAGTACCATCACATCCGTGATGAGGTCAAGCGCGGTGAAGTGAAGCTCAAGTATTGTGAAACTGCGGTGATGTTAGCGGACATCATGACGAAGGGACTTCATGGACCACGCCACAAGGAGATGACGACGGCTCTCGGGATTCGTGAGCATTCGGATTGAGGGGGCGTGTTGACAGTCATCGGTTTTCTACCAGTGTTGGTAACCGTGACCGGTCCAATCCGAACCGCCTGTTCAGCTTGGTATTTACGACGTAGTTCTTACGGTAATTACCATAGTTGATTAGACGCGTAGGATGATGAGACGCTTCACATGATTTATATGTACACCACATATAAATCATGTAGTAAGTAGTAAGTCCCGATAATCAATCACTTTCGAATCTTCCAACTATTGGGCAAGTGTTTTCTGCTCTACTCTCTTCGGTCTCTCCGCTCCGTTCGCTCCGCTTTCCTCGCTCCGATCTACAATGCAACAGACTTCGACCCATGTCTCTACATCAAGACATCGGACGGCCATTGCGTGTTTATACTGGTCTACGTGGACGACGTCTTGGTGACTGGAAGCTCGCTCGAGCTGATTGCACAAACCAAGAACGACCTGAAGACGCGGTTCGAGATGACGGACAGCGGCAAGTGTGCGTTTGTTCTTGGGATCGAGCTTTTGGACGGTGAAGATGGCAGTGTGACACTATGTCAGCGTCGGTATGTCGATGATATCCTCAAGCGCTTTGGCATGTATGATTGCAAGGCAGTCGCAAGTCCAGTCGACATGAGCTCTCGACTTGCTTCAAGTGATGCAACTACCAAGGTCGATGCTCCTTTTCGCGAAGCTGTTGGTGCGTTGATGCACCTGACCACTGCAACGCGTCCGGACATTGCGTTTGCTGTGGGCTATGTGTCGCGGTTCATGGAAAATCCCCAAGAAGAACACTGGGTTGCAGTTAAGCGTATCTTTCGCTACCTACAAGGCACCAAGACGCATGGAATTTGCTACAAGCCAAGTGCAAGGATCGACTTCCGTGGATATTCGGATGCGGATTGGGCTGGTGAACTTACCGACCGCAAGTCAACATCGGGGTACACGTTCATGCTACTCGGTGCGCCAGTGAGTTGGGGCAGCAAGAAGCAGCCAAGTGTTTCGTTGTCCACGACTGAAGCTGAATACATCGCACTCAGCTTGGCGATTCAAGAGGGCAAGTGGATTCATCGTCTGCTTTGTGAGATCGTGATGGCTGCCAATGAAGAAGGACCGGAACTCATGATTCATGAAGACAATCAGTCATGTATCAAGATGACGAAGAACCCGGTCAACCACGGCCGTGCCAAGCACATTGATATCAAGTACCATCACATCCGTGATGAGGTCAAGCGCGGTGAAGTGAAGCTCAAGTATTGTGAAACTGCGGTGATGTTAGCGGACATCATGACGAAGGGACTTCATGGACCACGCCACAAGGAGATGACGACGGCTCTCGGGATTCGTGAGCATTCGGATTGAGGGGGCGTGTTGACGGTCATCGGTTTTCTACCAGTATTGGTAACCGTGACCGATCCAATCCGGAACCGCCTGTTCAGCTTAGTATTTACGACGTAGTTCTTACGGTAATTACCATAGTTGATTAGACGCGTAGGATGATGAGACGCTTCACATGATTTATATGTACACCACATATAAATCATGTAGTAAGTAGTAAGCCCCGATAATCAATCACTTTCGAATCTTCCAACTATTGGGCAAGTGTTTTCTGCTCTACTCTCTTCGATCTCTCCGCTCCGTTCGCTCTGCTTTCCTCGCTCCGATCTACAATGCAACAAAGATAATGGCCACCGGCATGATCAAGGAAGCCTAGGCACCTCTTAACTCGACTGGGCCAAGTGTGTGCCGCCGTTGTCAGCTAGGGAAGACGGTCCAAAAACTGTTTTTAACCAACCGAGACAAGCCTCACTACGGTATGTTTGAATTGCTACACTTCGACATCTGCGGGCCAATAAAAAGTCTCGATCAGCGGCAGCAGATACTTGCTGCTTGTGGTTGACGAAGCCAGCGGGTGCATGAAGGGCTTCTGTCTGCGGTCCAAGTCTGAGAGTGAATACTGTATCAAGAACCACATCATCAAGATTCAAACTCAGTTCGGCACGAAGATCAAGTTTGTTCGGCACGATGGAGCGCATGAGTTTGCGACCAACTCCATCAAGACCTTCTACGAAGATCATGGTATCGAACAACAGGTCACGGTGCCGTATGCACACCAGACCAACGGCACCGCAGAACGCGCGATAAGGACCATCGTCACGATCGGACGCAGCTTGTTGCATCATGCAAAGTTGGAGAAGTGTTTCTGGGCTGAAGCGGCAATGACGGCGATCTACATCAAGAACCGCCCGCCTTCACCCAAGATCGACCACAAGACTCCGTTCGAGATCGTGTACAAGTCGAAACCAAGTGTCAAGCACATGCGCGTGTTTGGATGTCGGGCGTTTATCCTTACACCAGAGGAGAAGCGATTGAAGTGGGCCCGAAGGCTCGTGTAGCGATGTTCATGGACTACGAAGAAGCGTCAAAAGCTTACCGAGTGTACGACATTGAGGCGGGCCGAGTGGTGATCAGTCGTGACATCACCTCCGACGAATCGACTTTTTGACTTTTCGATGGACCGATCAAGTGATGACGATGAAGATGCGGAGTTGGACCTCAAGCTCCTGGCGATCAACGATGACGACGTGCGTCAGACCACCTACAAGCAGACTGGCAAGTGCAAGAGTGAAGCAAGCGCTGGTAGGTCACGGTCAGCTCACCATCGAACTGGGTTGGAACAAGCAAGTGCGCCGGCTCACATCTCCAACCGTCACGAGAAACGACGATCAAGTGCTCCCAAAACGAAGTCTGATGACGAAGAAGATGCAAGCGTCTACGATCAAGATGACGACTCGACGCCTCAAACACTTTGGCGTGCGAGTGCAAATGCAGTGGAAGCAACGGACCTAGCAGAACCTGTTACTTTCCAATACGCAATCAACCGGTCCTGATCAAGCTCACTGGCGACTTGCTGTGAAGGCGGAACTCAAGCCGATGCATCTTCGTGGAGTTTTCCGTGCGGCAAAACTGCCAAGGGACCAAGGTGCGATCGGCGCCAAGTGAGTGTTTAAGATCAAGCGCAAAGCAGATGGATCGATCGAGAAGTACAAGGCGCGCCTTGTTTCCAAGGGCTTCAAGCAGAAGTACGGCATCGACTACACAGAGACGTTCTCGCCCTTGGTAAAGTACGTGACACTGCGTATGGTGATCGCGATCACCAAGTATTTCGACTGGCCACAGGACCAACTCGATGTGGTGACAGCCTTTCTCTACGGAGTGATGAAGGAGAAGGTGTACTGCGTGATACCAGAAGGCGTCGAGATGGATGGCGACTTCGACTGTCTCGAGTTGGTGAAGGCGATCTACGGTCTCAAGCAAGCTTCACGTGTGTGGAACGAGACTTTCGACGAGTTCGTATGCTCTATCGGTTTCGAGGCGTCGGCGTTCGACCCATGTCTCTACATCAAGGTTGTCGACGGTCACTGTGTGCTCGTGCTGGTCTACGTGGATGACGTGTTGGTCACCGGCAGCTCGCTCGAGTTGATTGCGCAGACGAAGGCCGACCTCAAGACGCGTTTCGAGATGACCGACAGTGGCAAGTGTACTTTTGTACTGGGCATCGAGCTGGTGGACGAATCGGATGGAAGCGTGACGATGTGCCAGCGACGGTATGTCAACGACATCCTCAAGCGCTTCGGCATGGATGAGTGCAAGGCCATAGCAAGTCCGGTCGAATTTGAGTACTCGGCTTGTCGCAAGCAGTGAAGCGGTCAAGATCGAAGTTCCGTTTCGTGAAGCTGTGGGAGCTTTGATGCACTTGACGACTGCGACACACCCGGACATTGCGTATTCTATGGGGTACGCCTCACGCTTCATGGAGAATCCGCAGCAAGAACATTGGACGGCGGTGAAGCGCATCTTTCGTTGCTTGCAAGGGACCAAGTCGCACGGACTCCGCTTCCAGCCAAGCGACAAGATCGACTTTCGTGGCTACTCGGACGCGGACTGGGCCGGCGACCACGCTGATCGCAAGTCGACTTCGGGTTACACTTTCCTGCTGATGGGTGCTCCTGTGAGTTGGGGAAGCAAGAAGCAGTCAAGTGTGTCGCTGTCGAGGAGTGAAGCGGAATACATCGCACTGAGTCTGGCCATCCAGGAAGGCAAGCGGGTGCATCGCCTGCTATGCGAGATTTTGGCGGTCGCAAACGAACCAGGACCGGACCTCGTCATCCGTGAAGACAACCAGTCGTGCATCAAGATGACGAAGAATCCGGTGAATCGTGGCCGCGCCAAGTACATCGACATCAAGTACCATCACATCCGTGATGAGGTCAAGCGCGGTGAAGTGCAGCTCGAGTATTGCGAGACTTCCGTGATGATGGCGGACATCATGACCAAGGGATTTCGGGACCTCGTCACAAGGACTTGACGACGGCTCTCGGCATGCGTGCGAGTTCGGATTGAGGGGGCGTATTGAGGGTTACCGATACAATCCGAACTTAAGCGTAGTTTTTACGGGATAGTTTTTACGTCGGTAATTACCTCAGAGATGATTGGACGCGTAGGATGATTAGACATATGTAAATAAGGTTGATTAGATGCACCATGTGATTGGATGCAGTCTAGGGTAGGCAGAGTTAATACTTCTGATCCAAAATCACTTTCCAATCTTCCATCTACCCCCAAGTGTCTTCTCCGGTCTTCCGAGTGGACTCCCAGCATCCCTCCCAGTTTCGGTCGTCAAGATTCACACCTTTGAACAGCTTTCTCAAGTGATTGAGGCGCGTGCTTCGTGCTTCTCTTGTTGTCACTCTTCGAAGACCTGGTGTCTTCGTCGTCATCGTTGCTCGAGTTCATGTCGACGTCAGTTTTACCTTCTTCTTTTTCTTCGCCGTCGTCTTGATCATCAAACTCAACGGCACTTGACTCATCGTTGTAGTTGCGCGGACCTTCATCAAACTTGTCTTCCATGAACGTGGCATCGCGACTGATCTTGAGAGCTCCTGTTGACACTTCCTCGAATCGATTTGACTTCTGGTGCTCGGCGTACCCCAGGAAAAGACAGAGTGATGACTTGAAGTTGAACTTCGCGCGTTTGTCTTGGGGCACTTGAACATACGAGGGCGTGTAAACACTTTAAGGTTGGCCAGAATCGGTTTCTTCATCGTCCACACTTGATATGGAGGCTTGTCTTGGTGGCACGTGTTGGACAGCGGTTTCGAAGAAACATCGCCGTCATCACTGCTTCACGCCAGTAGCTCTTTCCCAGTCCAGCATGTTCCATCATACAGCGCGCACACTCGACAAGCGTTCGATTCATTCTCTCAGCTACTCCGTTGAGCTGAGGAGTATCTAAGGGTGTGAGCCTTTGTTGTATCTCCCGTTCCGCGCAGAATCGTGCCAACTTGTCGGACTTGTACTCACCCCCACTGTCGCTTTGAAGGCACTTCACGCGCTTTCCGGCTTGCGTTTCAGCCATAGCAGCGTATTCCATGAACTTCGCCGCAACTTCAGATTTGCTCTTGAGCAGATACACGACACAGTATCTTGACTTGTCGTCGATGAATGTCACGAAGTACCGCTTTCCACTGAAAGTTGCCATCGACATCGGTCCGCATACGTCGCTGTGAATCACTTCGAACAGTTTGGAGGTGCGAGCTGTAGTGTTCGATTGGAAGCACAATCGAGTCTGTTTTCCTAGAGCACAACCTTCACACACGTCCCACTTCTTCACCGAAGATATGTCGATGCCAATTCCAGTCTCCTTCGTCACGATGCAATTGAGTCCATCATGACCTATGAGGCTAAGCCGAAGGTGCCAGAGGTACGACTTGGTGCCCCCTTGACATCCCGACACCTTGCCTGCATTTGCTTGTTCCGGCGCCACTGGAGTCATTTGCAGCTTGAACAATCATTTGCCTTCACAAGCACCAATTTTCTACTTGATCCCTTTCGCTTCTCCATAGAACACATCATTTGTGAACTTCACTGGGCCGACATCCTTTGAAATTGTCACTGGGCCGACATCCTTGGTGAAGCGGCCGACTGAGAACAGGTTTCTGAATAACTTTGGGATGTGCCACACGTTTGTGAGCACACCTTTCTTCATCCCTTGGGGTGTCTTCATCGACATGACAGTGTCCCCACTGCCGATTGCTTGGACGATTCCATCATCCGCGAGATGGACATCCACAGCGTCAAACACCTTGTAGTTCCGCATGAACTTCTTGGAGCACGTCATGTGCTGCGTCGCCCCGGAGTCGACCAGCCAGATACCGCTCGATTTCCCAGATGTCGTTTCACCGATCGAGAAGAGGTAGTCGCCCGAGTCTTCTTCTTGAGCGACGTTTGCACGTTGTGATCGATAACGGTCGCCGCTGTCTTGAGAGCGCTGTGGCCGGTGTCTCTCCGTGTTTTCTTGGATGCGCGAGGGGCACTCTGCCACCCGGTGACCAATCTTTCCGCAATTGTGGCACGACCAGAACTTCTTCACTGGTAGCCCTTTGCGCTGATTGTCCCTTGTGATGAACGCTTGACCTTGCGAAGCTTCATCACCTTTACTTCCTTGCTCCTTCCGCTTCGTTTCTTCATGAAGCAGTCGAGACGTCACAAGCTCCCAGCTAAAAGTGTCTGAGCGCGACTTCAAAGCTGTGATCAAGAATTGATACGAGTCACTCAGGCTGCCGAGAAGTGTGATCACCAGATCGTCCTCGCAGACCGGAGCCCCCACCGCTTCTGGATGTTCCTCCAACGTCTTGAGCTCGTGATGTGTTCGAGCACATCGTCGCTTTCTTCCATCATCGTCGTGAAGAAGCGACGGCGCAAGAACAGCTTGTTGACAAGACTCTTCTTCTCGAAGTGGTCTTCCAACCTTGACCATGCGTCACATGCACCACTTGCCGACCAGACCAACGGTAGCTGGGAATCTTCCATGGCTAGACAGATCACTGCCATCGCCTTTCTCGACTTCCTCTTGTACGCCGCTTGGTCCAACTGAGTCACGCACTGTTCCGCCTTGATCTCGCCGCTGACGACCTCCCACAGGTCCCGTTCCTCCAGCACCATCTGCATCTTGAACTTCCGAGCGTGGAAGTTAGTTTCATCGAACTTGGAGATGCGGACGGAGGAGGCGTCCATGGCAGCAAGGCTTGCATTGTTGGCGGTTTCAGAGTCTGACGAACTTGGGCTCATCATCTGAAGAACTTTAGACTTCTTGGTCCGAGTGCAAACGCAAAGTGAATATATATTTATAATAGGTACTTAGTTTGCAGCTTTGAATACTGTTGAGGGGTGAAAAGCTTGACGACCGAAACTGGGAGTGATGCTGGGAGTCCACTCGAAAGACCGGAGAAGACACTTGGGGGTAGATGGAAGATTGGAAAGTGATTGATTATCGGGGCTTACTACTTACTACATGATTTATATGTGGTGCACATATAAATCATGTGAAGCGTCTCATCATCCTACGCGTCTAATCAACTATGGTAATTACCGTAAGAACTACGTCGTAAATACTAAGCTGAATAGGCGGTTCGGATTGGACCGGTCACGGTTACCAGTACTGGTAGAAACCGATGACCGTCAACACGCCCCCTCAATACGAACTCGCACGCATGCCGAGAGCCGTCGTCAAGTCCTTGTGGCGAGGTCCCGAAATCCCTTGGTCATGATGTCCGCCATCATCACGGAAGTCTCGCAATACTCGAGCTGCACTTCACCGCGCTTGACCTCATCACGGATGTGATGGTACTTGATGTAGATGTGCTTGGCACGGCCGTGGTTGACCGGATTCTTCGTCATCTTGATGCACGACTGGTTGTCTTCACGGATGACGAGGTCCGGTCCTGGTTCGTTTGCGACCGCCAAAATCTCGCATAGCAGGCGATGCACCCGCTTGCCTTCCTGGATGGCCAGACTCAGTGCGATGTATTCCGCTTCACTCCTCGACAGCGACACACTTGACTGCTTCTTGCTTCCCCAACTCACAGGAGCACCCATCAGCAGGAAAGTGTAACCCGAAGTCGACTTGCGATCAGCGTGGTCGCCGGCCCAGTCCGCGTCCGAGTAGCCACGAAAGTCGATCTTGTCGCTTGGCTGGAAGCGGAGTCCGTGCGACTTGGTCCCTTGCAAGCAACGAACGATGCGCTTCACCGCCGTCCAATGTTCTTGCTGCGGATTCTCCATGAAGCGTGAGGCGTACCCCATAGAATACGCAATGTCCGGGTGTGTCGCAGTCGTCAAGTGCATCAAAGCTCCCACAGCTTCACGAAACGGAACTTCGATCTTGGCCGCTTCGCTGCTTGCGACAAGCCGAGTGCCCAAGTCGACCGGACTTGCTGTGGCCTTGCACTCATCCATGCCGAAGCGCTTGAGGATGTCGTTGACATACCGTCGCTGGCACATCGTCACGCTGCCATCCGATTCGTCCACCAGTTCGATGCCCAGTACAAAAGTACACTTGCCACTGTCGGTCATCTCGAAACGCGTCTTGAGGTCGGCCTTCGTCTGCGCAATCAACTCGAGCGAGCTGCCGGTGACCAACACGTCATCCACGTAGACCAGCACGAGCACACAGTGACCGTCGACAACCTTGATGTAGAGACATGGGTCGAACGCCGACGCTTCGAAACCGATGGAGCATACGAATTCGTCGAAAGTCTCGTTCCACACACGTGAAGCTTGCTTGAGACCGTAGATCGCCTTCACCAACTCGAGACAGTCGAAGTCGCCATCCATCTCGACGCCTTCTGGTATCACGCAGTACACCTTCTCCTTCATCACTCCGTAGAGAAAGGCTGTCACCACATCGAGTTGGTCCTGTGGCCAGTCGAAATACTTGGTGATCGCGATCACCATACGCAGTGTCACGTACTTTACCAAGGGCGAGAACGTCTCTGTGTAGTCGATGCCGTACTTCTGCTTGAAGCCCTTGGAAACAAGGCGCGCCTTGTACTTCTCGATCGATCCATCTGCTTTGCGCTTGATCTTAAACACTCACTTGGCGCCGATCGCACCTTGGTCCCTTGGCAGTTTTGCCGCACGGAAAACTCCACGAAGATGCATCGGCTTGAGTTCCGCCTTCACAACAAGTCGCCAGTGAGCTTGATCAGGACCGGTTGATTGCGTATTGGAAAGTAACAGGTTCTGCTAGGTCCGTTGCTTCCACTGCATTTGCACTCGCACGCCAAAGTGTTTGAGGCGTCGAGTCGTCATCTTGATCGTAGACGCTTGCATCTTCTTCGTCATCAGACTTCGTTTTGGGAGCACTTGATCGTCGTTTCTCGTGACGGTTGGAGATGTGAGCCGGCGCACTTGCTTGTTCCAACCCAGTTCGATGGTGAGCTGACCGTGACCTACCAGCGCTTGCTTCACTCTTGCACTTGCCAGTCTGCTTGTAGGTGGTCTGACGCACGTCGTCATCGTTGATCGCCAGGAGCTTGAGGTCCAACTCCGCATCTTCATCGTCATCACTTGATCGGTCCATCGAAAAGTCAAAAGTCGATTCGTCGGAGGTGATGTCACGACTGATCACCACTCGGCCCGCCTCAATGTCGTACACTCGGTAAGCTTTTGACGCTTCTTCGTAGTCCATGAACATCGCTACACGAGCCTTCGGGCCCACTTCAATCGCTTCTCCTCTGGTGTAAGGATAAACGCCCGACATCCAAACACGCGCATGTGCTTGACACTTGGTTTCGACTTGTACACGATCTCGAACGGAGTCTTGTGGTCGATCTTGGGTGAAGACAGGCGGTTCTTGATGTAGATCGCCGTCATTGCCGCTTCAGCCCAGAAACACTTCTCCAACTTTGCATGATGCAACAAGCTGCGTCCGATCGTGACGATGGTCCTTATCGCGCGTTCTGCGGTGCCGTTGGTCTGGTGTGCATACGGCACCGTGACCTGTTGTTCGATACCATGATCTTCGTAGAAGGTCTTGATGGAGTTGGTCGCAAACTCATGCGCTCCATCGTGCCGAACAAACTTGATCTTCGTGCCGAACTGAGTTTGAATCTTGATGATGTGGTTCTTGATACAGTATTCACTCTCAGACTTGGACCGCAGACAGAAGCCCTTCATGAAACCGCTGGCCTCGTCAACCACAAGCAGTAAGTATCTGCTGCCGCCGATCGAGACTTGTTCCATTGGCCTGCAGATGTCGAACTGCAGCAACTCGAACACACCATATTGGCGTTTGTCACGGTTGGTTGGGAATGGTTTTCGGACCATCTTTCCTTGCTGGCAACCGCGACACACACTTGGACCAGTTGAGTTGAGAGGTGCCTTGGCGTCCTTGATCATGCTGGTGGCCACCATCTTGCGCAGAACTTCGAGGGGTGCACGACCCATGCGCGCATGCAAGTCGATAGTCCCATTGCGTGTTGCTGCATTTGCCGATCGTTGAGAAGTCCGCAGCCAGTAAAGTCCATCGACGAGATCCGCTGTTGCCACGAATTGTGTGGAATTCTTGCACTTCACTTGCATCTTGGATCCATCGAACACGACTTGGAACCTGCCACCGTTGTTGATCTGTGGCACCGAAAGCAGATTCTTGCTCATACTTGGTACGAACAGTGCGTCCTTTATCTCGATATCGCGTTCGTCACCATTGGGCAGAACCACCCGTTCCATGATGGTTCCCACACCCTTGGTCGCAGCCTTCTATCAGCCACTGATAGTTCGCCTTCCTCTCGCTCATTCAGGCTTGCAAACTTGGCCTTGTCGTTGCAGATGTGATGCGTCGCACCGCTGTCGACTGCCCACATCCCTGGCATATTCTTGCCCGTCGAAAGTCCAGCCTCCAGCGAAACCGCGAACGCAACTGGATCGTAGTTGTCGTCGTAGTTGCTGTTGGTTCGCCACTGAACGTTGTTGGCTCCGCGTCCACGAGCATTGTTGCCGCCGCGTCGAGCTCCACCTTGATTTTCGTCCTTCTGCTTGGTCCAGCACCGCTCCGCCGTGTGCCCCAATTTTCCGCAGTATGTACACTGGCGAGGTTCACGCTCGGCACTGAACGCCTTCTCCGCGTCTTCAGTCTTCACCGATATCGTCTTGTCACCTTGCCTCTTGATGTGCTCATTCGTGAGCACTCTCACGACGTCTCGCGATCGCAGTTCCGAGCTGCTCATCTCCAAGTTGAGAACGACGTTCTCGTAGCTGTTGGGGAGGCTGCACAACAAGCAGATCTCCACGTCCCCGTCCTCCATCTTGGCGCCGATGCTGCTGAGCTTCGCGCTGATGTTGAGGACTTCGTTGCAATGATGCATCACATTGCCGCCTTCCGCCATCTCCATGCTGAACAGCTGGCGCTCCACGTAGATGCGTCCAGCCTTCTGAGACCCGCCGTACAGCGTCTTCAAGCGCGCCCACGCGACCCACGCCTCTTCACAGTCATCGAAGATGTGATGGTAGTCTGCGTCCATGTGCAGCAACATCAGTCCGAAAGCGATGTTGTTGGCCTTGACGTATTCGTTCATGGCGCGACGTCCGCGTAGGTCGGCGACGTCTCCCGGTTCACCACGTGCCACGCCGACTTGGTCAGGAACACGCCACGCATGTAGCGGCTCCACGTCGCGTAGTTGTCGCCGTCGAACTTGTCAATGGAGATCTTGGTGGTGGCATCATGAGAAGAGGGCATCGTGCTTGGGCTCATAACCTGTTGATTGGTGAAAAGCTTGACGACCGAAACTGGGAGTGATGCTGGGAGTCCACTCGGAAGACCGGAGAAGACACTTGGGGGGTAGATGGAAGATTGGAAAGTGATTGATTATCGGGGCTTACTACTTACTACATGATTTATATGTGGTGTACATATAAATCATGTGAAGCGTCTCATCATCCTACGCGTCTAATCAACTATGGTAATTACCGTAAGAACTACGTCGTAAATACTAAGCTGAACAGGCGGTTCGGATTGGACCATTCACGGTTACCAACACTGGTAGAAACCGATGACAGTCAACAAATACTACCGCTAAGCCTGTTATTCGCAGTGATGTCACCCACTGACGTCATGCAATGACGTCATTTCCTGACTTCGCCCTTACTGGTACATACCGGTACCCACCGGTATATCGAAGCTTGGTCTTCGGCTTGCTTCAACACTTGACGCAGCTTGACGAGGTGTCTTCTTCACAGCCGCCGTCTTTCCAACACTCCCTCTCGACTCGTTTGCTGCGGCACCTTGGATCCCAAGTTGATCGCGAATGTTTTCAAATTGTACAGCGGCGATCGGCTTGGTCATCATGTCTGCCAGCATATCTTGAGTCGGGCAATACTCCAAAAAGACTTCGCCTGATTCCACCTTCTCACGCACAAATGGTAGCGTATGTCGATGTGATTTGTTCTCTTATGGAACTCCGGGTTCTTGGCGAGAGAGACTGATCCTTGGTTGTCTTCATACATCTTGATTGCTTCGTCTCTTGCCATCTCACCAAGTTCCCCCAAAAAAATCTTGAGCCATACTGCTTCTTTGGTTGCTTCGGAAAGCGCCATGTATTCTGCTTCTGTTGAAGATGGCGCGACCGTCCGTTGTTTCTGGCTTTTCCAGCTGATGCATCCTCCGTTTATCAAGAACACATAGCCGCTTGTACTTCGTCTTGACTCAATGTCGCCGGCCCAGTCTGCGTCGGTGTACCCGCAGATACGGCTTCCTTCTTCACGTGTGAACTCAAGACCGTGATTGGGCGTTGCTTGCAGGTATCTCAGCACACGCTTCAAAGCTTGCCAGTGAGTCGGGCATGGGTCGGATGAGAACTGGGATAATGATCCCACTGCAGCAGCTAGATCTGGACGTGTGGCGACCATGAGATACATGATGCTTCCGACAGCACTTCGATATGGCACGTTGCACATGGTGTCTTTGTGGCAAATTCACTACTCAAATTTTGTACGAGGATCGGTGGCCACATCTTTAAAGCGCCTCTTACTGGTGGAAAAGGAGGCCATGAGACACGGCGATCCAATACGGAGGTGGAAGATGATCTTAACGGGATCGGCGAACCGATCCAACTGTCGTTAGACTAATGGGTATGGATCGACCTGGGACGGAGCGATCTGGAACGATTTACATGGAACAATCTGGGACAAGGATCTGGGACCGGGTGATGGGATATGACTCTGCGACGAAGGTGTAACTGTGGTAAAGTCACTCATCAAATGATGGGACGTGGATCGGTTTCCACCCAGTTAAGATGTCACCCACTGGCGGAAGAGGTACGCCTAGGACCAGGCGATGCAACGTGATTTGAGACGGGGCGTAGAAAGGGGTGATTCCAACGGTGCGATCTGGGACGAGGGACTGGATTGAACCGAACGACCACTCTAAAGGCTGATCAAAGGAAAGGATGTGGATGTTGAAGCAGAATCATTTGAGAAAAGTACGCTTGGGACCAGGCGATGCGACGTGGTTTGAGACGGGGCGTAGCAAGGGGTGATTTCCACGGTGCGATCTGGGATGAGGGACTGGATTGAACCGAACGACCACTCTGAAGGCTGATCAGAGGCAAGGATGTGGATGTTGAAGCAGAATCATTTTGATAAAGCATCGGAGTGCACACAATGAACGGAAGAACATATATGGCCGGATTGTACTGTGTCGATCCTCAGCAATCTCGAATTGGGCATCAGATCGGTCATGATCCCCACTGATTATGGATGTATCGTTGATGAGAATTTTGGATCATGACAAACATGCTTGTTGAAGGTCCATGAGTGATGTCTCAAAAGTTCAGATCGAAAGAGCCAGTGGAAGCCGGTTGAATTGACGTCGCAAAATGGATTTAGACGCCTTCGGCATTTGGGCACTATTTTGGGCTTTTGGGTACCAAAATGGGTATTTGGTACCCCATTTGGGATTTGGTCCTCTTTTGGCGTTCAGGTACGGTATCGGGAATATTGGCGCTATCATTGGAGTACAGGGCACGAAATTTCGACACGTGGCAAGGGGGCGATCCAGATTCAAGGCGATATCGGTTTGAAGAGTGACCTATAGTTAAGAATAGGCTTAAGGGTAGGTTGGATAGTAATTTGGTTGGTTAATAAACAGACTTGAACTCTACTTCTTCTGCTCACGACGCACGTTATCCTCCCCTCTTCTCCAGGCAAGATTGATTTGGCTTCCCCGGCGGGTTAAGGCACGCGTGTTACAGGGACACAGAAGACCGATCTTGGATTGTTGGCCAAGATCGAGAAGAGCGATCCCGGGATATCTGGCCCGGATCGATCAAGTACTCACACTCAACTCAACTGCTAGGGTAGCAGCACACAACGGAAAAGGAAAAGGATTTTGGACACAGGATCGCGAGACGGCTCAAGTGGTCAGAAGATCTGGACAAGGCGTTCAAGACAAGACCGAGCAGGATCGAAGCGATCCCCTGGACAGATCGGCACGTTTCATTTTGGCGAAACAAGACACCGATCTACCCAAATTGCGCACTTCCGGCAAGATCGGCCGATCCCAAGACCAGATCGGACCGATCCCAAGGCAAGATCGACGCAGGACTTTTATTTGCTGAGTGAAGATTTCCGCACAGCAAAGACCCCGATCTCGAAGACAAATCAAGATCGGTGCGATCCAAGATCGGGATCGCAGAACCCCCGTTCGTGGTGTGAAGATTTCCGCACCGGAAGCGAACCCTCAACCCAACCTCTCAGCGAGATCGACATCTCCCAAGGCCGTTACGAAGAGCTCAAGCCAGCCCAACCGACGGGTACACAAGGTGAGCACAAGGTCATACAACAAGGCACGGATCGGAGTACCCCCTCCGTGAGTCGGCAAGTCTGGGCAAGTGGAAGATCGACACTCATACAAGCAATTTTGTGAGATCGACTTCACCACAATGGTGCGCGTGCCCGGATCTTCTGAGGCCTCTGGATTTCACCGTGAGTCCACTGGCGAAGATGTCAAGATTAAGCAAGAACCTGGGATTGAAGTGTCAGCGACAAAGGGATCGACGCAGACACGCAGAAGCACAAGATCCTCAGATCATCAGAGTTTTGGGAGGGGCTCTGATGAAATGAAAATGAAAGAGGAAGATCGAGAGATCGATCTGGAAGATAAACCTCAATTCCCTCCTAGGGTCCCTTCGGGGCCACCGCAGATCGCTCTGCAAAGAGCGATCTGCTGGATGAAAATCCAACGGTGAAAACCAAATCGGCGAAAGCCAAACCCTATATCTTAGTCGATAGATCGCCCGACCTCAAGCCGAAGAGCACAATCGCGAGATCGACCACATCAGAACGATCCGCGACGAGATCGATGGGATCAGATGTCAAAGATCGCCAGATCGGCCGAACCGTGCAATCGAAGATCGGAGCCAAAGAGGAATACGATGAAACACCAGATAAGATCGCGATGCCAAAGACGGAATATAACCTAATAAAGATCGCGTCCAGGGAGAAGGAGACGACGGGTGAAGCTCGGGAGCGTGCAAAATGGCAGTACTATTATGGCCAGTTGAAGACGCTGCTCAAGACGGACCCAGTGTTCAAGATATTAAGGCCCAAGGTGATTGGTCCTCTGGATAAGCCGATCTCGGTCCCACCTCATGGGACCAACAAAGTCGACGAGATCAATTTGATTTTGCAGATGTTGGACGACATGGGTATCTGCCCTGACGCTTTTGATGGAGACGAACTGCTGCGTTGCAGCTTGGAACAGTTGAAGGACGCGGCGAATGAGTTTGTAGAGATCATGATAATGCTGGTGGGCAAAGCGAATACTCCTGAAGACAAGATCTGGACGCCCTCGGGCTCGCTCCGGGAACACCCCGCGGATCGCCCCGCTACGCCTCGGATGACTCCGAGAGCGAGTCAGATGGATCCATCAGCATTCGTCGGATGTCTCTAGGACCATCGGGTGGTAGGTTCTTAAAGGACAAGATCGGACAAGCCAAGACCGACGCCTATAAAGGACAAGCCAAGAGCAACATGCCGCGGAGATCGGCCAGTACCCGTACTGGGCTGGAGGATCAAGAAGAGGGCGATCTAAGTCGGTACTTCAATTCAGCCATGAAGAAGTACGAGGCGGATCAACGTACAGCTCAGCGAATGAATCGACAGCCAAACCGCCACCCAGATCGACGTACTTTGCTCCAACCCGCACACGAAAGCCTTGACATGCCGGATGTGGAGATGGAGTCGGTGGGGTCGGACACTTACCAGCATATCCATAAGGCGGGAACTGGAATACGACCCGGATGATTTATGGATGCCCGAACCACGGCGCCCTCACGTAGCCGCGACCGGTGCGACTACTGGAGGGGGAAGCATCACGCAGAGGATCAGAATCTCAGCGATTTCTAAGCTGAAAGAATTCTCAGGGAAGGATCGGGAAGAAGACAAAGCACGAACCCGGATCGGCAAAGTGAAATCAGCGTTTATCCGGGACCAAGCACCGGACGAGGAGAGACGTCTGGTCTTCGGTGATCTCATGGTGGGCCCAGCCCGCTACTGGTACCGACAGCTGAGTAGATCGACGATTTTCAATTGGAAAGAATTGATGAACAGTTTTCTTGTGGAGTATGCGGGACACGGGATGTCCGCGAGCAGGCAATACTACCGTGCAAAGAAACGATCGGAGGAAGATCCTTTACAGTACCTGTATCGGCTTAATGTGATGGGAATGCAGGCGAAGATACCGGTGATGACTGGATTGCCAGCTGCGCGCAAGGAACATGTCAACCATTTCATTGACACCTTGGACGACCCCCGATCTGTCCAATCAATTGCTACTGCTGAATATAGAAGACGCGGAGGCCATGCAAAAGACACTGCATGGATATCAACAAGGGAGATCGCGTCAAGGGAAAGTGATGATGGGATCGTCCAAGTTCAGGCAGAAGGGAACTCATGGTCCAGCGTTGTCTAAGCCTGCACGAGCGGTAAGGATGGTCCGTACCGAGGACGTCTGCAGCGAGTCAGGATCGGACACCTGCGGATCGGATTTGGAAGATCGATTGAGATCGATCCATGTGGCTGCTACTGCGGATCGGCGTGCATCCCCCGATGACGTTGCAGCAAACGCGAGATCGGTCGACCCGAACACTCGTCAAGACTATCAAGATCGCAATACCCCATTGAAGCCGTGCACTCATTGCGGATCGACCAAGCATGGAGATCTCGGTTGCTGGAAGCGGCTCACTTGCCAGAAGTGTGGGTGTAAAGGACACCCCTCTGACAATTTTTTTTTTCGTGTGTCGTGCCTGCGGTGAGATGCACGACCCGGGGAAGTGTCCCATGGAGGAGTTCTACAACATGATCCGCCAGTGGTACGTCCCGAATAAGCATGCGGGGATGCTACCAGAGAAGGCCGAGAAGATGTTAAACTAGGACGCTCGCCAGGTTTGCATCTGGTACGAGCCGAGCGTTCTGGGCTCTGCATTATTGCATACGTGGAAAAAAAGAAGACAGATCGCGAGAGTAAGCAGGATACTGAGATGGAAACAAACAAATCTCGTTCGAAGTTAAAACGTGTCGCTTCCGTGTCCCATCTGAAGAGGATTGATGAGTACTCGCGATCTGAACCAACTATGGAGATCGAGCTCGCTTATGGTGAATCTCGCGGATATTGGAAACATTATTCACCCGGGAAGTGGTTCAAACAAGCGAAAGCCGTTGGCAAGATCAACAACGTAAAAGCTACTCTGTTATTTGATTCTGGTGCTGAAGTGTCGATCATTGACACCACTTTTGCTCGTGAGGTCGGTTGCAATATTGACGAAAGTCAACGACAAGAATGTATCGGGATTGGAGAAACTCCGTACATGACGGTAGGACGTACCAAGATCAAGGTGACCCTCGCGGGATCGCTGGTATACTATTTCAATGTATGGGTAGGCGATCCGGCAGGGCAAGAAGCGATTCTGGGTATGGATTTTATGGTGCCTGCTGGAGTGCGGCTCGATCTAGCGGATGGCGCGCTATGTCTACCAGAAGAAATCCGCATTCATCTCGCAGGACGTCGCCCCGCGTACGGATCGAAGATACAACATATAAAGGCGAAGGACCAACACGTGGTGATCCCGGTCGGAGAGTCAAGGGAAGTGAAGATCGGGATCGGAGGGGCTAAGATGAAGTTGTGGGTCGCTAGAGGACCAGATTGGGTCCCCACTGTGATCTCGGGGTTGGGTAAGACGAAATACCTGCAGATGACCAACATTGGCGACCGTGAGATCATACTGCCCACCCACACTATATTAGGCATGTGGGTCGAAGGCGATATGGTCCGGCGAACCCAAGGTTTGGTGACAGTCGGGTCGGGGAAGTACAAGGAATGGCAAACTCTGGCATATGAGGCTACGACGGATCGGGTGAACGAACTCCCGAAAGAACCGATCGGACCATTGGTAAATCGTCCTACGTATGCCGCTCCCAAAGGCATCTTGAAACGTCCGTCTGATGCGTTACAAAACCTGTCTCCGGCGATCTCCACGGTAACGCCGCAAGCTAACGATGACGATTCGCAAAAGGCAGATGCTGTAGTTGCGAGGGAAGCAACGGTCAGGGGAGCCGAACTATCGCGGATGGAGAACGGTCATGAGATTGGTACCCAACATGCAACGAAGGAAGACCGCGACACCGGGCAAGAAGGGCTACGTGACAGATCGTCTCTACCGAAGGCTGAGCCGACTGACCGACTGTTGAAATTGGGCCAGCCGGAAGAGACGAAGGAGCCTAAAGAAGAAATAATGCTAAATACTGAAGACGTCGAGATTGCAGAAATACCAGTTTATCACCACGAGAGCGGAGATTTGTTTGCGGAAGATATCGAGCAGCATATGGCCGTGCTTCCAGAGATGTCGGCGACTACGGAAGAAGTTACGATTGAGGACATTCAGATCGGTGATCCCGATGTGCCTCTCTCCACAGATCAACAACGGCTCAGATCGCTGATCTGGAAGAGCCGTCATCTCTTCATGGGTAAAGGTAATGCTCTACCACCAGCAGCACGAGGCGCGATCTGTGATATTGATGTCGGTGGGGCAGCACCGATAGCGCAAAGAGTGCGTCCGGTCGCACCCAAGTATCGGGAGAAGCTGTCAGATCTCATCAAAGGACTATTAGCAGCCAAAATCGTTCAGCCATCTACGTCACCTTGGGCGTCTCCGATAGTGGTGATCGTCAAGAAGAACGGAGTGGATATTCGCCTTTGCATTGATTATCGAAGAGTTAACCAGCTGACGCGTCTGATGGTTTATCCCATGCCGTTGATCAGCGATCTGTTGGAAGATCTGGATAAAGCTCTATGGTACTGTTCGCTAGACATGGCTAGTGGATTTTGGGTCGTCGAAATGACTGAACGAGCAAAACTGATCTCAGCGTTTGTCACACCGTTTGGCTTGTTCGAGTGGCTGCAAATGCCTTTTGGGCTTAAGAACGCACCCCAGATCTACCAACGTCTGGTGGACAATGTGTTGTATGGATATCTCAAGATCGGCCAGAGATCAGCTTCTGATGGCCCGATCGACGTGTTCAAAGATGGAGAACCTAAGACAGCTCGACGACCCTCTATACTGGGACGCCGATCTTACATTGACATAATTCTCATACCAGCCACGTCATGGGGATCTTTGTACACAAAAGTAGAACGGTTGCTGGAGGCATGTGATAAGTGGAATCTGTCTATCAGCCTCACGAAGAGCTTTTGGGGGTGCCGTAAGGTCGATTATTTGGGACATCGAGTGTCGATGGATGGTCTGGAGGCTCAGCCCAAGAACCTAGAGTCGTTGGTCAACACCCCGTTTCCTAGCACGCTACGAGCTATGCAATCTTTTCTCGGGAGCTTGAACTACTACCGTCGCTTCATTGAGGATTTCGCGGTGTATGCCGCGGTGTTGTATGAGTTAAGAGAATCGGATTTCTTCGAGATCGGCCGATCTCAGCTTGCAGCAGGAGACGAATGCTCCAACGAGGGTCGATGGACGGAAGCCAAGGTTGCTTTCACTATGCTAAAATCTAAGATAGCTACAGCTCCCATGCTCAAGCATTTCGACCCAGATCGGTCCCCCGTAATCGTGGTCTACGCTAGCAAGTGGGCTGTCTCAGCGGCCCTGATACAGGAGTACGATGGCGTGTACCATCCGGTGACGTTTACTAGCCGCACTTTAAAGCCTAATGAGCTTAACTACGGAACGGTAGAAAAAGAAGTGCTGGCGCTACTTCGTGTGTTGGATGTATGCTATACTACGCTTGCCTCGCGGGAGATCACTGTACTGACCCGACATTCTACGTTAGCCTGGTTGATGCAGTCTCGAGGGCTCAACGGGAGATTAGGACGGTGGGCTGCTTTGTTGTCAAATTGGACTATGGAGGTGAAGAAATGTGAAAGAGGAGAGGAAGAGATCCTGGGCATGTTAGCAGCGAGTATCACTCCGAGAGGAGAAGTGGAAGAGATGCTGATTGCGATCTCCCCACGAAAAGACTGTCGACTCAAAATATCGATGTCTCCTCCAACGGTGGAAACAGATGAGGAGTTGCTGGTGGCCAGTTTCGATGGATCGGCTAGGATAAAAAGAAAGGAGGGTCGTTCAGTGCCGTGATATGGAAGTTAACCGAATGGACGATCGTGGCGGCCGAATCGAGATATGTTCACGATCTGACTGTGAATGAAGCTGAGTATAATGGCTTGCTACTGTGCTTTGAGTTACTCGCCGATCTGGATAGGGGGCGAGTAATACTGTGTGGAGATTCCAGTCTGGTGATTCGACAGATGCGCGGTGAGATCGACTGCAAGGCACCGGGCCTACAACTCTTGAAGCATAAAGCGTTAGAGAAATTGCGATCTTGGCCTAGTCACGAGTTTCTGCATATGAAGCGAGAGTGGAATCAGAGCGCAGATCGACTAGCCAGCACAGCATTGCAGAGCGAAAAGGGACGAACGGTTGTAGCTGAAGAGGATCGGCAAGATCTGATGACTCTGAACCGTCTCGATGAATTGTTGAAGCCCAAGCAAGATGGTCAGCTGGCTCGGGTAACTGCGATCGCCAGATCAGCCAGGAGGATACGTCATGAACCTGAAGTGATACAGGAGGAGATAGTACAGAGGATCAGGATTCAACGAATTGTCCAAGCTCAAGATGAAGAGCGTTGGATTGTCAATCTCAAGACATATCTAAGTGGCGATGTATCAAACTTGGATGCGGTAGAAGTGAAGATGTGCGCCAAAACTGGCGCCGGAATACGAGATCGATGAGAGCAATCTGCTATTTTTTTACCCCATGGCGAAAAGAGAGTCGGAAGATCGCGATGGTTGGATGCGGTTGGTGATCCCTGAGACGTTGCAGCAGGATTTTTTTGCATCACTATCACACGAGTCTGGAAGGAGGCCATCAGGGTATTGGCAGAACCTATCAGAGGATCAGATCGCGATTTCATTGGAGAGGACTGTATCGGAGTGTGCAACGATATGTGGGCAAATGCACTGACTGTGAAACCGGAACGACTCATGGGAGATCCCCGGGCAACTTGCAAGCAACCTATCCGTTCCAGATCATCGCAATGGATCATATACCGTCGTTGCCCAAGTCCATCAAGGGGAATACTGAGCTGCTCATTTGGGTGGACCTCTTCTCGGGATGTGTGATTGCAAAGGCTAGCTCATCACGTACGGCACAAACAATAGCGGAGAATTACGAAGAATGTGTGTTTCGACGCTTCAGAGCTAGCGAGGCTATCAGGCACGACCGAGAACCGGGATTTATGCCCGATTTTGTTCGAGCCTTCAGTCGGATCGTAGGACAAAAACAGCGTGCTACTATGGCTTACAGGCCACAAGCAAATGGAACAGCCGAACGAATGGTGCAAACCCTGACACATTCGCTCAAGATGTACGTGGCTGAAGTTGACCAGCGAGACTGGGATGAGTATGCTGAGCGGCTCACATTTGCCATTAACACTGCACAAGATCGGATCCGGGGGGATACCCCGTTTTATCTGATTCATGGGTGGGACCCGCGATCGACTTTGGAGGCTACGCTATCAGTGGGGAATACGGGGACACGATATCGCGATCCAAAGAGGTGGAGATACAAAATCCAAAGACAATACCAGCGAGCCCGATCTGCAGTGAACGATCGCTTACAAGCCGCGATCCAGGAGCGAGCAGATCGACACAACGAAGATCTGGAACCACACGAGATCGAAGTAGGAGCGCAAGTTTGGCTATACCTGGGTCGATCCAAAGAAGGGTGTGCGAAGAAGCTAGCGCATATGTGGCATGGGCCATTCCGAGTTGCGGACGTATGTGGAGATCATGCTGTAAAATTGGAGATCGCTGGAACCCCATATCGGTTATTTCCGATTGTACATATATCGAAGCTAAAAAAGGTAAAGACGTTCCCTGAACGCCCGAAGGATCAGCTTACGATAGAGGAATCAGATCGTTTGGATTTCGATGAAGCTCTGCTGCCAGAAGACAGTTGGGATGGCGATCTTGAAGAAGGGGAATACGAAGTGGAGGCAATATTGGACGTGCGATCTGGTAGAAAAACCCGTTATGGGCGAGTATACCGGCAGTTTCTGGTGAAGTGGAAGGGATATCCCGATCTAAGTTGGGTGGACGAGGCCGATCTAAGTTGTGGGGCGATCTTGCAAGAGTTTGAGCGGAACCGAGTGAGTCGAAACCGTTTCGACGTAATGCAGTCTCATGAAGGCAAGTCAGACGAACCTTAACAGTTCGAACAAGTATGTGGGAGGTAGCATATGCGGATGTAGGGGTTGAAAGATGTGCTAGACGGTAGCACATGCTGGTGGATGAGGTTTTTGTATGTGAGTATGGAGATAGTCAAGTGAATTACCTTCCTGAATGATGTGAAGCGATGAGGATCGAGATCGTGGAAGCTGCAAAGAATGAAGTACCAAAAAGAAGATGATTGAATGACTTACACGATTATGAAAGACGATAGGGCTTGGATATCGACCTTGGACTAAGACGATGGAGCAGGTTTAAACTTGTCCTGCAGACGAGGGATCTGCGATCCGGGATGATCTAGATGGCGCGGAGACCCAGGCCGATCGGGGACCGCTGGGGTGTGTCCTCCGAGATCGGGCGATCCGGGCGGCAGGTCACGATCCGGAGACAGAAACATGGTGGATCCTTCTAAAGAGATCGGCGAGGTGGGTGGATGCGCCGGAGAGACCATGAGACGGACATGAGTGCTTGGAACGAAGTTGATGAGTGACTGTACTGAGGTCGATTGCTGTACAAAAGACTTCAGTACAGGGGGCGGTTGTGGCAAAGTCACTACTCAAATTTTGTACGAGGATCGGTGGCCACATCTATAAAGCGCCTCTTACTGGTGGAAAAGGAGGCCATGAGACACGGCGATCCAATACGGAGGTGGAAGATGATCTTAACGGGATCGGCAAACCGATCCAACTGTCGTTAGACTAATGGGTATGGATCGACCTGGGACGGAGCGATCTGGAACGATTTACATGGAACAATCTGGGACAAGGATCTGGGACCGGGTGATGGGATATGAATCTGCGACGAAGGTGTAACTGTGGTAAAGTCACTCATCAAATGATGAGACGTGGATCGGTTTCCACCCAGTTAAGATGTCACCCACTGGCGGAAGAGGTACGCCTAGGACCAGGCGATGCAACGTGATTTGAGACGGGGCGTAGAAAGGGGTGATTCCAACGGTGCGATCTGGGACGAGGGACTGGATTGAACCGAACGACCACTCTAAAGGCTGATCAAAGGAAAGGATGTGGATGTTGAAGCAGAATCATTTGAGAAAAGTACGCTTGGGACCAGGCGATGCGACGTGGTTTGAGACGGGGCGTAGCAAGGGGTGATTTCCACGGTGCGATCTGGGATGAGGGACTGGATTGAACCGAACGACCACTCTGAAGGCTGATCAGAGGCAAGGATGTGGATGTTGAAGCAGAATCATTTTGATAAAGCATCGGAGTGCACACAATGAACGGAAGAACATATATGGCCGGATTGTACTGTGTCGATCCTCAGCAATCTCGAATTGGGCATCAGATCGGTCATGATCCCCACTGATTATGGATGTATCGTTGATGAGAATTTTGGATCATGACAAACATGCTTGTTGAAGGTCCATGAGTGATGTCTCAAAAGTTCAGATCGAAAGAGCCAGTGGAAGCCGGTTGAATTGACGTCGCAAAATGGATTTAGACGCCTTCGGCATTTGGGCACTATTTTGGGCTTTTGGGTACCAAAATGGGTATTTGGTACCCCATTTGGGATTTGGTCCTCTTTTGGCGTTCAGGTACGGTATCGGGAATATTGGCGCTATCATTGGAGTACAGGGCACGAAATTTCGACACGTGGCAAGGGGGCGATCCAGATTCAAGGCGATATCGGTTTGAAGAGTGACCTATAGTTAAGAATAGGCTTAAGGGTAGGTTGGATAGTAATTTGGTTGGTTAATAAACAGACTTGAACTCTACTTCTTCTGCTCACGACGCACGTTATCCTCCCCTCTTCTCCAGGCAAGATTGATTTGGCTTCCCCGGCGGGTCAAGGCACGCGTGTTACAAGGACACAGAAGACCGATCTTGGATTGTTGGCCAAGATCAAGAAGAGCGATCCCGGGATATCTGGCCCGGATCGATCAAGTACTCACACTCAACTCAACTGCTAGGGTAGCAGCACACAACGGAAAAGGAAAAGGATTTTGGACACAGGATCGCGAGACGGCTCAAGTGGTCAGAAGATCTGGACAAGGCGTTCAAGACAAGACCGAGCAGGATCGAAGCGATCCCCTGGACAGATCGGCACGTTTCATTTTGGCGAAACAAGACACCGATCTACCCAAATTGCGCACTTCCGGCAAGATCGGCCGATCCCAAGACCAGATCGGACCGATCTCAAGGCAAGATCGACGCAGGACTTTTATTTGCTAAGTAAAGATTTCCGCACAGCAAAGACCCCGATCTCGAAGACAAATCAAGATCGGTGCGATCCAAGATCGGGATCGCAGAACCCCCGTTCGTGGTGTGAAGATTTCCGCACCGGAAGCGAACCCTCAACCCAACCTCTCAGCAAGATCGACATCTCCCAAGGCCGTTACGAAGAGCTCAAGCCAGCCCAACCGACGGGTACATAAGGTGAGCACAAGGTTATACAACAAGGCACGGATCGGAGTACCCCCTCCGTGAGTCGGCAAGTCTGGGCAAGTGGAAGATCGACACTAATACAAGCAATTTTGTGAGATCGACTTTACCACATCTTCGTGCTTGCATTCTTGGTCACACATGTTCTTGGTGAGCTTCAGACCTGTATCTTGAGGCGTCTTCACTAGCTTGCTGTTATCCATTCCGAACTTGATCAACACGGACTTGATAAACTTGGTTTGTCGCACAGTCACCATATCAGTCTTGCGGTCGTCTTTGGTCTCCATACCGAGAAATTAATTGAGCTCACCGAGATCCGTCATTTCGAAGGGTGTGCTCAGCGCCATCTTGGTCGACTTGAGTAGTTTGTTGTTGTTTCTGGCCAGGATGAGATCACCGACGTAGAGCACCACGAGAATCATGTCTTGGTTGTCTCGCTTGATGTAGATGCAGTGGTCCGATTCGCACTTGTTGAATCCCATCTTGATCATGAACTCATCGATCGTTTGGCTCCACATGCGTGGCCATTGCTTTAAGTCGTAGAGCAATCTCTTTAGCTTGCACACATATTCCGGCTGTTTTTCATCCAGGCATCCTGTCGGTTGGTCCATGTAGATGTCTTCGTCGAGGGAGCCGTTAAGAAACGCTGTCTTGACGTCCATCTGATGTAGCATTAGGCCGTACTCGGCCGCTATGCTGAGCGCCACACGAATCGACGTGAACTTGGCCACTGGTGCGAAAGTTTCTTCATAGTCAACTCCGAATTTCTAGGAGAATCCTTTGGCTGCAAGTCTTGCCTTAAAACGTTCGACTTTGCCATCTTGATTCTCCTTGACACGAAACACCCATCGGCACCCGATGGATTTGCGACCTTTCGGAAGAGGCACGATCTCCCACGTGTCGTTTCTCTGAAGCGAGTCGAACTCCAAGTCACACGCTTCTTTTTACTTGATGGAGTCACTTGATTCCATCGCCAACTTGAATGTAGTCGGCATTTCCCCCACTGAATCAACGATGTAGGCTGCTTCAAAATACATTGCAGCCATTGACACATGCTGAAGCGACGGCCCTCTGTACGTTCTTCGCTTGGGACTTGGAAGGACGGTAGCTTTTATTGAGGGTTACCGATACAATCCGAACTTGAGCGTAGTTTTACGGGATAGTTTTTACGTCGGTAATTACCTCAGAGATGATTGGACGCGTAGGATGATTAGACGTGTGTAAATAAGGTTGATTAGATGCACCATGTGATTGGATGCAGTCTAGGGTAGGCAGAGTTAAGACCTATGAATCAGTCACTTTCCAATCTTTCATCTACCCCCCAAGTGTCTTCTCCGGTCTTCCGAGTGGACTCCCAGCATCCCTCACAGTTTCGGTCGTCAAGCTTCACACCTTTCAACATAAACGTCACTGGGCCGACATCCTTGGTGAAGCGGCCGACTGAGAACAGGTTTTTGGATAACTTTGGGATGTGCCACACGTTTGTGAGCACACCTTTCTTCATCCCTTGGGGTGTCTTCATCGACATGACAGTGTCCCCACTGCCGATTGCTTGGACGATTCCATCATCCGCGAGATGGACATCCACAGCGTCAAACAACTTGTAGTTCCGCATGAACTTCTTGGAGCACGTCATGTGCTGCGTCGCCCCGGAGTCGACCAGCCAGATGCCGCTCGATTTCCCAGATGTCATTTCACCAATCGAAAAGAGGTAGTCGCCCGAGTCTTCTTCTTGAGCGACGTTTGCACGTTGTGATCGGTAGCGGTCGCCGCTGTCTTGAGCGCGCTGTGGCCGGTGTCTCTCCGTGTTTTCTTGGATGCGCGAGGGGCACTTCGCCATCAAGTGACCAATCTTTCCGCAATGTGGCACGGCCAGGACTTCTTTACTGGTCGCCCTTTGCGCTGATTGTCCCTTGTGATGAACGCTTGACCTTGCGAAGCTTCATCACCTTTACTTCCTTGCTCCTTCCGCTTCATTTCTTCATGAAGCAGTCGAGACGTCACAAGCTCCCAGCTAAAAGTGTCTGAGCGCGACTTCAAAGCTGTGATCAAGAATTGATTCGAGTCACTCAGGCTGCCGAGAAGTGTGATCACCAGATCGTCCTCGCAGACCGGAGCCCCCACCGCTTCTAGATGTTCCTCTAACGTCTTGAGCTCGTTGATGTGTTCGAGCACATCGTCGCTTTCTTCCATCATCGTCGTGAAGAAGCGACGGCACAAGAACAGCTTGTTGGCAAGACTCTTCTTCTCGAAGTGGTCTTCCAACCTTGACCATGCGTCACATGCACCACTTGCCGACCAGACCAACGGTAGCTGGGAATCTTCCATGGCTAAACAGATCACTGCCATCACTTTTCTTGACTTACTCTTGTACGCCGCTTAGTCCAACTGAGTCACGCACTGTTCCGCCTTGACCTCGCCGCTGACGACCTCCCACAGGTCCCGTTCCTCCAGCACCATCTGCATCTTGAACTTCCAGGCGTGGAAGTTAGTTTCATCGAACTTGGAGATGCGGACGGAGGAGGCGTCCATGGCAGCAAGGCTTGCATTGTTGGCGGTTTCAGAGTCTGACGAACTTGGGCTCATCATCTGAAGAACTTTAGACTTCTTGGTCTGAGTGCAAACGCAAAGTGAATATATATTTATAATAGGTACGTAGTTTGCAGCTTTGAATACTACCTCTAAGCCTGTTATTCGCAGTGATGTCATCCACTGAGGTCACCCACTGACGTTATGCAATGACGCCATTCCCTGACTTCGCCCTTACTGGTACATACCGGTACCCACCGGTATATCGAAGCTTGGTCTTCGGCTTGCTTCAACACTTGACGCATCTTGACGAGGTTGTTGGTAGGTGTAAAGCTTGACGACCGAAACTGGGAGTGATGCTGGGAGTCCACTCGGAAGACCGGAGAAGACACTTGGGGGGTAGATGGAAGATTGGAAAGTGATTGATTATCGGGGCTTAATACTTACTACATGATTTATATGTGGTGCACATATAAATCATGTGAAGCGTCTCATCATCCTACGCGTCTAATCAACTATGGTAATTACCGTAAGAACTACGTCGTAAATACTAAGCCGAACAGGCGGTTCGGTTTGGACCGGTCACGGTTACCAACACTGGTAGGAAACCGATGACCGTCAACATAGTGGCCTTATACATTGTAATCTTGTGCAGTCGGACTAAAGACCGTTCCACAAGTGAGGCCATGCACTCACTTGTAGTACAATCACACACTTGTGGAAGCTCCAAGACGTTCATCAGATGGCCATCTGAACATTTGAACAAACGGCATTCATCTTCATGGATTGATGCTGTCAGCTGACCCATGGCTGGTACTTTCCAAGCCATGACAGACCAAGGATGACATTAAATTTGTCATCAAGATCCAGATCGATGAAGTCATCATCGTACTGCTTTCCTTCTAGCGTGTAGTGTATTCCTACTACACGTTTGTTCACTGTAACGGACGCGCCTGTAGCAAGGCACACCGTCATCCTCGTTGGAAAGAGCTCTAGTTCAACATAGTTGAGCCTACTATATTCTAGCGACTGGCATCGAATAAAAATGTTCGACGCCCCACAGTCAACTAGGGCGCAAAGTGACATTCCACTTGTCACTTCGATCTTCAAAGTGATGAGGGACACCTCATCACGATGGGCAGTAACACACAGCGACTGTGTGTTGGGAGCAATCTTCGTCAAGTGTCCTACAAATTCTCTTGAAGTTGCTGTAACAGCAGGGTGCTCCACCCCTACTGACCCTGTCCGTTTTTGGCGGTCCGACTTGCTGTCGCGGCTTAGCGACATGGTCGGACCCACGCCTTGGACCATTCCTCGGCCAACGGTGGTCATCACGTTCTGTCTTTGGATGTGATGTGGTGCTTGGGACACTACACTCATGAGCGTAGTGTCCAATCTTCTGACAGTGATGGCATCTTGACGTTCAATTGTGACTCAGAGAGCGAGAGGTTTCGCTCTCGATGTTACAGAGGTCCATTGGTTCGGGACCTACTGTTTCCTGTCGTCTCTTCTGACGATAATTTGACGAGTTAGTTTGATAATGTCTCAGGCTGAAGTCCTCTTGTTCCACATACGCTATCGCCTATTCCAGCGTATGGAAGTCCTCTCGGAACATGCAGGTCTTCACCGGCCCATCTACAAGGTCGTAGATGAACACGTTGATAAGTGTGTGCTCATCAACAGGGCTTTCCGTGACGCTACTCGCAAGGTAGCGTAGGTATTCGGCGTAAGCATGCACATCACGCTTACTTTGCTTGAGCGTCAAGAGTGCAGAGCGTTCTCTGAACTCGGCTTTCGGCGGCTCAAACGTTTCTATAAGGCGGTACTTCAAGGTCTTAAACAACTCAAACACGTTTGGCTCGTGAAGCTTGAGCCCTAAGGCCCAAGTCTTTGCTCGTCCCGTCAAATTTGACAGGTAGAAGGTGGCTTGCATCTCGTCACCCTCGATGTGACGGGCCTTGATGGCTCGTCTAATTCGACGAACCATCTCAAAAGAGAATCTTCATCGGATCCCTTGTACCTTGAGATACCAATCTTCAAGATTTCGGGTCGACGAATGTGCGTCGGCTCGCCCATCGACTGATAAGAGCCTTGGTGTTGTAGCAAGGCTATCTTCTGTCGTTCGACGGCAAGTTTCCCTTATAGGAACTTGTTGATAGCGGCATGTTGCTGGTCTATGCTTAGAGACTCCAACTTGCCAATGATGGCGGGTTCGCCCATGAGCACACCCATGCGGCCGACTACCTCCCAATCTGAGTCACTCAGATGGGAGTAGCCTTCTCGTGTGACGTAAAAGCTGTCGTCTTCTCCGTCCAACATGAACACGTAAGGTCGACACTAAGTATTCGTTGGACGGACTACGAAGTGCTATCAGGTGTAACGGGACACATATTGTTTGAGGTAACGCAAAACTTCACGTACAAGTACGTGCAGAGGAAGCTTATCTACTCAACAACTAAGCTGAGTAAAGAGTAAAAGAGAACTGTATTTCATATAGTTCAGCTATCAATATAACTTTAGTCTTTATCTAACTACACTAATTTACATTTCGTATGACGACAACCTGCTCACCACTCATTGCGCGCGTCTAGCAGCGATGGTGGTAATCTATGGTTGATATTATTGTGGGTTGACGGTTGAGGTACTGCTATCAGCTACCATGGGAACCGTAAACCTGTCCAAGTCGATCCTGCGTAGTTACGGTGAGATTTTACCAATGATTAGACGCATAGGATGATTGGATGACCTACATGATTTATGATTCATGATTTATAAGTGGACAACATATAAATCTGTGCAGAGATAAATCAGGTAGCTTTAACAAAACCCACAAATAAATTCACTTCTAAATATTCCTTCTCCTACACAAGTCGTCTTCACTTCGCAGTGTAGACTTCTTTCAAGCTCTTCAAGCTTCGTTCTCTCGCCCAGTGCTCTTCAGACTTTAACAGGTTATGAGCCCAAGCACGATGCCCTTTGCTCAAGATTTACCACCAGGATCTCTATCGATAGAATCGCTGGAGACAACTACGCGACGTGGAGCCGCTACATGCGTGGCGTGTTCCTGACCAAGTCGACGTGGCACGTGGTCAACCGGGAGACCACCCCCACCTTCGCCGATCCTCGCGCCAGTGACGACTACGTCAAGACGAACAAAATTGCGTTCGGCTTGATGCTGCTGCACATGAGCGCGGACTATCATCACGTGGTTGATGACTGCGACGAGGCATGGGTTGCGTGGACACGGTTGAAGACTCTCTACGGCGGATCGCAGAAGGCGGGGAGGATCTTCTTGAAGCGGCAGCTGTTCAGCATGGAGATGGCGGAAGGCGGCAATGTAATGCATCATTGCAATGAAGTTCTCAACACCAGCGCCAAGCTCAGCAGCATCGGCGCCAAGATGGAGGATGAGGACGTGGCGATCTGCTTGTTGCGCAGCCTCCCCAAGAGCTACGAGAACGTCGTACTGAACTTGGAGATGAGCAGCGCGGAGCTGCGGACGCAAGACGTCGTGAAAGTGCTGACGAATGAGCACATCAAGAGACAAGGGAAAAAGACGACATCGGTGAAAACTGAAGAAGCGACCAAGGCCTTCAGTACCGAGCGTGAGGTTCGTCAGTGTACGTTCTGCGGAAAATTGGGGCACACGGTGGAAAAGTGCTGGACCAAGCAGAAGGAAGACAATCGGGGAGCTCGACGCGGCGGCAATGCACGTGGATGCGGAGCGAATAAAGTTCAGTGGCAAGGCTACAACAGCAACAGCAACTATGACTATGATCGAGTGGCATTTGCTGTTTCGCTGGAATGCGGACTTTCAACGACCAAGAGCATGTCTGGAATGTGGGCGATTGACAGCGGTGCAACACATCACATCTGCTATGACAAGTCCAAGTTCGAATTTCTGGACGAGCGCAATGAAGGCGAAGTGTTGGTTGCAGATGAGAACAAGGCTGCGATCAACGGTGTCTGGACAACCATCGAAAAGGTGACCCTGTCCAACGGTGAAGAGCGCGAAGTCGAGATCAAGAACGCGCTTTACGTCCCAAGCATGAACAAGAACTTGCTGTCGATACCACAAATCAACAAAAGCGGCAAGTTTCAAGTGGTGTTTGATGGTGACGAGATGAAGATTTCGCACATAGGCTCCAAGCAATTAATAGCGATGGCCGATCTTGTGGATGGCCTCTACTGGCTTCGTACATCCCAACGATCGGTGAATGCGGCTTCAGGACCAAGAGTCGAAAACCTTCATGCGCGTATGGGCCACGCACCGATTGATGTCTTGTGCAGAATGGTCTCCAAGGGCATGATCAAGGATGCCAAGAAGCCAGCAAAATTGAGCGGATCAAGCGTGTGTCAAGGTTGTCAAGAAGGAAAAATGGTTCAACGACCGTTCCCGAGCAATCCAAACAAGCGCCACTACGATCCGTTTGAGCTTCTACACATCGACAATTGTGGTCCAATGGAAGTCGACCCGCTAGGTGGAAGCAAGTACTTGATACTGATCGTCGATGAAGGCAGCGGATGTATGAAGGGTTTCAGTCTGCACGCCAAGTCCGACAGCGAAGAGTGCATCAAGAAGTACATCATGGCAGTACAGACGCATTTTGACTACAAGGTCAAGTTCGTTCGACACGATGGTGCACGAGAATTTGCGGCGAATTCGCTCAAGGCATTTCACGATGATCAAGGAATCGAGCAGCAAGTTACCGTTCCGTATGCGCATCAGACCAACGGCACGGCGGAACGGGCAATTCGGACCATTGTGACGATCGGGCGCAGCATGCTTCACTACACCAAGCTGGACAAGTGTTTTTGGGCTGAAGCAGCAATGACGGCGATCTACATCAAGAATCGCCTACCATCGCCCAAGTGCCAAGATCAAACCCCCATTCGAGATCGTCAACGGATTTCGACCAAGTGTGAAGCACATGCGGGTTTTCGGCTGCCGAACGTTTGTGCTGACCCCTAAGGAAAAGAGATCGAAATGGGATCCGAAGGCTCGTGAAGGACTATTCATGGGGTACGAAGAAGTGTCAAAGGCATATCGCGTTTACGACATTGAAGCGGAACAAGTGGTGATATCTCGCGATGTCACATTCGACGAATCAACGCTTGGTTTCTCGCCTACGCTACCACAAGAAATTGTTGATGACACTGCGCTGGATATCGAATCGATGAACATCAGCGATGAGCCTCACCCCATGCAGTTCAAGCAAACTGGAAAACGCAAAAGCCGTTCAAACAGTCAAGAACAAGTTCTACAACGGACACTTCTTGAGCGTCGTGGAACCGGGTTGGAAGAAGCAAGTGCCCCGGATGACTCTGAATCGCACCAAGCGAAGCGACGATCAAGCGCTAGAGACAATCTGGACGAAGAGCAAAAAAGCAGTGACGAAGATAACGAGGATGCTACACCTCAAGTCTTTTGGCGAGCGAGTGCCAATGCAGTCGAAGGTACTGACTTGTCTGAGCCGACAACGTTTGAAGATGCTGTTGGTGGACCAGATCAAGTGCATTGGCGTAAGGCAATCTGTGCCGAGTTGGACTCGATGAAACTTCGTGGCGTGTTTCGAGCGACGAAACTGCCGTCTGGACAGCATATTATTGGCACCAAGTGGGTATTCAAGATCAAACGGAAAGCTGATGGATCCATCGAGAAATACAAGGCGCGTCTCGTGGCAAAAGGGTTCAAGCAGAAATATGGCATCGACTACACGGAAACGTTTTCGTCGGTAGTCAAGTACGTGACGCTACGCATGGTTGTTGCAATCACGAAGTACTTTGGCTGGACACTGGACCAACTGGACGTGGTGACAGCTTTTCTATACGGAGAAATGAAGAGCATGTATTCTGCGCGATCCCAGAAGTAGTCGAAGTTGATGAAGACTTTGACTGCTTTGAACTGGTCAAGGCGATCTACGGACTAAAACTAGCATCGCGCGTATGGAACGAGACTTTTCATGAGTTCGTCTGCTCCATTGGATTTCAAGTCTCCGATTTTGACCCGTGTCTTTATCTCAAGATTACAAGTGGCGAGTGCGTGCTTTTGCTGGTATACGTCGATGATGTGTTGGTGACTGGCAGCTCAACCGAACTGATTATGCGCACCAAGAGTGACTTAAAGGCGCGTTTCGACATGACCGACAGTGGGAAGTGCGCATTCGTGTTGGGCATCGAGCTGGTGGACAATGACAACGGTAGCGTGACGATGTGCCAGCGACGCTACGTAGAAGATGTTCTCAAGCGTTTTGGCATGAGCGACTGCAAAGCCGTCACCAGCCCAGTAGACATCAGTTCTTGTTGATTGGTGAAAAGCTTGACGACCGAAACTGAGAGTGATGCTGGGAGTCCACTCGGAAGACCTGAGAAGACACTTAAGGGGTAGATGGAAGATTATAAAATGATTGATTATCGGGGCTTACTACTTACTACATGATTTATGTGTGGTGCACATATAAATCATGTGAAGCGTCTCATCATCCTACGCGTCTAATCAACTATGGTAATTACCGTACGAACTACGTCGTAAATACCAAGCTGAACAGGCGGTTCGGATTGGACCGGTCACGGTTACCAATACTGGTAGAAACCGATGACCGTCAACACGCCCCCTCAATACGAACTCGCACGAATGACGAGAGCCGTCGTCAAGTCCTTGTGGCGAGGTCCCGAAATCCCTTGGTCATGATGTCCGCCATCATCACGGAAGTCTCGCAATACTCGAGCTGCACTTCACCGCGCTTGACCTCATCACGGATGTGATGGTACTTGATGTCGATGTGCTTGGCGCGGCCATGATTCACCGGATTATTCGTCATCTTGATGCACGACTGGTTGTCTTCACGGATGACGAGGTCCGGTCCTGGTTCGTTTGCGGCCGCCAAAATCTCGCATAGCAGGCGATGCACCCGCTTGCCTTCCTGGATGGCCAGACTCAGTGCGATGTATTCCGCTTCACTCCTCGACAGCGACACACTTAACTGCTTCTTGCTTCCCCAACTCACAGGAGCTCCCATCAGCAGGAAAGTGTAACCCGAAGTCGACTTGCGATCAGCGTGGTCGCCGGCCCAGTCCGCGTCCGAGTAGCCACGAAAGTCGATCTTGTCGCTTGGCTGGAAGCGGAGTCCGTGCGACTTGGTCCCTTGCAAGTAACGAAAGATGCGCTTCACCGCCGTCCAATGTTCTTGCTGCGGATTCTCCATGAAGCGCGAGACGTACCCCACAGCATACGCAATGTCCGGGCGCGTCGCAGTCGTCAAGTGCATCAAAGCTCCCACAGCTTCACGAAACGGAACGTCGATCTTGGCCGCTTCGCTGCTTGCGACAAGCCGAGTGCTCAAGTCGACCGGACTTGCTGTGGCCTTGCACTCATCCATGCCGAAGCGCTTGAGGATGTCGTTGACATACCGTCGCTGGCACATCGTCACGCTGCCATCCGATTCGTCCACCAGTTCGATGCCCAGTACAAAAGTACACTTGCCACTGTCGGTCATCTCGAAACGCGTCTTGAGGTCGGCCTTCGTCTGCGCAATCAACTCGAGCGAGCTGCCGGTGACCAACACGTCATCCACGTAGACCAGCACGAGCACACAGTGACCGTCGACAACCTTGATGTAGAGACATGGGTCGAACGCCGACGCTTCGAAACCGATGGAGCATACGAATTCGTCGAAAGTCTCGTTCCACACACGTGAAGCTTGCTTGAGACCGTAGATCGCCTTCACCAACTCGAGACAGTCGAAGTCGCCATCCATCTCGACGCCTTCTGGTATCACGCAGTACACCTTCTCCTTCATCACTCCGTAGAGAAAGGCTGTCACCACATCGAGTTGGTCCTGTGGCCAGTCGAAATACTTGGTGATCGCGATCACCATACGCAGTGTCACGTACTTTACCAAGGGCGAGAACGTCTCTGTGTAGTCGATGCCGTACTTCTGCTTGAAGCCCTTGGCAACGAGACGCGCCTTGTATTTCTCGACCGATCCATCCGCTTTGCGCTTGATCTTGAACACCCACTTGGTGCCGATCGCGCCTTGGCCTCTTGGCAGTTTTGCCGCACGGAAGACTCCACGAAGATGCATCGACTTGAGTTCCGCCTATACAGCATTTCGCCAGCGAGCTTGATCAGGACCATTGATCGCGTCTTGAAAAGTCACAGGTTCTGCTAGGTCCGTTGCTTCCACTGCATTTGCACTCGCACGCCAAAGTGTTTGAGGCGTCGAGTCGTCATCTTGATCGCAGACGCTTGCATCTTCTTCGTCATCAGACATCGTTTTGGGAGCACTTGATCGTCGTTTCAAGTGACGGTTGGAGATGTGAGCCGGCGCACTTGCTTGTTCCAACCCAGTTCGAGGGCGAGCTGAACGTGACATGCCGGGTCTTGCTTCACTCTTGCGCTTGCCAGTCTGCTTGTAGACGGTTTGACGCACGTCGTCCTCGTTGATCGCCAGGAGGTCGAGGTCCAACTCCACATCTTCATCATCGTCACTTGGTCGGTCCATCGAGAAGTCAAAAGTCGATTCGTCGAAGGTGATGTCACGACTGATCACCACTTGGCTCGCCTCAATGTCGTACACTCGATAATCTTTTGACGCTTCTTCGTAGCCCATGAACATCCCTTCACGAGCCTTCGGGTCCCACTTCAATCGCTTCTCCCTTGGTGTCAGGATAAACGCCCGACATCCAAACACGCGCATGTGCTTGACACTTGGTTTCGACTTGTACACGATCTCGAACGGAGTCTTGTGGTCGATCTTGGGTGAAGGCAGGCGGTTCTTGATGTAGATCGCCGTCATTGCCGCTTCAGCCCAGAAACACTTCTTCAGCTTTGCATGATGCAACAAGCTGCGTCAGATCGTGACGATGGTCCTTATCGCGTGTTCTGCGGTGCCGTTGGTCTGGTGTGCATACGGAACCGTGATCTGTTGTTCGATACCATGATCTTCGTAGAAGGTCTTGATGGAGTTGGTCGCAAACTCATGCGCTCCATCGTGCCGAACAAACTTGATCTTCGTGCCGAACTGAGTTTGAATATTGATAATGTGGCTCTTGATACAGTATTCACTCTCAGACTTGGACCGCAGACAGAAGCCCTTCATGCAACCGCTGGCCTCGTCAACCACAAGCAGTAAGTATCTGCTGCCGCCGATCGAGACTTGTTTCATTGGCCTGCAGATGTCGAAGTGCAGCAACTCGAACACACCATATTGGCGTTTGTCACGGTTGGTTGGGAATGGTTTTTGGACCATCTTTCCTTGCTGGCAACCGCGACATACACTTGGACCAGTCGAGTTGAGAGGTGCCTTGGCGTCCTTGATCATGCTGGTGGCCACCATCTTGCGCAGAACTTCGAGGGGTGCACGACCCATGCGCGCATGCAAGTCGATAGTCCCATTGCGTGTTGCTGCATTTGCCGATCGTTGAGAAGTCCGCAGCCAGTAAAGTCCATCGACGAGATCCGCTGTTGCCACGAATTGTGTGGAATTCTTGCACTTCACTTGCATCTTGGATCCATCGAACACGACTTGGAACCTGCCACCGTTGTTGATCTGTGGCACCGAAAGCAGATTCTTGCTCATACTTGGTACGAACAGTGCGTCCTTGATCTCGATATCGCGTTCGTCACCATTGGGCAGAACCACCCGTTCCATGATGGTTCCCACACCCTTGGTCGCAGCCTTGCTGCCATCAGCCACTGATAGTTCGCCTTCCTCTCGCTCATTCAGGCTTGCAAACTTGGCCTTGTCGTTGCAGATGTGATGCGTCGCACCGCTGTCGACTGCCCACATCCCTGGCATATTCTTGCCCGTCGAAAGTCCAGCCTCCAGCGAAACCGCGAACGCAACTGGATCGTAGTTGTCGTCGTAGTTGCTGTTGGTTCGCCACTGAACGTTGTTGGCTCCGCGTCCACGAGCATTGTTGCCGCCGCGTCGATCTCCACCTTGATTTTCGTCCTTCTGCTTGGTCCAGCACCGCTCCGCCGTGTGCCCCAATTTTCCGCAGTATGTACACTGGCGAGGTTCACACTCGGTACTGAACGCCTTCGCCGCGTCTTCAGTCTTCACCGATGTCGTCTTGTCACCTTGCCTCTTGATGTGCTCATTCGTGAGCACTCTCACGACGTCTCGCGACCGCAGTTCCGCGCTGCTCATCTCCAAGTTCAGCACGACGTTCTCGTAGCTCTTGGGGAGGTTGCGCAACAAGCAGATCGCCACGTCCTCGTCCTCCATCTTGGCGCCAATGCTGCTGAGCTTCGCGCTGATGTTGATGACTTTGTTGCAATGATGCATTACATTGCCGCCTTCCGCCATCTCCATGCTGAACAGCTGGCGCTTCAAGTAGATGCGTCCAGCCTTCTGCAACCCGCCGTACAGCGTCTTCAAACGCGCCCACGCGACCCACGTCTCTTCACAGTCATCGACGATGTGATGGTAGTCTGCGTCCATGTGCAGCAACATCAGTCCGAAAGCGATGTTGTTGGCCTTGACGTATTCGTTCATGGCGCGACGTCCGCGTAGGTCGGCTACGTCTCCCGGTTCACCACGTGCCACGCCGACTTGGTCAGGAACACGCCACGCATGTAGCGACTCCATGTCGCGTAGCTGTCGCCGTCCAACTTGTCAATGGAGATCTTGGTGGTGGCATCATGAGCAGAGGACATCGTGCTTGGGCTCATAACCTGTTGAAAGGTGTGAAGCTTCACGACCGAAACTGAGAGTGATGCTGGGAGTCCACTCGGAAGACCGGAGAAGACACTTGGGGGGTAGATGGAAGATTGGAAAGTGATTGATTATCGGGGCTTACTACTTACTACATGATTTATATGTGGTGCACATATAAATTATGTGAAGCGTCTCATCATCCTACGCGTCTAATCAACTATGGTAATTACCGTAAGAACTACGTCGTTAATACTAAGCTGAACAGGCGGTTCGGATTGGATCGGTCACGGTTACCAATACTGGTAGGAAACCGATGACCTTCAACAGACCCAATGTCGAGGGGCCTGACTTCGTGTTTAGTTCCCCAGACCCAAACAAATCTTCTGGCTCATCCAAGCTGGTTCCCGGAGGTATACGTAAGAACCTGGTTTACGCGTTGACCAAAAGTCGCTGGTAGATCTGTGGTGCATTCTTGAGTCCAAATAGCATCCGGAGCCATTTAGACGGTTTTAACCGGTTTAACAAAGGCTGGAATCAATCTTGCCCTCTCATTCATGCTGACCACCTAGAAACCACTTGCCATATCAAGAGAGCAGTACCACAACGCTCTGTTCAAGTCTTCTAGGAGCTCGTTCATCAGTGGCATGGTGTAGACCATGAGTTTAATTAAGTCGTATACCAACTAATAGTCGATGTACAATCTGATGTATACCCCATTCTTCTTCACGACATTCATCATTGGGCTGGCCACGGAGACGTAGACGGTCGAATAATCTTCGCTGACAGTAGAATATGATTGGGTCGGTTAACTTTTTTTGAAATGAGGGGCTACCTTTCGCACGGGTTGTGTGATCGTTCTTACAATTCCCACGTCAATATCACATGTGGCACCACGAGCAGCTGGTGGTAAGGCATTCCATTTTTCTATTAGTAGATGTCGCTTCTTTTATGTAATCTGCTTCAATCGATCCACCTCTTTAAGCTTGTTTTCATTTGTATCAGGGATCTGTATTATTGACGTTACAGCCCGAACTCTAAGATGTATTTCTTACGGAATAGTTTTGACGTTGGTAATAATGCATAAATGATTATACGAGCAGGGTGATTACACGTGCCGACTGATTTATATGTGGACACATATAAATCAGAGAGTAGGCAGATAATCTCCAATGATCAATTACTTTCCAATCTTCCATTTACTGCCCAAGTGTCTTATCCGGTCTTCCGAGTGTACTCTCTAAGAATCCTTTCCAGTTTCGGTTATCAAGCTTCGCAGATTTTAACACGTTATGAGCCCAAGCATGATGTCTACTGCTCAAGATACCGCTACCAAGATCTCCATCGACAAGTTCGACGGAGACAGCTACGCGACATGGAGTCGCTACGTGCGTGCGTGTTCCTGACCAAGTCGGCGTGGCACGTGGTGAACTGGAAGATGTCGCCGACCTGCGCGGACGATCGCGCCATGGAAGACTACGTCAAGGCCAACAACATCGCTTTCGGACTGATGTTGCTGCACATGGACGCAGACTACCATCACATCTTCGATGACTGTGAAGAGGCGTGGGTCGCGTGGGCGCGCTTGAAGACGCTGTACGGCGGGTCGCAGAAGGCTGGACGCATCTACTTGAAGCGCCAGCTGTTCAGCATGGAGATGGCGGAAGGCGGCAATGTGATGCATTATTGCAACGAAGTCATCAACATCAGCGCGAAGCTCAGCAGCATTGGCGCCAAGATGGAGGACGAGGACGTGGCGATCTGCTTGTTGCGCAGCCTCCCCAAGAGCTACGAGAACGTCGTGCTGAACTTGGAGATGAGCAGCGCGGAACTGCGGTCGCGAGACGTCGTGAGAGTGCTCACGAATGAGCCCATCAAGAGGCAAGGTGACAAGACGACATCGGTGAAGACTGAAGACGCGGCGAAGGCGTTCAGTACCGAGCGTGAACCTCGCCAGTGTACATACTGCGGAAAATTGGGGCACACGGCGGAGCGGTGCTGGACCAAGCAGAAGGACGAAAATCAAGGTGGAGCTCGACGCGGCGGCAACAATGCTCGTGGACGCGGAGCCAACAACGTTCAGTGGCGAACCAACAGCAACTACGACGACAACTACGATCCAGTTGCGTTCGCGGTTTCGCTGGAGGCTGGACTTTCGACGGGCAAGAATATGCCAGGGATGTGGGCAGTCGACAGCGGTGCGACGCATCACATCTGCAACGACAAGGCCAAGTTTGCGAGCCTGAATGAGCGAGAGGAAGGCGAACTATCAGTGGCTGATGGCAGCAAGGCTGCGATCAAGGGTGTGGGAACCATCATGGAACGGGTGGTTCTGCCCAATGGTGACGAACGCGATATCGAGATCAAGGACGCACTGTTCGTACCAAGTATGAGCAAGAATCTGCTTTCGGTGCCACAGATCAACAACGGTGGCAGGTTCCAAGTCGTGTTCGATGGATCCAAGATGCAAGTGAAGTGCAAGAATTCCACACAATTCGTGGCAACAGCGGATCTCGTCGATGGACTTTACTGGCTGCGGACTTCTCAACGATCGGCAAATGCAGCAACACGCAATGGGACTATCGACTTGCATGCGCGCATGGGTCGTGCACCCCTCGAAGTTCTGCGCAAGATGGTGGCCACCAGCATGATCAAGGACGCCAAGGCACCTCTCAACTCGACTGGTCCAAGTGTATGTCGCGGTTGCCAGCAAGGAAAGATGGTCCAAAAACCATTCCCAACCAACCGTGACAAACGCCAATATGGTGTGTTCGAGTTGCTGCACTTCGACATCTGCGGGCCAATGGAACAAGTCTCGATCGGCGGCAGCAGATACTTACTGCTTGTGGTTGACGAAGCCAGCGGTTGCATGAAGGGCTTCTGTCTGCGGTCCAAGTCTGAGAGTGAATACTGTATCAAGAGCCACATTATCAATATTCAAACTCAGTTCGGCACGAAGATCAAGTTTGTTCGGCACGATGGAGCGCATGAGTTTGCGACCAACTCCATCAAGACCTTCTACGAAGATCATGGTATCGAACAACAGATCACGGTTCCGTATGCACACCAGACCAACGGCACCGCAGAACACGCGATAAGGACCATCGTCACGATCTGACGCAGCTTGTTGCATCATGCAAAGCTGAACAAGTGTTTCTGGGGTGAAGCGGCAATGGCTGCGATTTACATCAAGAACCGCCTACCGTCACCCAAGATCGACCACAAGACTCCGTTCGAGATCGTGTACAAGTCGAAACCAAGTGTCAAGCACATGCGCGTGTTTGGATGTCGGGCGTTTATCCTGACACCAAGGGAGAAGCGATTGAAGTGGGACCCGAAGGCTCGTGCAGGTGTGTTCATGGGATACGAAGAAGTATCAAAAGCGTATCGAGTTTACGACCTCGATACAGGACAAGTGGTCATCAGTCGCGATGTCAACTTTGACGAGTCCGCCTTTGGACTTTCGCCGCTAACCACCACTGAAGACGCCGATGACATTGACTTCGACTCCCTCGATCTGGATGATGAAGCGACAGGTCAAGCGCAGTACAAGCAAACAGGCAAGCACAAGAGTCGTCCTCATGATGAAGGAGTACCAGATCCACCCACGCGCACAATGCGTCAACGGCCTGGACTAGAAGAATCAAGTGCGCCAGACAATCACACGACCCACCGAGAAGAAGATGAAGAAACAAAGAATGCTGATGCATCGACTCCGCCTGTGTTTTGGCGTGCGAGTGCGAACGCCATCGAAACGGCAGTAGACTTATCCGAGCCATCGACTTTTGAAGCTGCGGTGAGCGGTCCTGATCAAGTGCATTGGCGCGAAGCTATCCGTACGGAACTTGAGTCGATGCGACTTCGTGAAGTACTCCGCGCAGCCAAACTACCTAAAGGACATTGCGCCATTGGCACGAAGTGTGTCTTCAAGATCAAGCGCAAAGCGGACGGATCAATTGACAAGTACAAGGCGCGTCTTGTGGCAAAGGGTTTCAAGCAACAATATGGGATGGACTACACGGAAACATTCTCGCCCGTCGTCAAGTACGTGACGCTGCGCATGGTGATTGCAGTCGCCAATTATTTCGGATGGACCATCGACCAACTCGACGTGGTGACGGCATTCCTGTATGGTGTCATGAAGGAACAAGTGTTCTGCGTCATCCCTGAAGGCGTGGAATTGGAGGGCTCCTTCGATTATCTGGAGTTGGTGAAGGCAATCTACGGACTCAAGCAAGCGTCGCGCGTATGGAACGAAACGTTTGACGAGTTCGTGTGTGCTATTGGATTTCAAGCGTCAAGCCTTGACCCGTGTCTCTACGAAAGGATTGTGGAAGGGCAATGAGTGCTGCTGCTGGTGTATGTGGATGACGTGTTGATCACCGATAGCACATGCGAGCTAATTGCACGCACCAAGACCGACCTGAAGACACGGTTCGAGATGACGGACAGCGGCAAGTGTGCGTTTGTGCTTGGGATCGAGCTTTTGGACGGTGAAGATGGCAGTGTGACACTATGTCAGCGTCGGTATGTAGATGACATACTCAAGCGCTTTGGCATGGATGATTGCAAGGCCGTCGCAAGTCCAGTCGACATGAGCTCTCGACTTGTTTCAAGTGATGCAGCCACCAAGGTCGATGCTCCTTTTGGCGATGCTGTTGGTGCGTTGATGCACCTGACCACTGCAACGCGCCCGGATGTTGCGCTCGCCGTGGGCTATGTGTCGCAATTCAAGGAGAACCCCCAAGAAGAACACTGGGTTGAGGTCAAGCGCATCTTCCGCTACCTACAAGGCACCAAGATGCTCGGAATCTGCTACAAGCCAAATGCGAAGATCGGCTTTCGTGGCTACTCGGATGCAGACTGGGCCGGTGACCTCGCTGATCGCAAGTCGACGTCTGGCTACGTATTTATGCTGTTGGGTGCGCCAGTGAGTTGGGGCAGCAAGAAACAGCCAAGTGTTTTGTTGTCCACGAGTGAAGCCGAATACATCGCACTCAGCTTGGCGATTCAAGAGGGCAAGTGGATTCATCGTCTGCTTTGTGAGATCATGATGGCTGCCAGTGAAGAAGGACCGGAACTCATGATTCATGAAGACAATCAGTCGTGTATCAAGATGACAAAGAACCCGGTCAACCACGGCCGTGCCAAGCACATTGATATCAAGTATCATCACATCCGTGATGAGGTCAAGCGCGGTGAAGTGAAGCTCAAGTATTGTGAAACTGCGGTGATGTTAGCGGACATCATGACGAAGGGACTTCACGGGCCACGCCACAAGGAGATGACGGCGACTCTCGGGATTCGTGCGTGTTCGCATTGAGGGGGCGTGTTGACGGTCATCGGTTTCCTACCAGTGTTGGTAACCGTGACCGGTCCAATCCGAACCGCCTGTTCAGCTTGGTATTTACGACGTAGTTCTTACGGTAATTACCATAGTTGATTAGACGCGTGGGATGATGAGATGCTTCACATGATTGATATGTGCACCACATATAAATCATGTAGTAAGTAGTAAGCCCCGATAATCAATCGAGGAGCGGAGCCGAGCTCCGCTCCTCAAGCCTCTTCGCTCTCTCCGGTCTCTTCCGGTCTTCTCGTCACTCCCGTGCCATACCGTCAATACACTACACTGTGTGGGTCCAGCTTCCGGCACCTGTGTAGAGACACAGGCTTCGCCAAGGGTTCACCACTCGGTGAGATCTAGTGGACTGGAACACGGGTGCACAGCAAGAAAAGTGCATCCGAGTAGAGAGATTAGTGTTGTTCAGGATGAACAACTCGTTGAAGCGAGATCGACTATCAGAGAGTCGATCGAAGAAGACGTGACGGTGGTAGTAAAACCACAGTCAGTACACGTATCGGAAGATAGGTTCAGCGTTCCTGGGAGTGATAACTCTCGAGAGATTTACGTTAAGGTTAAGTGTAGGCGCTTATGCACTCGATCTGGTTACACCTCCGAAGTCAGCTTCGGAGTTATTCAAGTTGCCAACACTAGAATCTAAAAGATTCTTGCGAGATCTGCGTAGTGACAAGATCAAGCAGATCTGCGTACTCGTCACAGAGGACGAGTACGTCGCCAGTATTCGGTCAGCACAAGTGTTTGATGAGAACGAACGGGTCTCAGTAGCTCATCGAGGAACGAGAATGTCCTCGATGAGAATACTCGGATTGAGCGGTACATGTATCAATCTTGGGATTCTATTAAGTCAAATCCTTTGTAAAAGGATTTGATTAATTTCAGGAAGATTTCCCCTAAATCCGTGCCATGCGAGCTGCCTAAGTATAAAGGCACTCGTCATGAGATCGAACTGAAATCAGGTCCTAATACTGTGTCATGAAGCAGTGGCCACTGCCTCGCGAACAGCTCACAGCGATCGACACATTTTTTGCCGATCGCTTAGCGGCTGGTCATGTAAGGGAATTAACATTCCCACACAGCTCTCCGACCTTCTGTGTGCGAAAGGTCACAGCAGGGTGGCGGATAGTGCACGCGTTTAACAAAATGAACGCTGCAACGGTACCGGCTCAAACGCCGATACCAAGGAAGGACGTCATCATTGATGGTATGGCAAAAATTGCCGTCTTTTTGTCCATGGATCTGATGGATGCGTTCTATCAGATCCTCATGTGTGAACGGGACATCCCGTACACAGCAGTGATCACCCCAAGATGTATGCTCTAATAGTGGCTAGTGATGCCACAGGATCTAAGTAACGCCCCTGCAACGTATAACAGATGTGTTACGTTCCTGTTACGATCGGTGTGAGACTTCGCACGGAGTTGCTTTAGCGATGTCTTCGTCCATAGCCGGGCTATGGATGGAAAGACGGACGTGGAGATTCATAGAACCCACCTCCGGAAGGTTCTTACACTAGTGCGAGAGCATAAGTTTTTTACGAACCTCAAGAAGTGTATATTCACAGCGAACGGATTATTACTTCTTGGCTGCATCGTGGGTAAAAACGGTGTAGGCCCTGATCTGAAAAAGATGAAGGCGATTAGCGACTGGCCTGCGCCAGTAGACGTCAAGGGACTTCGAAAGTTTCTTGGCTGAGTGGCTTACTTGTACAAGTACTTGCTCAACTACGCCGAGATGAGCGTACATCTCTCTCGTCTGCTAAAGAAAAACGAGAGGTGGTCATGGATTGCTGAGTGTCAGCACTTCTTTGAAGGTATCATGAAAAGATTGATGTAATCGCCTGTGCTGGCAATTGCAGACTATTGTGAGTTGACGGTTGAGGTACTGCTATCAGCTACCATGGGAACCGTAAACTTGTCCAAGTCGATCCCGCGTAATTACGGTGAGTTTTTACCAATGATTAGACGCATAGGATGATTGGATGACCTACATGATTTATAATTTATATGTGGACAGCATATAAATCTGTGCAGAGATAAATCAGGTAGCTTTAACAAAACCCACAAATAAATTCACTTCCAAATATTCCTTCTCCTACACAAGTCGTCTTCACTTCGTAGTGTAGACTTCTTTCAAGCTCTTCAAGCTTCGTTCTCTCGCCCAGTGCTCTTCAGACTTTAACAGGTTATGAGCCCAAGGACGATGCCCTTTGCTCAAGATTTACCACCAGGATCTCTATCGATAGAATCGATGGAGACAACTACGCGACGTGGAGCTGCTACATGCGTGGCGTGTTCCTGACCAAGTCGACGTGGCACGTGGTCAACCGGGAGACCACCCCCACCTTCGCCGATCCTCGCGCCAGTGATGAGTACGTCAAGACGAACAAAATTGCGTTCGGCTTGATGCTGCTGCACATGAGCGCGGATTATCATCACGTGGTTGATGACTGCGACGAGGCATGGGTTGCGTGGACACGGTTGAAGACTCTCTACGGCGGATCGCAGAAGGCGGGGCGGATCTTCTTGAAGCGGCAGCTGTTCAGCATGGAGATGGCGGAAGGCGGCAATGTGATGCATCATTGCAATGAAGTTCTCAACACCAGCGCCAAGCTCAGCAGCATCGGCGCCAAGATGGAGGATGAGGACGTGGCGATCTGCTTGTTGCGCAGCCTCCACAAGAGCTACGAGAACGTCGTACTGAACTTGGAGATGAGCAGCGCGGAGCTGCGGACGCAAGACGTCGTGAAAGTGCTGACGAATGAGCACATCAAGAGACAAGGGAAAAAGACGACATCGGTGAAAACTGAAGAAGCGACCAAGGCCTTCAGTACCGAGCGTGAGGTTCGTCAGTGTACGTTCTGCGGAAAATTGGGGCACACGGTGGAAAAGTGCTGGACCAAGCAGAAGGAAGACAATCGGGGAGCTCGACGCGGCGGCAATGCACGTGGACGCGGAGCGAATAAAGTTCAGTGGCAAGGCTACAACAGCAACAGCAACTATGACTATGATCGAGTGGCATTTGCTGTTTCGCTGGAATGCGGACTTTCAACGACCAAGAGCATGTCTGGAATGTGGGCGATTGACAGCGGTGCAACACATCACATCTGCTATGACAAGTCCAAGTTCGAATTTCTGGACGAGCGCAATGAAGGCGAAGTGTTGGTTGCAGATGAGAACAAGGCTGCGATCAACGGTGTCGGGACAACCATCGAAAAGGTGACCCTGTCCAACGGTGAAGAGCGCGAAGTCGAGATCAAGAACGCGCTTTACGTCCCAAGCATGAACAAGAACTTGCTGTCGATACCACAAATCAACAAAAGCGGCAAGTTTCAAGTGGTGTTTGATGGTGACGAGATGAAGATTTCGCACATAGGCTCCAAGCAAGTAATAGCGATGGCCGATCTTGTGGATGGCCTCTACTGGCTTCGTACATCCCAACGATCGGTGAATGCGGCTTCAGGACCAAGAGTCGAAAACCTTCATGCGCGTATGGGCCACGCACCGATTGATGTCTTGTGCAGAATGGTCTCCAAGGGCATGATCAAGGATGCCAAGAAGCCAGCAAAATTGAGCGGATCAAGCGTGTGTCAAGGTTGTCAAGAAGGAAAAATGGTTCAACGACCGTTCCCGAGCAATCCAAACAAGCGCCACTACGATCCGTTTGAGCTTCTACACATCGACAATTGTGGTCCAATGGAAGTCGACCCGCTAGGTGGAAGCAAGTACTTGATACTGATCGTCGATGAAGGCAGCGGATGTATGAAGGGTTTCAGTCTGCACGCCAAGTCCGACAGCGAAGAGTGCATCAAGAAGTACATCATGGCAGTACAGACGCATTTTGACTACAAGGTCAAGTTCGTTCGACACGATGGTGCACGAGAATTTGCGGCGAATTCGCTCAAGGCATTTCACGATGATCAAGGAATCGAGCAGCAAGTTACCGTTCCGTATGCGCATCAGACCAACGGCACGGCGGAACGGGCAATTCGGACCATTGTGACGATCGGGCGCAGCATGCTTCACTACACCAAGCTGGACAAGTGTTTTTGGGCTGAAGCAGCAATGACGGCGATCTACATCAAGAATCGCCTACCATCGCCCAAGTGCCAAGATCAAACCCCATTCGAGATCGTCAACGGATTTCGACCAAGTGTGAAGCACATGCGGGTTTTCGGCTGCCGAACGTTTGTGCTGACCCCTAAGGAAAAGAGATCGAAATGGGATCCGAAGGCTCGTGAAGGACTATTCATGGGGTACGAAGAAGTGTCAAAGGCATATCGCGTTTACGACATTGAAGCGGAACAAGTGGTGATATCTCGCGATGTCACATTCGACGAATCAACGCTTGGTTTCTCGCCTACGCTACCACAAGAAATTGTTGATGACACTGCGCTGGATATCGAATCGATGAACATCAGCGATGAGCCTCACCCCATGCAGTTCAAGCAAACTGGAAAACGCAAAAGCCGTTCAAACAGTCAAGAACAAGTTCTACAACGGACACTTCTTGAGCGTCGTGGAACCGGGTTGGAAGAAGCAAGTGCCCCGGATGACTCTGAATCGCACCAAGCGAAGCGACGATCAAGCGCTAGAGACAATCTGGACGAAGAGCAAAAAAGCAGTGACGAAGATAACGAGGATGCTACACCTCAAGTCTTTTGGCGAGCGAGTGCCAATGCAGTCGAAGGTACTGACTTGTCTGAGCCGACAACGTTTGAAGATGCTGTTGGTGGACCAGATCAAGTGCATTGGCGTAAGGCAATCTGTGCCGAGTTGGACTCGATGAAACTTCGTGGCGTGTTTCGAGCGACGAAACTGCCGTCTGGACAGCATATTATTGGCACCAAGTGGGTATTCAAGATCAAACGGAAAGCTGATGGATCCATCGAGAAATACAAGGCGCGTCTCGTGGCAAAAGGGTTCAAGCAGAAATATGGCATCGACTACACGGAAACGTTTTCGTCGGTAGTCAAGTACGTGACGCTACGCATGGTTGTTGCAATCACGAAGTACTTTGGCTGGACACTGGACCAACTGGACGTGGTGACAGCTTTTCTATACGGAGAAATGAAGAGCATGTATTCTGCGCGATCCCAGAAGTAGTCGAAGTTGATGAAGACTTTGACTGCTTTGAACTGGTCAAGGCGATCTACGGACTAAAACTAGCATCGCGCGTATGGAACGAGACTTTTCATGAGTTCGTCTGCTCCATTGGATTTCAAGTCTCCGATTTTGACCCGTGTCTTTATCTCAAGATTACAAGTGGCGAGTGCGTGCTTTTGCTGGTATACGTCGATGATGTGTTGGTGACTGGCAGCTCAACCGAACTGATTATGCGCACCAAGAGTGACTTAAAGGCGCGTTTCGAAATGACCGACAGTGGGAAGTGCGCATTCGTGTTGGGCATCGAGCTGGTGGACAATGACAACGGTAGCGTGACGATGTGCCAGCGACGCTACGTGGAAGATGTTCTCAAGCGTTTTGGCATGAGCGACTGCAAAGCCGTCACCAGCCCAACAGACATCAGTTCTCGACTCATACCAAAGTACCGCAGCAACTAAAATCGACGCCCCGTTTCGTGAAGCAGTAGGCGATCTGATGCACTTGATGACCGCGACACGACCGGACATTGCCTTTGCTGTGAGTAACGTTTCGCGCTTCATGGAGAACCCCCAAGTCGAGCATTGGATGGCGGTCAAGCGCATTTCGCGATACTTACAAGGGACTAAGTCGCACGGTATCTGTTTCAAGCCTGATGACAAGATAGACTTCTGTGGCTACTCGGATGCAGACTGGGCCGGCGACCATGCAGACCGCAAGTCGACTTCAGGATATGCGTTTATCCTGATGGGTGCTCCGGTGGGCTGGGGAAGCAAAAAGCAGTCAAGTGTGTCGCTGTCAACAAGTGAAGCTGAGTACATTGCACTAAGTTTGGCGATTCAAGAAGGCAAGTGGGTGCATCGATTGCTGTGCAAGATTCTGGATGCCGCAGAGAACAAGTCCGGACCCGAGCTCAAGGTCATGGAAGATAACCAATCGTGCATCAAGATAACGAAGAATCCTGTGAACCATGGTCGGGCCAAGCACATCGACATCAAGTACCATCACATTCGTGATGAAGTCAAGCGTGGTGATTTCAAGCTGGAGAACTTTGAGACTACGATTTTGTTGGCCGACATCATGACCAAGGGACTGCCAGGACCGTGTCACAAGGAATTGACGGCAGCGCTTGGCATACACGCGTGTTCACATTGAGGGGGCGAATTGTGGGTTAACGGTTGAGGTGCTGTCATCAGCTACTATGGGAACCGTAAACCTGCCCAAGTCGATCTCGCGTAATTACGTTGAGTTCTTGGCAATGATTAGACGCATAAGATGATTGGATGACCTACATGATTTATGATTCGTGATTTATCTGTGGACAACATATAAATCAGTGCAGAGATAAATCAGGTAGCTTTAACAAAACCCACAAATAAATTCACTTCCAAATATTCCTTCTCCTACACAAGTCGTCTTCACTTCGTAGTGTAGACTTCTTTCAAGCCTTTCAAGCTTCGTTCTCTCGCCCAGTGCTCTTCAGACTTTAACAGAGACCAGGACAGACCATTCCATGTGGTCTGTGACGCCAGCGATTTTGCAATCTGCTGCGCGTTATTAATGCAGCACGACTCAGACGGCGTTAAGCGCGTCGTCTGTTATCAATCGTGTCAGCTGCAAGCAGCTAATCGTAACTATCCGGTGCATGACAAGGATCATCTTTGCCATAAAATATGCACTGGCTAAGTTTTGGGTATATCTCTTAGGAGATAGGCCTATAATTGTTTATACTGAACATGCGTCATTACGCACGGCCGTAAACAGTCCACACATCTTGCAACAAATGGCGAGGTGGCTGTCTTTCTTCGCGGAGTACGGCTTCTCCGTCGAGTATATACCAGGACGACTTAATGTCGTCGCTAATGCGTCGGCCCTATTTCGAGCCGACTGTTCAACACAACAGTAGGGGTGATCCCACTGAATCAACACTTACAGTGAGTGTTCCGTCGTCGAATCTACTCGACGACGTGCGAAAATCATCCACAGAAGATGAGTCTCTTCTACGGTTGATGGATTATGTAGCCAATCCATGCAGCCAAGCTTTGAAAATCTTGTCGTCTCAATATCGCTCTTAAACTGAACAGTGTTCAGTTCGTGATGTACTGCTGTATTATACAGTAGTCAACGGCGACACACCTCGTGTCGTCGTTCTCGCTCATAATGATCTGCGATTGCACATCATGTATGAGTGCCACGATGCCCCAACAAGTGGGCATCGCGGTAGGGAAAGACTTACCTCACGGAGAGTCGTGACACAAACTGGTCCCGCCAGTATGAGTTTGTGCGTAGATGCATTCGCGCTTGCAAAGTTTGTCAATGGGTGAAGCCTAGTCCTTCATCCCGCGCACCCTTGCAGACTCTACCGATCCTGGCAGAGTGTTGGCAGTCCGTATCGATGGACTTCGTCTTTTGTTTCCCAAAGACTTTCACAAGAATACTGGTATTCTTGTGTTTGTTGATCGGTTCAGCAAGATGGTTCATCTTGTTGACGGGTTACCCCGTGAACTTGTGTCTGATAGGGACCCACGCTTCACAGCGGAGTTCTGGCAATCCGTCTTCCATTCACTTGGAACGCGTTTGAAAAGGTCGACTTTTGACCGTTCGGAAACAGATGGTCAGACGGAAAGCTTTAATCGCGTCCTCGAAGAGATACTTTGAGGGTATGTCCACTTGTTGACAAGCTGGAGTGAGTTCTTGCCGATGGCGGAATTCTTCATCAACAACTCGGTGCACGCGGCGACAACGCATACACCGTTCTTCGTGAACGGCCTACGCCATCTACGTTTACCCGCCCTCATCGAGTGTGACTCAAGCTAAAGGGGGGGGGACTCGCTCGAACAAAAACCGATCCGGTTCTTGCTCATCACACGTCGACAGCGGTGTCTACGTGATGGATGCCGATGTAGATGCAATCGACATCGATAATGATGATAACGACGATGCTGGTATATTCAGCATCGCTAATGACTGCCACAGTGAGAACGATGACGCCCTCGCTGGTTAAGACAACGTTCTTTTAGGAGTGCACACGAAGCGCACTGCTGTTGACAAGGATAATCAGCAGAGGAATTTCTGCTGAGTAGCGAAGCGGTTGTCCGTTGCGCTTAAGACTCTATTGCAGATGCACTAGACAGACAGAAAAGAAAAGCAGTTTAACATGGAAAAGCAAGTGTTCATCCATTTGATGAAGAAGATTTAGTTTTACTGTCTACAGTAAATCTATTAAAACACGCAGTGACAAACGTGGGCAGCAGTAAATTACTAACCAAGTACATCGGTTTATTTCGTGTGTTGCGCCGAATGGGCAACGCATATACGATTGAGCTGCCCCGTAAGATGCGTACGCATCCTACGTTTTGCGTTGGACGTCTCCGCCCGTACTATCAGTACGAGCCCATTTCGTGATGCGAAGAAAACTACCGCGGTCGTGAGCCTAGACCACCTTCGAGTGGTCCCGTTTCAATAAGCCAGTCTGGTCGACTAGTGAAGCGACCTTTTCACGCAGTTCAGTGATGTCTCGACGAGCTGCATCCAGCTCGTCACGAAGAGAACCAATCGAACGTTTGTTATCAAGTTGCGCAAACGCTATAGCGGCACGATCGTCCGAACGATCAAGCGCTAAGGTTTTGAATCAATCCCTTACAAGATCAGGGAGCTCATAACGCCGAGTCCGTGCATAAACCAGTTTATCTTGCAACTGTGCTGTTACACAATTCAGCTCCTGAACATCAAGCTGATCCGACCCTCGAGACGAATCAGGTGTTCCCGCCGCCACCACAACTTTTGGTGGACTTAGGCGGTGGTCAACGCTTTCAAGGTAAGCGTATTTTGAACCACCGCGACGTAAATGTGTTCCGAACGAGTTACCTCGTCCGCTGGCGTGGCTAATCACCGGCGTGGGACAGCTGGAAGCCTCGTGCCCAGATGATTGTTGATGTCCTGGGTCTCGTCGAGCAGTATGACGAGACCCACCCGCTGCGTTCGAAGAAGGGCCGTCAGAAAAAGACCTCCCCTAACTTGAGTACAGGGATTGCAAATTGTCAAACCCTTCGGCCATCTCAGAAGAAATGCGCGGCCTCCAGGAGGGATCATTAGTGAGGTAGTCCTCTCTAGGGTCACGATTTGAGTTATACAGGCAACTTGGACGCGAATCACCCCACAAGAGACAGGGTAATCCTGCCTCTCTTGACAGCCGGTGCAACTTGTATCGCAGCCCGACTGATTTGCGCTTCTCAAACCTGATGCGAGCTGCATCAAGTTTACCGAGCCAGGTCTCACGGCCAATGCTTTCTATGCTATGGATGAGGTCATTCCATCCTTGCACCAAGGTCTTACCGTCTCGAACACGGCTGCTGTTTACTACCGATGTTTTTATAAGCATCGGTGAATAATTCTTCCTCAGCACGAATAGTTTTCGTGCTGTAAATAGGTGGGCAAATCTACCTACAAACAAACGACGGGATTCAATCCCGTTCGGTAGTCAGGCAGGCCAACCGGTCCAACTCATTGGATGACGGCATTCAAGGAGACTCCGCTTGATGAGCGTGGCGCAGGACATTTCGGTCCCTGGCCTCTTGGTTGGTGTCAGCATGAGCACTGACACCAGTGACACCTCGATCGCTCGAGTACTTCGCTCGTGGTGATGTATAGGTGCATCAACAACATCCCAGGCGTCCTATCGTTGGATGGACTCGCGTGAGGCGGAGTTTTGTCGTAATAATCGCTCGATCCGAAGATCTCGAGTATGATGCCGCCACGTTGACCAGAGCCAGTCAACCTGGCTCTTGCAGTGTCCGCCCCGGGTGTTCCGGAGGCGTGAGGTGTCGCCTTCGAGTCGGATACATCACCCGATGCGCCAGAATAGATGAGCTCTATTTCATACTCATCTGGATTACGATTCGCGGAACCTGCTGCAGACGCAGCGGATGTACCTGTCGCACGTGGTGACTCACCAGGTGGACTATTCACAGCAGCAGCCGACGAATAACCTGCTGCTGAGGTGTGAGAAGAACTCTGTTTGGCTGCACGCTTGCGTGCAGCCGCTTTTCTTGCTGCTGCAGTAGCAACTCGCGTGGTTTTTAAAAGCATGCGATAAATTGGCAAATGAATGGAATTTGACCAAGAAGTGCCCCCTTACCCAGAGTGATCGAATATTGGTCACCATGTCCCAAACAATTCTTTTAAATAAACGGGTGATTCACGGTTTTAGAGGGGGTGATGTAACAAGGTATCCCGTTACATCATATCGATACCAAACGGTGTCAACAGGGATATTGTCTAGCATGACAATATCCTACCAGTATTATCCGAGATGGATAATGTTGAAGGAATGTTTTTCCCTTTTAGGATAGTATTCATACGCTGCTCAAAGATTGGTTGATAAAAAATATATTAACCATAGATCACCACCATCGCTGCTAGACGCGCGCAATGAGTGGTGAGCAGGTTGTCGTCATACGAAATGTAGATTAGTGTAGTTAGATAAAGACTAAAGTTATATTGATAGCTAAACTATATGAAATACAGTTCTCTTTTACTCTTTACTCAGCTTAGTTGTTGAGTAGATAAGCTTCCTCTGCACGTACTTGTACGTGAAGTTTTGCGTTACCCCACACAAAGGGTGCCCCGTTACACGATAGGGTACATTTAGAGACATCGTTCTATTTGGCTCACGGGTGGGACGCTAAAACCACCCTGGAGGCAACGTTGCTAGTGGTGAACTATAGATGTAACACGTCGGGAGCTCGAAGGTGGAGGTATCACATTCAGATTCACTACCAGCGTGTGATAGAACAGGTGAACTAGCATTTGCGGTCGACCTGTCAAGCCCGGGTGCTACCTTATAATGAACAAGTAGTCGGTCACAAAGTCCGGCTGGGTACCCAAGTGTGGCTCTACCTAGATCGTGTGAAGAAAGGGTACGCTTAGAAATTGGCTCATCTCTGGTACGGTCCATTCCAAGTTTTGGAGTTGGTTGGTGAATATGCTGCGCGGTTAGAAGTAAGGGATTAATAGTATAGAATATTCCCGATCGGTCACATTTAAAGCTGAAAGGGGTCAGGGAGTCCCTGATCGCCCAGATGACCGGCTAACTGCGAAGGAGGCCGACCGGATCGACTTTGATGAATGTTTTTTGCCAGAGAATAGATGGACGCGTGAAGTGGAGAAAGACGAATACGAAGTGGAAGAGATCTAAGAAAGCCTGGTCAGCAAGTAGACGCGATACGGTCGGCAACGGTGCGAGTTCTTAATCCTCTTGAAGGGTCACGCAGACCCCTTACGGGCTAACGAAGTAGGTTTGAATTGTGGAGCTTTATTACGAGATTTTAACGCAAGATAAAACACTACAACCGTTTCGAGGTGATGCAGAGTCACGAAGACTAGTTACGGGGGAGGAGACCGGTCGTCTGCTTGTCGGCTAGGTCGTCTGTGGATCGGCCATGACACGATCGATGCAAATGAGTGTAGCCTAAGGCACAACGTGGTTTATCAAGAATCGGCCATAGCTTTTCATGGGTGATCATGGCAGTAAAACTCTGGACGACAAAGGAAAGGATATGGTAGAGTGGCTAACATGCAACGAACGGTTTAATTGGATGTAAAAAAGATTGTAAGCATGTTGTTTTAAGCGAATACGCCAACGAAGGAGGGGTGAACTTGTTCTTAAGGCAGGCTACCTTGGTTTGTGGGTGGAGCACAGAGATAAGTCGGTACTGGGAGATCCATGGCCATGTAGAGTCCGAGAGATGAAGAGCGGCCAACAGGTTCGAGACCGAGGCCGCGACATCTTTAACTAGAGATCGCCGCGACTCGAGAATCAAGATCGCAGAACCCCTGTTCGTAGTATGAAGATATAAGCACCGGAAGCGAGCTCTCAACCCAAACTATCAGCGAGATCGACATCCTCCAAGGCCGTTACGAAGAGCTCAAGCCAGCCCAACCGACGGGTACACAAGGTGAGCACAAGGTTATACAGCAAGGCACGGATCGGAGTACCCCCTCCGTGAGTCGGCAAGTCTGGGCAAGTGGAAGATCGACACTCACAAAAGAAATTTTTTGAGATGGACTTCACCACAATTGTGCGCGTGCCCGGATCTTCTGGGGCCTCTGGATTTCACCGTGAGTCTACTGGCGAAGATGTCAAGATCAAGCAAGAACCTGGGATTGACGTGTCAGCGACAGAGGGATCGACGCAGACACGCAGAAGCACAAGATCCTCAGATCATCAGAGTTTTGGGAGGGGCTCTGATGAAATGAAAATGAAAGAGGAAGATCGAGAGATCGATCTGGAAGATAAACCTCAATTCCCTCCTAGGGTCCCTTCGGGGGCCACCGCAGATCGCTCTGCAAAGAGCGATCTGCTGGATGAAAATCCAACGGTGAAAACCAAATCGGCGAAAGCCAAACCCTATATCTTAGTCGATAGATCGCCCGACCTCAATCCGAAGAGCACAATCGCGAGATCGACCACATCAGAACGATCCGCGACGAGATCGATGGGATCAGATGTCAAAGATCGCCAGATCGGCCGAACCGTGCAATCGAAGATCGGAGTCAAAGAGGAATACGATGAAACACCAGGTCAGATCGCGATGCCGAAGACGGAATATAGCCTAATGAAGATCGCGTCCAGGGAGAAGGAGACGACGGGTGAAGCTCGGGAGCGTGCGAAATGGCAGTACTATTACGGTCATTTGAAGACGCTGCTCAAGACGGACCCAGTGTTTAAGATATTAAGGCCCAAGCTGATTGGTCCTCTGGATAAGCCAATCTCGGTCCCACCTCCTGGGACCAACAAAGTCGACGAGATCAATTTGATTTTGCAGATGTTGGACGACATGGGTGTCTGCCCTAACGCTTTTGATGGAGACGAACTGCTGCGTTGCAGCTTGGAACAGTTGAAGAACGCGGCGAATGAGTTTGTGGAGATCATGATAATGCTGGTGGGCAAAGCGAATACTCCTGAAGACAAGATCTGGACACCCTCTGGCTCGCTCCGGGAACACCCCGAGGGATCGCCCCGCTACGCCTCGGATGACTCCGAAAGCGAGTCAGATGGATCCATCAGCATTCGTCGGATGTCTCTGGGACCATCGGGTGGTTAGTTTATAAAGGACAAGATTGGCCAAGCCAAGACCGACGCCTTTAAAGGACAAGCCAGGAGCGACATGCCACGGAGATCGGCCGGTACCCGTACTGGGCTGGATGATCAGGAAGAGGTCGATCTAAGTCGGTACTTCAATTCAGCCATGAAGGAGTACGAGGCGGATCAACGTACATCTCAGCGAATGAATCGACAGCCAAACTGCCACCCAGATCGCCGTACTTTTCTCCAACCCGCATACGAAAGCCATGACATGCCGGATGCGGAGATGGAATCGGTGGAGTCGGACACTTACCAGCAGATCCATCATGGGGCGGAATACGACCCGGATGATTTATGGATGCCCGAACCACGGCGCCCTCACGTAGCCGCGACCGGTGTGACTACTGGAGGGGGAAACATCACGCAGAGGATCAGAATCTCAGCGATTTATAAGCTGAAAGAATTCTCAGGGAAAGATCGGGAAGAAGACAAAGCACGAACCCGGATCGGCAAAGTGAAATCAGCATTTATCCGGGACCAAGCACCGGACGAAGAAAGATGTCTGGTCTTCGGTGATCTCATGGTGGGACCAGCCCGCTACTGGTACCGACAGCTAAGTAGATCGACGTTTTTCAATTGGAAAGAATTGATGAACAGTTTTCTTGTGGAATATGCGGGACACGGGATGTCCGCGAGCCGGCAATATTACCGTGCAAAGAAACGATCAAAGGAAGATTCTTTGCAGTACCTATATCGGCTTAATGTGATGGAAATGCAGGCGAAGATACCGGTGATGACTGGATTGCCAGCTGCGCGCAAGGAACATGTCAACCATTTCATTGACACCTTGGACGACCCCGATCTGTCCAACCAATTGCTACTGCTGAATATAGAAGATGCGGATGCCATGCAAAAGACACTGCATGGATATCAACAAGGGAGATCGCGTCAATGGAAAGTGATGATGAGATCGTCCAAGTTCAGGCAGAAGGGGAACCCTGGTTCAGCGTTTTCTAAGCCTGCACGAGCGGTGAGGATGGTCCGTACCGAGGACGTCAGCAGCGATTCAGGATCGGACACCTGCGGATCGTATTTGAAGGATCGATTGAGATCGATCCATGTGACTGCTTCTACGGATCGGCGTGCATCCCCCGATGACGTTGCAGCAAACGCGAGATCGGTCGACCCGAACACTCGTCAAGATTATCAAGATCGCAATACCCCATCGAAGCCGTGCACTCATTGCGGATCGACCAAGCATGGAGATCTCGGTTGCTGGAAGCGGCTCACTTGCCAGAAATTTGGGTGTAAAGGACACACCTCTGACAATTTTATTTTCGTGTGTCGCGCCTGCGGTGAGATGCATGACTCGGGGAAGTGTTCTATGGAGGAGTTCTACAACTTGATCCGCCAGTGGTACGTCCCAACCAAGCATGCGGGGATGCTGCCAGAGAAGGCCGAGAAGATGTTAAACTAGAACGCTCGCCAGGTTTGCATCTGGTACGAGCCGAGCGTTCTGGGCTCTGCATCATTGCATGCGTGAAAAAAAAAGACAGATCGCAAGAGTAAGCAGTATACAGAGATGGAAACAAACAAATCTCGTTCGAAGTTAAAACGTGTCGCTTCCGTGTCCCATCTGAAGAGGATTGATGAGTACTCGCGATCTAAACCAACTATGGAGATCGAGCTCGCTTATGGTGAATCTCGCGAATACTGGAAACATTACTCGCCCGGGAAGTGGTTTAAACAGGCGAAAGCTGTTGGCAAGATCAACAACGAAAAGGCCACTCTGCTACTTGATTCTGGTGCTGAAGTGTCGATCATTGACACCACCTTTGCTCGTAAGGTCGGTTGCAATAATGACGAAAGTCAACAACAAGAATGTATCGGGATCGGAGAAACCCCGTACATGACGATAGGACGTACCAAGATCAAAGTAATCCTCGCGGGATCGCTGGTATACTATTTCAATGTATGGGTAGGCGATCCGGCAGGGCAAGAAGCAATTCTGGGCATGGACTTTATGGTGCCTGCCGGAGTGCGGCTCGATCTAGCTGATGGCGCGCTTTGTCTACCAGAGAAATCCGTATCCATCTCGCAGGAAGTCGCCCCGAGTACGGATCGAATATACAACATGTAACGGCGAAGGACCAACATGTAATTATCCCGGTCGGAGAGTCAAGAGAAGTGAAGATCGGGATCGGGGGGGGGCTAAGATGAAGTTGTGGGTCGCTAGAGGACCAGATTGGGTCCCCACTGTGATCTCGGGGTTGGGTAAGACGAAATACCTGCAGATGATCAACATTGGCGACCGTGAGATCATACTGCCCACCCACACGATATTAGGCTTGTGGACCGAAGGCGATATGGTACCACGAACTCAAGGTTTTGTGACGGTCGAATTGGGGAAGTACAAGGAGTGGCAAACTCTGGCGTATGAAGCTACGACGGATCGAGTGAATGAACTCCCAAAAGAGCAGATCGGACGATTGGTAGATCGCTCTACCTACGTCACTCCCAAATGCATCATGAAGCGTCCGTCTGATGTGTTAAGGGACATACCTCCAGCGATCTCCATGGTAACGCAGCAAGCTGGCGACGACGACTTGCAAAAGGCAGATACTGTGGTTGCAAGAGAAGGAACGGTCAACGGAGTCGGATCGAATCCACTCGATGAAACAAATCTATCGTCGAAGGATAAAGATCGTGAGATCGAAACCTAGATCGCGATGAGAAGAGATCACGGGACCGAACGAGAAGAACAAGGCAACAGACTGTCTTCATTAGACGTCAACCTTGCCGACAACAGAGCAGGACTGGATCGGTCCAAGGCGACGCAAAGATCTGAAGAGGACAAGCCGTCTCAGATCGACGAAGCTTACTCCGCAGAAGCACCAGTCTACTATCACGAGAGAGGAGATTTGTTTGCCGAAGACATCGAGTAACACCTGGCAATGTTACCAGAGATGTCCACTGCTACGGAAGAAGTGACAATTGACGACTATCAGATCGGCGATCCAGACGTTCCTCTTACCGCAGATCAACAGAGACTCAGATCGCTGATTTGGAAGAGCCGTCACCTTCTTATGGGGAAGGGCGACGCTCTACCACCAGCAGAACGAGGGGCGATTTGTGATATCGATGTCGGTGGAGCCGCACCAATTGCGCAAAGAGTCCGTCCGGTCGCACCCAAATATTGGGAAAAGCTGTCATATCTCATCAAAGGACTGTTCGTTCAGCCATCCACGTCACCTTGGGCGTCTCCGATAGTGGTAATCATTAAGAAGAACGGAGTGTATATTCGCCTTTGCATTGATAATCGAAGAGTAAAACAGCTGACGCGCCTGATGGTTTATCCCATGCCGTTGATCAGCGATCTGCTGGAAGATCTGGATAAAGCTCTTTGGTACTGTTAGCTAGACATGGCTAGTGGATTCTGGTTCGTCGAAATGACTGAACGAGCAAAACTGATCTCAGCGTTTGTCACACCGTTTGGCTTGTTCGAGTGGCTGCGAATGCCTTTTGGGCTCAAGAACGCGCCCCAGATCTACCAACTTCTGGTTGACAATGCGTTGTATGGATATCTCACGATCGGCCAGAGATCATCTTCTGATGGCCCGATCGACGTGTTCACAGATGGAGAACCTGAGACAGATCGACGACCCTCTGTACTGGGACGCCGATCTTAAATTGACGATATTCTCATACCAGCCACGTCATGAGAATCTTTGTACACAAAAGTAGAAAGGTTGCTGGAGGCATGTGATAAGTGGAATCTGTCTATCAGCCTCACGAAGAGCTTTTGGGGGTGCCGTAAGGTCGATTATTTGGGACATCGATGTCGATGGATGGTCTGGAGGCTCAGCCCAAAAACTTGGAGTCGTTGGTCAACATCCCGTTCCCTAGCACGCTGCGAGCTATGCAATCTTTTCTCGGCAGCTTGAACTACTACCGTCGCTTCATTGAGGATTTCGCGGTGTTGTATGAGTTAAGAGAATTGGATTTCTTCGAGATCGGCCGATCTCAGCTTGCAGCAGGAGACGAATGCTCCAACGAGGGTCGATGGACGGAAGCCAAGGTTGCTTTCACTATGCTAAAATCTAAGATAGCTACAGCTCCCATGCTCAAGCATTTCGACCCAGATCGGTCCCCCGTAATCGTGGTCTACGCTAGCAAGTGGGCTGTCTCAGCGGCCCTGATACAGGAGTACGATGGCGTGTACCATCCGGTGACGTTTACGAGCCGCACTTTAAAGCCTAATGAGCTTAACTACGGAACGGTAGAAAAAGAAGTGCTGGCGCTACTTCGTGTGTTGGATGTATGCTATACTACGCTTGCCTCGCGGGAGATCACTGTACTGACCCGACATTCTACGTTAGCGTGGTTGATGCAATCTCGAGGGCTCAACGGGAGATTAGGACGATGGGCTGCTTTGCTGTCGAACTGGACTATGGAGTTGAAGAGGTGCGAAAAAGGAGAAGAAGAGATTTTGGGCATGCTAGCAGCGAGTATCACCCCGAGAGAAGAGGTGCAAGAGATGCTGATTGCGATTTCCCCCCGAAAGAACTGCCGACTCAAAATATCGACGCCTCCTCCAATGGTGGAAGCAGACGAGAAGTTGCTGGTGGCCAGTTTTGATGAATCGGCGAGGATAAAAAAGAAAGGAGGGTCGTACAGTGCTGTGATATGGAGGTTACCCGAGTGGAAGATCGTGGCGGCAGAATCCAGATACGCTCTCGACCTCACAGTGAATGAAGCTGAGTATCATGGCTTGCTACTATGCTTCGACTTACTGGCCAATCTGGACAGGGGAAGAATAACATTTTGTGGGGACTCTAATATGGTAATCCGCCAGATGCGCGGTGAGATCGACTGCAAAGCCCCGGGCCTACAACTCTTGAAGCATAAAGCGTTAGAGAAATTGCGATCTTGGCCTAGTCACGAGTTTCTGCATATGAAGCGAGAGTGGAATCAGAGCGCAGATCGACTAGCCAGCACAGCATTGCAGAGCGAAAAGGGACGAACGGTTGTAGCTGAAGAAGATCGGCAAGATCTGATGACTCTGAACCGTCTCGATGAATTGTTGAAGCCCAAGCAAGATGGTCAGCTGACTCGGATAACTGTGATCACGAGATCAGCCGGGAGGATACGTCATGAACCTGAAGTGATACAGGAGGAGATAGTACAGAGGATCAGGATTCAACGAATTGTCCAAGCTCAAGATGAAGAGCGTTGGATTGTCAATTTCAAGAAGTATCTACGTGGCGATGTATCAAACTTGGACGCGGGAGAAGTAAAGATGTGCGCAAACTGGCGCCGGAATACGAGATGAGAACGATCTGCTATTTTCTGTCCCATTGCGAAAAGAGAGTCAGAAGATCGCGATGGTTTGATGCGGTTGGTGATCCCTGAGACGTTGCAGCAGGAGTTTTTTCATCACTATCATACGAGTCTAGAAGGAGGCCATCAGGGTATCGGCAGAACCTGTCAGAGGATCAGATCGCGATTCCATTGGAGAGGACTGTGTCGGAGTGTGCAACGATATGTGGGCGAATGCACTGACTGTAAAACCGGAACGACTCATGGGAGATCCCCGGGCAACTTGCAAGCAACCTATCCGTTCCAGATCACCGCAATGGATCATATACCGTCGTTGCCCAAGTCCATCAAGGGGAATACTGAGCTGCTCATTTGGGTGGACCTCTTCTCGGGATATGTGATTGCAAAGGCTAGCTCATCACGTACGGCACAAACAATAGCGGAGAATTACGAAGAATGTGTGTTTCGACGCTTCAGAGCTAGCAAGGCTATCAGGCACGATCGAGAACCGGGATTTACGTCCGATTTTGTTCGAGCCTTCAGTCGGATCGTAGGACAAAAACAGCGTGCTACTATGGCTTACAGGCCACAAGCAAATGGAACAGCCGAACGAATGGTGCAAACCCTGACACATTCACTTAAGATGTACGTGGCTGATGTTGATCGACGAGACTGGGATGAGTATGCTGAGCGGCTCACATTTGCAATTAACACTGCACAAGATCGGATCCGGGGGGACACCCCATTTTATCTGATTCATGGGTGGGACCCGCGATCGACATTGGAAGCTACGCTATCAGTGGGGAATACGGGAACTCGAGATCGCGATCCAAAGAGTTGGAGATACAAAATCCAAAGACAATACCAGCGAGCCCGATCTGCAGTGAACGATCATTTACAAGCCGCGATCCAGGAGCGAGCGGATTGACACAATGAAGATCTGGAACCACACGAAATCGAAGTAGGTACACAAGTTTGACTATACCTGGGTCGATCCAAAGAGGGGTGTGCGAAGAAGCTAGCGCATATGTGGCATGGTCCATTCCGAGTTGCGGACATATGCGGAGATCACGCTGTAAAATTGGAGATTGCTGGAACCCCATATCGGCTATTTCCGATCGTACATTTATCGAAGCTGACGAAGGTAAAAACGTAATCTGGACGGCCGAAGGATCAGCTTAAGATAGACGAAGCAGATCGTTTGGACTTTGATGAAGCTTTGTTACCAGAAGACAGTTGGGAGAGCGATCTTGAAGAGGGAGATTACGAAGTAGAAGAACTATTGGACGTGCGATCAGGTAGGAAAACCCGTTATGGGCGAGTACACCGACAGTTTCTGATGAAGTGGAAGGGATATCCCGATTTTAGCTGGGTAGATGAGGCCGATCTGAGTTGTGGGGCGATCTTGCAGGAGTTTGAGCGGAACCGAGTGAGTCGAAACCGTTTCGAAGCGACGCAGTCTCACTAGGGAAAGTCGGACGAACCTTAACAGTTCGAACAAGTATGCGGAAGGTAGCATATACGGATGGAAGGGTTGAAAGATGTGCTAGGAGGTAGCACATGTTGGTGGATGAGGTTGCAAGATGTGCTAGGAGGTAGCACATGCTGACGGATGGTGGTTTGCGTGTGAGTATGGAGACAGTCCAGTGAATTACCTTACTGAATGATGTGAAGCGAGAAGGATCGAGATCGTGGAAGTTGCAAAGAATGAAGTACCAAAAAGAAGATAATTGAATGACTTACACGATTATGAAAGACGATCGGGCTTGGACACCGATCTAGGACTAAGATGATGGAGCAGGCGTGAACTTGTCCTGCAAACGAGGGACGTGCGATCCGGGGTGATCCCAATAGGCGTTACGGAACTGATTGCGCCGAGGATCCTATTGGTCTGCCGTGTTCAATGCCTCTAGCAAGTCGGCTGGGTCGTTAGAATGTCCTAACCCTGGATACCAAACTCGCTCTTCATGTGGGCGCGAATAGTGGAGGAAGAAGGGATCCAGCAAGATGTCAAGATCGCAGTGGCCAGCAATCATGCCGCTGAGTATCATTTTCAAGAAGCTCTTCCAACGCGCTCCAAAGCGAGATCGGCGTTGCTATCGTTGGCTCCAGAATGCTTGCATGAACCGTTCAGATCGTCGTTGGGCCGGGGAGATCGGGAAAGCATGAGTGGTTTCCCACAGAGCTTCTCGATGAGTGGACTCAAGCTCCAGGTAGCGATAACCCATATCACGATACCATCCAGTCACGGCGAACGATATCGGGTTTACAGGGATCACGATATTATCCCAAGGAGCTGTAGCGTAGAGAGCCTCGATGTGTCGCCGCGAGATCAGCCCAGGTGCCTAATTCCCCGTTAGGCGGAGCTCGTCCATGATTGTAGAAGGGAAACAGAAAATTCCTGGGCTTGGAGTAGTGGTGAAACAGCAGCTCAATGGTCATGGTCTTCATGCAGACCATCGCGATCCGCGAAACTGACCAAGGAGCAATCTCGGAAGCTACCCGTCGGGAAGGTGCCAAATAATTGGGAATCCACCGATCCCGCGCTTGCTGGAGTGGTGGAAGATCGCCGAAATCAACTGGAGAGAGGACTTTGTTTGCCACTTGGCGCGCCGGAATGGTGATGCTATTGTCGCTATCGGACAAATGGCGATCCGCAGTGAACCCAGGGGGCGGACTAACAGAGCCAGTCTTGCTGTGTGTTTCCCCTGTCGGCGACACCTCCACATCTTCTAAGTCGCCATCATCTTGAATTTTAATTACGGGGACAACAGCAATTGGAGTGGAAGATTACGGAATATAACGAGGCTTCGGAACGTCCGGAGGTGGCAAACGTGACAGTGTTTGATCAAACGCGGTAGCTACGGATGAAGTGGGAGCAGCCTGGGCAGCCGGAGAGGGGTCTGGAGTCGAAGATCGGACATTCGATCTAGGTTGACGACGAGCGGTCGATCTCGAGTGGGAAAACACGGAACGAGTCAGATCATCCGAGCTAGAGTCCGACTCGGTCAGCTTCATACTTCCCGATCCAGTCTTAGAAGCCGTGGACGAAGGCGGAGAAGAAGAAGAATTGAATGAAGGCTCGGGTGGGGCCAATCTGGGAAGTTTCTTGGAAGGTGTTGAGGGGTTCAACGACAATAGCCGGGAGGCCGAACGGGTGATGGAAGAATCCCTGATCGGGACCTTGGCTGAACACGCCGACGCTTGGTCGGCGGGCCAGACGGTCTCGACCTGGGCCTAAGGGCAAGCGATCCCAATCCCTGGGATGCGGAAAACAGGTGGCGATCCAGCCGGAGTAGCACTTCTAGGCGTCGGTCGAGCGGTCAACGCAGACGACCGGGGCCCGAGTATAGCACTGTTCAGTGTGTCGAGGACGAGGACGTAGAGCACGGTGTTTTGCTATGGCCCGATCACGATCTTGCTCCGCCACCTGTAACTGGTTGTGTACCGTGAAGTGTTCCGCAAGCTGACGACGGAGGTTGGCGTTCTCCACCTGCGAAAGTGCCAACTGACCCTCCAGAGTAGTCAAACTATCCAATTGTTGTACGAGGTCGCTGATCGAGGCCAGGCCATCTGCGATCTCCTCCCGAGACCGATCGAATTCCTCCCTCAAATTCAAAACGTGTATGTGAAGGAAAGACCTGTCGGAGGTCAGCTGGTCACGCTGCTGTTGGAGAGAATTGAGTTCGGCCTGGAGGGAATGGACTTGAGCCCTCAAAGTTTTCACCTGCCATTCCAAGCTGCCTTGATCCTCATCGCTGGCACGTAACAAAGCGCGTAGCCGAAGAATCTGCGCTGATTGATCTCGATGTGTCCGCAGAGCTCGTTTACAGTCGCTCAAAGAATGTATTGCGTTGACGTAACGGCCTTGCATCCAATCATATCGACGCTGGACGAAAGAGACGAAGAGGGCGGCTGATCTATACAGAGAATCAATCTCGTCTTGCAAGCGATCCCCCCGGGCGACGCATCATGGTATGACTGCTGCAGCGCATGAATGGTATCGGCTTGGCTGCAGAAGGTAGCCTCTCGATCCCATAAATAAGAGATCGTAGCCAACGTAAGACGAACGTCGTCGGCAGAAATTCTTGAAACGTGGCCGGTGACGTCTGCAGTTGAAGCAGACCCTACACGAGACTCACTAGTGGCCAGGGTGTCGGATCTAAACGCACCCAGGGTCGCCGGAGGTTCGGGAAGCGAGAGCGGCTCAGACGGGCGATCTGGTGATCCCGTGACTATCGAGAGCGATCCAACCGAACTGGAAATACTTAGAGACTCATGTCGATCTGGGACGATTGGAGCATACCTCCCGCGATCCGGCGATCCAGACGGCAAGTCCCGGGCTGGAAACGAGGGTCTAGTCGGTCGTCGATATGGCGATCCCGTGGCGATCGTTGGCGATCCGGCGGGACCTAGATGACGTGGAGACCCAGGCGGATCTGGGACCGTTGGAGTGTGTCCTCCGTGATCGGGCGAACCGGGTGATGGGTCGCGATCCGGAGACAGAGGCATGGTGGAGCCTTCTGAAGAGATCGGTGAGGTGGGGAGATGCGTCGGAGAGGCCATGATACAAACTTGAGTGGTTGGAGCGAAGTTGATGAGTGACTGCACTGATGTCAATTGCTGTACAAAGGACTTCAGTACAGGGGGCGGTTGTGGCAAAGTCACTAATCCAAATTTTGTACGAAGATTGGTGGCCACATATTTGAGACGCCACTTACTGGTGGAAAATGAGGCCATGGGACCTGGCGATCCGATAGGGAGATGGAAGGTGGTCTTAACGGGGATCGGCGATCAGATCCAACTGTCGTCAGACTGATGGGTATGGAACGACCTGAGACGGAGCGATCTGGGACAAGATGACCAATAGAACGATTTCCATGGAGCGATCTGGGACAAAGATCTGGGACCAGGTGATGTGATATGACTCTGTGACGAAGGTGCAACATCCTGCAGATCGGTGACACTCTCTACGGGTCTCCCAAAGGGAGTACTGATTTAGGTTAATTATGGCCCGATCGGGAAGTGTGGATGTTTGTGGGAGTCCGTGGGACCGTTGTAAGAACTGTGGATGGTCCTATTGAGCAGATAAACCCTGAGGGATGGTATCGAAGTACACACAATGAACGGAAGAACATATATGGCCGGATTGTACTGTGTCGATCCTCAACGATCTCGAATTGGACATCAGATCGGTCATGTTCCCCACTGATTATGGATATATCGTTGATGAGACTTTTGAATCATGACAAACATGCTTGTTGAAGGTCCATGAGTGATGTCTCAAAAGTTCAGATCGAAAGAGCCAGTGGAAGCCGGTTGAATTGACGTCGCAAAATGGATTTAGACGCCTTCGGCATTTGGGCACTATTTTGGGCTTTTGGGTACCTAAATGGGTATTTGGTACCCCATTTGGGATTTGGTCCTCTTTTGGCGTTCAGGTACGGTATCGGGAATATTGGCGCTATCATTGGAGTACAGGGCACGAAATTTCGACACGTGGCAAGGGGGCGATCCAGATTCAAGGCGATATCGGTTTGAAGAGTGACCTATAGTTAAGAATAGGCTTAAAGATAGGTTGGCTATTAATTTGGTTGGTTAATAAACAGACTCGAACTCTACTTCTTCTGCTCACGACACACGTTCTCTTCCCCTCTTCTCCGGGCAAGATTGATTTGGCTTCCCCGGCGGGTCAAGGCACGCGTGTTACAAGGACACAGAAGACCGATCTTAGATTGTTGGCCAAGACCGGGAAGAGCGACCTCGGGAAGTTTGGCCCGGATCGATCAAGTACTCACTCTCAACTCAACTGATAGGGTAGCAGCAACAAAAGAAAAGGATTTTGGACACAAGATCGCGAGACGGCTCAAGTGGTCAGAAGATTTAGACAAGGCGTTCAAGACAAGGCAGAGCAAGATCGAAGCGATCCACTGGACAGATTGGCGTGTTTCATTTTGGCGAAACCAAGGACCGATCTGCCCAAATTGCGCACTTCCAGCAAGATCGGACGATCCCAAGACCAGATCGGACTGATGCCAAGGCAAAATCGACGCAAGACTACTATTTGCTGAGTGAAGATTTCCGCACAGCAAAGAACCCGATCCCGAAGACAAATCGAGATCGGTGCGATTCGAGACCGAGACCACGACATCTTTAACTAGAGATCGCCGCGACTCGAGAATCAAGATCGCAGAACCCCTGTTCGTAGTATGAAGATATACGCACCGGAAGCGAGCTCTCAACCCAAACTATCAGCGAGATCGACATCCTCCAAGGCCGTTACGAAGAGCTCAAGCCAGCCCAACCGACGGGTACGCAAGGTGAGCACAAGGTTATACAGCAAGGCACGGATCGGAGTACCCCCTCCGTGAGTCGGCAAGTCTGAGCAAGTGGAAGATCGACACTCACTAAAGTAATTTTGTGAGATGCACTCTACCACACTCGCATGTGTTCACACTTGGACGAATACGTTGACGATCTCGAATGGAGTTTTATCTTGGCACTTGGGCGTAGGCAGATGATTCTTGATGTTGATCGCCGTCATTACTGCTTCGGCCCAAAAACACTTATACATCCTGGCGAGGTGAAGTGCTGCGGCCGATCGTCACAATGGTCAAACCGCTCGTTCCTCTGTACCATTAGTCTGGTGCGCATACGAAACGGTGACCTGCTGCTCGATTTCTTGATCGTCGTAGAATGCCTTTAGCGACGCTGTCGAGAACTCTCGTGCACTACCATGTCGAATGGTCTTGACCTTGTATACAAACAGTGTCTGCACCGCAGCGATGAACTTCTTGATGCACTCTTCGCTGTCAAGTTGGCGCGCAGGCTGAAGCCCTTCATGCATTCACTGAATTCATCGACGATCAGAAGTAAGTATTTGCTTCCGCCCAGCAAAATAACTTCCATCGGTCCACAAGTGGCGATGTGCAGGAGCTCAAATGGGTCATAGTGGCGCTTGTTTGGGCTGCTTGGAAATGGTAGTTGTTGACGGTCATCGGTTTTTTACCAGTATTGGTAGCCGTGACCGGTCCAATCCGAACCGCCTGTTCAGCTTAGTATTTACGACGTAGTTCTTACGGTAATTACCATAGTTGATTAGACGCGTGGGATGATGAGACGCTTCACATGATTGATATGTGCACCACATATAAATCATGTAGTAAGTAGTAAGCCCCGATTATCAATCACTTTCGAATTCTCCTTCTGCCGAGCAAGTCTTCTCTGCCCCGCTCCTCAAGCCTCTTCGCTCCCTCCGGTCTCTTCCGGTCTTCTCGTCACTCCCGTGCCATACCTTCAAAAGGTTATGATCCCAAGCGCAATTTCTTCTGCCGGCCACGCATCCTTTAACGTCCTCATCTATAAGTTCGATGAGGACAACTATTCGACCTGGAGTCGATACATGCGTGGCGTGTTCCTGAAAAAGTCAGTGTGGCATTCTGTCAACCGGGAGAGCTCCCCGACGTCCGTGGACCCTCGAGCGCAGGACGGCTACGTCAAGACCAACAACATCGCGTTTAGAATAATGTTGCTGCACATTAATGCGGACTACCACCATGTGGTTGACAACTGCGAGGAAGCGTGGGTCGCGTGGCAGAGTCTGAAGGTGCTGTACGGTGGATCCCAGAAAGCGTGAAGGATATACCTCAAGCGTCGGCTGTTCAGCATGAAGGTGGCTGAAGGCGCGAACATCATGCATCACTGCAATGAGGTCCTGAACATCGCTGCCAAGCTTAGCAGCATCGGTGCGAAGATGGAGGACGAGGACGTCGCAATTTGCCTTCTGCTCAGTCTCCCTAAGAGTTTTGGTAACGTTGTTCTAAACTTGGAGGTGAGCAGCGCAGAGCCTCGTACCCAAGATGTGGTGAAGGTGCTCACGAATGAGCACACCAATCGCCAAGGGGAAAAGGTGACAACAACAGCGACGATGGTCAAGACTGAAGATGCAGTCAAGGCCTTCAACACTGAATGCGAGCCATACAAGTGCACCTACTGTGGGAAGGTGGGACACACCGTCGATCGCTGTTGGACCAAGCAGAAGAATGAAAGTCGAGGAGCCCGACGCGGCGGCAATGGTCGTGGACGCGGGGCGAACAATGTCCAGTGGGGACAATATCGTGATGAAGACAGCGACTACGATCAAGTAGCGGTTGCAGTTTCGCTAGAATGTGGAATCTCAGCGAAGAAGGACGTGTCCGGAATGTGGGCCGTCGACAGTGGTGCAATACACCACATGTGCCACGACAAGACCAAGTTTGCAAGACTGAACAAGCGCAACGACGGTGAAATCTTGGCGGCGGATGGCAACAAAGTGGCCATCAAGGGTGTGGAACCATCTTTGAAACGGTGGTTCTGCCCGACGGAGAACAGCGCGAAATCGAGATCATGAACGTGCTTTACGTACCAAGCGTGAGCAAGAATCTGCTTTCGGTACCGCAGATCAACAAACACGGCAAGTTTTAAGTCGTGTTCGACGGGACCAAAACTTTTGTTGCTCGCAAAGAATCGCAACAAGTGGTGGCAACAGCAGATCTTGTGGATGGCCTTTACTGGCTTCACACAGATCATCGATCGGCCAATGCGACAACAAACGGGAGAAACGGTGTCGACTTACATGCGCGGATGGGACACGCTCCAGCTGATGTGCTTCGCAAAATAGTGGCCACGAACATGATCAAGGATGTGAAGGTACCTCTCACGTCAAATGGATCAAGCGCATGTCGAGGATGCCAACAAGGGAAAATGGTCCAAAAACCATTCCCACGCAACCAGGACAAGCGCAGATACGACACCTTTGAGCTACTTCACGTCGACATCTGCGGACCCATGCAGATGAATTCTCTGGGTGGCAGCAAGTATCTACTGCTGCTCGTGAACGAAGCCAGTGGATGCATGAAAGGCTTCTGTCTACGTGTGAAGTCGGAGAGTGAAAACTACATCACACGATACATCACGATGGTGCAAGCGCAGTTTGACAAGAAGGTCAAGCTCGTCCGACACGACGGAGCTCGCGAGTTCGCAACCAACTCGCTTCAAGAATTCTACGAAGATGAAGGCATTGAGCAGCAGACGACGGTGCCACATGCACACCAGACCAACGGCACGGCAGAGCTCGCCATTCGGACTATCGTCACAATTGGTCGCAGCATGCTCTATTATGCTAAGTTGGAAAAGTGCTTCTGGGCAGAAGCAGCAATGACGGCAATCTATGTCAAGAACCGTCTGCCGTCGCCTAAAGTTATGCACAAGACTCCGTTCGAGATCGTCCACAACTCCAAGCCAAGTGTCAAGCACATGCGGGTGTTCGGTTGTCAGGTTTACATACTGACACCGAAGGAGAAGCGGCTCAAGTGGGACCCCAAGGCTCGCACTGGAATATTCTTGGGCTACGAAGAAGCATCCAAGCGTATCGCGTTTATGACATCGAGGCGGGGCAGGTGGTCATCAGTCGCGATGTCAACTTTGACGAGTCCGCCTTTGGACTTTCGCCGCCAACCACCGCTGAAGACGCCGATGACCTTGACTTCGACTCCCTCGATCTGGATGATGAAGCGCCAGGTCAAGCGCAGTACAAGAAAGCAGGCAAGCGCAAGAGTTGTTCCCATGATGAAGGAGTACCAGCTCCACCCACTCGCACAGTGCGTCAACGGCCTGGACTAGAAGAATCGAATGCGCCAGACAATCACACGACCCACCAAGAAGAAGATGAAGTAACAAAGAATGCTGATGCATAGACTCCGCCTGTGTTCTGGCGTGCGAGTGCGAACGCTATCGAAACAGCAGTGGACTCATCGGAGCCATCGACTTTTGAAGCTGCAGTGAGCGGTCCTGATCAAGTGCACTGGCGTAAAGCCATCCAAGCGAAACTCGAGTCGATGCGACTTCGTGGAGTGTTCCGCGCAGCCAAGCTGCCTAAAGGATATTGCACCATTGGCACTATCGTGGGTTAACGGTTGAGGTACTGTTACTAGCTACCATGGAAACCGTAAACTTGTCCAAGTCGATCCCGCGTAATTACGGTGAGTTTTTACCAATGATTAGACGCATAGGATGATTGGATGACCTACATGATTTATAATTTATATGTGGACAGCATATAAATCAGTGCAGAGATAAATCAGGTAGCTTTAACAAAACCCACAAATAAATTCACTTTCAAATATTCCTTCTCCTACACAAGTCGTCTTCACTTCGCAGTGTAGACTTCTTTCAAGCCTTTCAAGCTTCGTTCTCTCGCCCAGTGCTCGTTACATCCTAACAGGTTATGAGCCCAAGCACGATGTCCTCTGCTCAAGATTTCGCCACCAAGATCTCTATCGATAGATTCGATGGAGACAACTACGCGACGTGGAGCCGCTACAAGCGTAGCGTGTTCCTGGCCAAGTCGACGTGGCACGTAGTCAACCGGGAGACCACCCCCACCTTCGCCGATCCTCGCGCCAGTGACGAGTATGTCAAGACGAGCAACATTGCGTTCGGCTTGATGCTGCTGCACATGAGCGCGGATTATCATCACGTGGTTAATGACTGTGAAGAAGCGTGGGTTGTGTGGGCGCGGTTGAAGACTCTCAACGGCGGATCACAAAAGGCGGGACGGATCTTCTTGAAGCGACAGCTATTAAGCCTGTAGATGGCAAAAGGCGGCAATGTCATGCATCATTGCAATGAAATTCTCAATATCAGCGCCAAGCTCAGCAGCATCGACGCTAATATGGAGGACGAAGACGTGTCGATCCGTTTGTTGTGCAGCCTCCACAAGAACTACGAGATCGTCGTGCTGAACTTGGAGATGAGCAGCGCGGAGCTGCGGACGCAAGACATCGTGAAAGTGCTTACGAAGGAACACATTAAGAGACAAGGGATAAAGATAATACAGGTGAAGACTGAAGAAGCTACCAAGGCCTTCAGCACCGAGCGTGAATTCCGTCAGTGTACGTTCTGCGGAAATTGGGGCACGCAGTGGAGAAGTGCTGGACCAAGTAGAAGGAAGACAATCGGGGAGCTTGACGCGGCGGCAATGCACGTGGACGCGGAGCGAATCAAGGTCAATGGCAAGGCTACAACGGCGATAACAACTATGACTATGATCGAGTGGCGTTTGCTGTTTCGCTGGAATGCGGACTTTTGGTAACCAAGACCATAGTGGGAATGCGAACGATTGACAGCGTGATAACGCACCACATCTGCTATGACAAGTCCAAGTTTGAAGTTCTGAACGAGCGCAACGAATGCGAAGTGCTAGTTGCAGACGGAAATAAGGCTGCGATCGATGGAGATGGGACTATCATCGAAACGGTAGTCCTACCAAACGGTGAAGAGCGCGAAGTGGAAATAAAGGACGCACTCTGTGTCCCGAGCATGAACAAGAACGTGCTGTCGATACCACAAATCAACAAAAGCGGCAAGTTTCAAGTGGTGTTTGATGGTGACGAGATGAAGATTTCGCACAAAGGCTCCAAGCAAGTAATAGTGATGGCCGATCTTGTGGATGGCCTCTACTGGCTTCGTAAATCCCGAAGATCGGTGAATGCGGCTTCAGGACCAAGAGTCGAAAACCTCCATGCGCGTATGGGCCATGCATCGGTTGATGTCTTGTGCAGAATGGTCTCCAAGGGCATGATCAAGGATGCCAAGATGCCAACAAAATTGAGCGAATCAAGCGTGTGTCAAGGTCGTCTAGAAGGAACAATGGTTCAATGACCGTTCCCGAGCAATCCAAACAAGATTCACTACGATCCGTTTGAGCTTCTACACATCGACAATTGTGGTCCAATGGAAGTCGACCCGCTAGGTGGAAGCAAGTACTTGATACTGATCGTCGATGAAGGCAGCGGATGTATGAAGGGGTTCAGTCTGCGCGCCAAGTCCGACAACGAAGAGTGAATCAAGAAGTACATCATGGCAGTACAGACGCATTTTGACTACAAGGTCAAGTTCGTTCGACACGATGGTGCACGAGAATTTGCGGCGAATTCGCTCAAGGCATTTCACGATGATCAAGGAATCGAGCAGCAAGTTACCGTTCCGTATGCGCATCAGACCAACGGCACGGCGGAACGGGCAATTCGGACCATTGTGACGATCGGGCGCAGCATGCTTCACTACGCCAAGCTGGACAAGTGTTTTTGGGCTGAAGCAGCAATGACGGCGATCTACATCAAGAATCGCCTACCATCGCCCAAGTGCCAAGATCGAACCCCATTCGAGATCGTCAACGGATTTCGACCAAGTGTGAAGCACATGCGGGTTTTCGGCTGCCGAACGTTTGTGCTGACCCCTAAGGAAAAGAGATCGAAATGGGATCCGAAGGCTCGTGAAGGACTATTCATGGGGTACGAAGAAGTGTCAAAGGCATATCGCGTTTACGACATTGAAGCGGATCAAGTGGTGATATCTCGCGATGTCACATTCGACGAATCAACGTTTGGTTTCTCGCCTACGCTACCACAAGAAATTGTTGATGACACTGCGCTGGATATCGAATCGATGGACATCAGCGATGAGCCTCACCCTATGCAGTTCAAGAAAACTGGAAAACGCAAAAGCCGTTCAAACAGCCAAGAACAAGCTCTGCAACGGACACTTCCTGAGCGTCGTGGAACCGGGTTCGAAGAAGCAAGTGCACCGGATGAATTTGAAACGCACCAAGCGAAGCGACGATCAAGCGCTCGAGCCAATCTGGACGAAGAGCGAAAGGGCAGTGACGAAGATAACGAGGATGCTACACCTCAAGTCTTTTGGCGAGCGAGTGCCAATGCAGTCGAAGGTACTGACTTGTCTGAGCCGACAACGTTTAAAGATGCTGTTGATGGACCGGATCAAGTGCATTGGCGAAAAGCTATCTGTGCCGAGTTGGACTCGATGAAACTTCGTGGCGTGTTTCAAGCGACCAGACTGCCAGCTGGACAGCATACCGTTGGCACCAAGTGAGTATTAAAGATCAAGCGGAAAGCTAATGGATCCATTGAGAAATACAAGGCGCGTCTCGTGGCAAAAGGGTTCAAGCAGAAATATGACATCGACTACACGGAGACGTTTTTGCCGGTAGTCAAGTACGTGACGCTGCGCATGGTAGTTGCAATCACGAAGTACTTTGACTGGACACTGGACCTACTGGACGTGGTGACAGCTTTGCTATGCGGAGAGATGAAGGAAAAGGTATTCTGCGCGATCCCAGAAGGGGTCGAAGTTGATGAAGACTTGGACTGCTTCGAATTGTTGAAGGCGATCTACGGACTAAAACTAGCATCGCGCGTATGGAACGAGACTTTCCATGAGTTCGTCTGCTCCATTGGATTCCAAGTATCCGATTTTGACCCGTGTCTTTATCTCAAGATTACAAGTGGCGAGTGCGTGCTTTTTCTGGTATACGTCGATGATGTGTTGGTGACTGGCAGCTCAACCGAACTGATTATGCGCACCAAGAGTGACTTAAAGGCGCGTTTCGAAATGACCGACAGTGGGAAGTGCGCATTCGTGTTGGGCATCGAGCTGGTGGACAATGACAACGGTAGCGTGACGATGTGCCAGCAACGCTACGTGGAAAATGTTCTCAAGCGTTTTGGCATGAGCGACTGCAAAGCCGTCACCAGCCCAACAGACATCAGTTCTCGACTCATACCAAGTACCGCAGCAACTAAAATCGACGCCCCGTTTCGTGAAGCAGTAGGCGATCTGATGCACTTGATGACCGCGACACGACCGGACATTGCCTTTGCTGTGAGTAACGTTTCGCGCTTCATGGAGAACCCCCAAGTCGAGCATTGGATGGCGGTCAAGCGCATTTCGCGATACTTACAAGGGACTAAGTCGCACGGTATCTGTTTCAAGCCTGATGACAAGATAGACTTCTGTGGCTACTCGGATGCAGACTGGGCCGGCGACCATGCAGACCGCAAGTCGACTTCAGGATATGCGTCTATCCTGATGGGTGCTCCGGTGAGCTGAAGAAGCAAAAAGCAGTCAAGTGTGTCGCTGTCAACAAGTGAAGCTGAGTACATTGCACTAAGTTTGGCGATTCAAGAAGGCAAGTGGGTGCATCGATTGCTGTGCGAGATTCTGGATGCCGCGGAGAACAAGTCCGGACCCGAGCTCAAGGTCATGGAAGATAACCAATCGTGCATCAAGATAACGAAGAATCCTGTGAACCATGGTCGGGCCAAGCACATCGACATCAAGTACCATCACATTCGTGATGAAGTCAAGCGTGGTGATTTCAAGCTGGAGAACTTTGAGACTACGATTTTGTTGGCGGACATCAGGACCAAGGGACTGCCAGGACCGTGTCACAAGGAATTGACGGCAGCGCTTGGCATACACGTGTGTTCACATTGAGGGGGCGAATTGTGGGTTAACGGTTGAGGTGCTGTCATCAGCTACTATGGAAACCGTATACCTGCCCAAGTCAATCTCGCGTAATTACGTTGAGTTCTTGGCAATGATTAGACGCATAAGATGATTGGATGACCTACATGATTTATGATTCGTGATTTATCTGTGGACAACATATAAATCAGTGCAGGGATAAATCAGGTAGCTTAAGCAAACCCACAAATATATTCACTTCTAAATATTCCTTCTTCAGCACAAGTCGTCTACACTTCGCAGTGAGACTTCTTTCAAGCCTTTCAAGCTTCGTTCTCTCGCCCAGTGCTCGTTACATCTTAACATTGACCGAACCCCTCCTAAGCTATAATGGGCCCTTTAAATCCTAGTTTTTGTCCTCTTATGTTACTAACGGTCGGTCTCCCAGTGGTTCTTTGGTCTTGAATTCTATCTTGGCCTTAACGTCTCCTTCATCTCGGGTCCGCGGTGAAATCCCGCGCCTACCAAAGATCCGGGTACAGCACCATTGTGGTGGAGTGGGTTGTCAAAACTGATTTGACGAGACCCCACACCACTCACTGTGCTTAGCTTTTGACTGTCTGAGGGGTCTCCCGATACCGCTTGTGGACCTTGAATCACCTTGTGTACCCGTCGGATGGAGGATTTCACTCTTCGGAGGACATGGTGATTATTAAAGACGTAGGCCTTGATGGAGGTCGACCTGGGGGGGGGCGAGCGGATGTGCTTCAGTCGGGGCCCAATCTAGGCGGACACACGATTAAATTGGTCGCGAATGGTCTTATAATTAATTGTCTCAGGTGCTGATAGCACCTAGTCTTTTCTCAGGGTTGTTTACCGCCTGGCCTTTACGTTTCTTCTCCCTTACTACTAGAGTATAGAGACCACTTCCTATAGATGGCTTGAGTTAGGGGGGGGGGGTGCCACTCCACGGACCTACAGGCCAATATACTTCCCGGGGTTCTACTATCACTTGGATCTTGCTGAAACCTGTCTACTCGACGGGCGGACGAAGCAGATCCCTGGCCGGAACAGGTCGGTAGACTTACAAGTTTCTTATCGCACAACACGTCGTGCTACTTGGATTGCAAATTAATTAGTATTTAGTATCGTCCTATCCTTCAAAAATTTCTTTACTCTATCTTTGCCTTGCATATGGCTCGCTATGATGAATGGCCAGGAGCCACCAGACCTTGAGGGGGTTAGTCGACGCATGGGTGCCCAGGTAGGCAAACGGATGGCCGAGGTCCACCTTGGGCGACCAGGCCGACCGACGATTAGTTGGGATCGAACCATATCGGTACCGCTTAACTGGTACCGTCGGTCGGTATGACCCCGTTAGTGGTAAGCTCAACCGCACGTCACGGTTGGACCCAACGGCCACTCTTTCCTTGTGACCTCCAGGTCTCCAGTCCAATTCCCGACCGCAAGGTTGCATGTCCATCCGGCTCCTGGACCCTAAAGTCTATCATTTCTGAAAACTCGCTCTGCCACAATACCAGCGATAATTTAATGTTAGATCCATCCTGGATCAGCAGATTCTTTTCTATTAGATCGCCTGACTTCACTTCAAGCGGTGCGATTTAACGTTATTAACCCCTTTCAGGTCACCGAGCTTAGAATCATCTCCATTCGAAAAGGAAGTTTGGTACCCTAAGGTAACTCTTAATGTCTCGCCAATGGGCTAGCTCAAACACGTCGTCTATTTTTTGGATCAGCCGGATCTTCCTCAAATGAGGACATTAAAGGTGCCTTCCTGTTAGGTCAAAGGATCGTATATAATGATACTAAACTGTAAGCTAATTGTGAGCACTGCTTACCCGGACGCTCTTAATCTTTTGACGCTACCAGTCAAAACTCTACGAGCTCTGTCAATCGAGGCTAGACGAACGGCCTACTCTAGCCAGATCAATGACTTGCCAAAATGTCTGCGCGTGTCTAAAAAATTTAGGAAATTCTGCTCGAAATAGGCTTAATTTTGTTCTATATTGGTAGCTACGTACAAATTTCCCTCCTCTCCCTGTTCTATCTTTAGATTAAGAACATGCTATAAAGTAAAACGTTTCTATTCCACCAGCTGGATACTCAAGTCCCTCAGTCCAAAACGTTTAGCGAAGGAAGCAAGTCGTCTTTTGTCAGATGCCGAAGTCAGTAAATCAATGAACTTTGTGTGTCGTAAAAACACATTTATTGTTAATCTATAAAGCAGGTATGCATTGCTGACTATTCGCACTAAGAAGAAGAGATTGCACAAAGCGTATTTGCCATACACAAGGATGACGCCAATCTTGACGTCATTAGAGTACGTCTTTTAAACATTCGAGTAAAATATAAGCGCTAAAGAGACCGCGTCTTATAGGAGCGTGCATTTAATCGCTTGCCTAATATCAATAGCCATGTAGAAATCGGCTCAATAATTAAATAGGAATTAGACTTGAACTTGCAACCTTGTAATCACGTGCGTGCCAGAGGACGGGAAACAGCTCTGGATCAAACCAAAAATGGCGTTTATATATCGATGAGGCATTCGTAAGTCGCTTACCCGAACTTGGCTGCATGTAAAATAAAACATTAGCACCCATTACTCGCAAGTGCTTGAAGGTGTGCATTGAGGTAGTGCGCAGCTTGCTCTAAGCGCCCGCCTACACTGGGTAACACTTAAGCTCTTCCCATAATCCGTCTTTTTGTAATCATGTCACTGGGTAATGAATCTTAATGATGATTGGACGTAATTCCTTCGCATTTTCAAGCATCATATGAAGGAGGTTGAGCATATGTCACAGGGACTCGGTGACCCAATACCTGACAAATTTGATAAGTTTACCACCTGAGCAACACGTTCATTAAATAAAACAGCTTAAATTTTGTACTTGGACAGCGGATGTCCGCGTCCGAGGCACGAAGCTATTCACGAGTGCATTCCGTCAGGAAGACTCCGCACGCTTAAAATTAGGCGCTAAATAGAACTGATACCAATCCCTTGACCTGTTCTATTCAGTCGAGGCCAACAAGTATTGGCCCTCCCAACTTCAATGGCACTGCTGCCCGCACTTTCGTACAATGGCTTCAAACCGTGGAACCATGTGAAGAAGTTTAGGCTTCTTGGTCCGAGCGCAAAACGCAAAGTGAATACATATCTATAGTAGGTACTTAGTTCGCAACTTTGAATACTACCTCTAAGCATATCATTCACAGTGACGTCATCCACAGATGTCACCAACTGACGTCATGCAATGACGTCATTCCGCTGACGTCATCCAATGACGTCATTCCCTGACTTCGCCCTTACTGGTACATACCGGTACCCACCGGTACATCGAAGCTTGGTCTTCGACTTGATTCAACACTTGGTGCAGCTTGACGAGGTGTCTTCTTCACAGCCGCCGTCTATCCAACACTCCCTCTCGACTCGTTAGCTGCAGCACCTTGGATCCCAATTCGATCGCGAATGTTTTCAAATTGTACAGCGGCGATCGGCTTGGTCATCGTGTCTGCCAGCATATCTTGAGTCGGGCAATACTCCAAAAAGACTTCGCCCAATTCCACCTTCTCACGCACAAATGGTAGCGTATGTCGATGTGCTTTGTTCTCTTATGGAACTCCGGGTTCTTGGCGAGAGCGATTGATCCTTGGTTGTATTCACATATCTTGATTGCTTCGTCGCTTGCCATCTCACCAAGTTCCCCCAAAAAAACCTTGAGCCATACTGATTCTTTGGTTGCTTCGGAAAGCGCCATGTATTCTTCTTCCGTTGAAGATAGCGCGACCGTCCGTTGTTTCTGGCTTTTCCAGCTGATGCATCCTCCGTTCATCAAGAACACATAGCCGCTTGCACTTCGTCTTGACTCAATGTCGCCGACCCAGTCTGCGTCGGTGTACCCGCATATACGACTACCTTCTTCACGTGTGAACTCAAGACCGTGATTGGTCGTTGCTTGCGGGTATCTTAGCACACGCTTCAAAGCTTGCCAGTGAGTCGGGCATGGGTCGGACGAGAACTGGGATAATGATCCCACTGCAGCAGATGGATCCGGACGTGTGGCGACCATGAGATACATGATGCTTCCGACAGCACTTCGATATGGCACGTTGCACATGGTGTCTTCGCGCTTGCATTCTTGGTCACACATGTTCTTGGTAAGCTTCAGACCGGGATCTTCAGGCGTCTTCACTGGCTTGATGTTATCCATTCCAAACTTGGTCAACACGGACTTGAGAAACTTGGTTTGTCGCGCAGTCATCATTCCAGTCTTACGGTCATTCTTGATCTTCATGCCGAGAAAGTAAATGAGCTCACCGAGATCCGTCATTTCGAAGGGTGTGCTCAGCGCCATCTTGGTCGACTTGAGTAGTTTGTTGTTGTTTCTGGCCAGGATGAGATCATTGACGTAGAGCACCTCAAGAATCATGTCTTGGTTGTCTCGCTTGATGTAGATGCAGTGGTCCAATTCGCACTTCTTGAATCCCATCTTGATCATGAGCCCATCGATCGTTTGGTTCCACATGCGTGGCGATTGCTTCAAGCCGTAGAGCGATCTCTTTATCTTGCACACATTGTCCGGCTGTTTTTCATCCAGGCATCCTGTCGGCTGGTCCACGTAGATGTCTTCGTCGAGGGATCCGTTAAGAAACGCTGTCTTGACGTCCATCTGATGTAGCATTAGGCCGTACTTGGCCGCCATGATGAGCACCACACGAATCGGTGTGAACTTGGCCACTGGTGCGAAAGTTTCTTCGTAGTCAACTCCGAATTTCTAGGAGAATCCTTTGGTCACAAGTCTTGCTTTGAACTGTTCAACTTCGCCATCTCGATTCTCCTTGACACGAAACACCCATCGGCACCCGATGGCCTTGCTACATTTCGGAAGAGGCACGATCTCCCACGTGTCGTTTCTCTGAAGCAAGTCGAACTCCAAGTCACACGCTTCTTTTTACTTGATGGAGTCACTTGATTCCATCGCCGACTTGAATGTAGTCGGCATTTCCCCACTATATTAGCGATGCAGGCTGCTTCAAAATCCATCGCAGCCGCTGACACATGCTCGAGCGACGGACCTCTGTACGTTCTTCGCTTATGACTTGGAATGACGGTAGCTTTCTCAAGTGATTGAGTGCGCGTGTGTCCCTTGATGTTGCTCTTCGAAGACCTGGTGTCTTCGTCGTCATCTTTGATCGGACCACTGCATCTACATCAAGCGAGACAACCAAGACATGATTCTTGAGGTGCTCTACGTCAATGATCTCATCCTGGCCAGAAACAACAACAAACTACTCAAGTCGACCAAGATGGCGCTGAGCACACCCTTCGAAATGACGGACCTCGGTGAGCTCATTTACTTTCTCGGCATGAAGATCAAGAATGACCGTAAGACTGGAATGATGACTGCGCGACAAACCAAGTTTCTCAAGTCCGTGTTGACCAAGTTTGGAATGGATAACATCAAGCCAGTGAAGACGCCTGAAGATCCCGGTCTGAAGCTTACCAAGAACATGTGTGACCAAGAATGCAAGCGCGAAGACACCATGTGCAACGTGCCATATCGAAGTGCTGTCGGAAGCATCATGTATCTCATGGTCGCCACACGTCCGGATCCATCTGCTGCAGTGGGATCATTATCCCAGTTCTCGTCCGACCCATGCCCGACTCACTGGCAAGCTTTGAAGCGTGTGCTAAGATACCTGCAAGCAACGACCAATCACGGTCTTGAGTTCACACGTGAAGAAGGTAGTCGTATATGCGGGTACACCGACGCAGACTGGGTCGGCGACATTGAGTCAAGACGAAGTGCAAGCGGCTATGTGTTCTTGATGAACGGAGGATGCATCAGCTGGAAAAGCCAGAAACAACGGACGGTCGCGCTATCTTCAACGGAAGAAGAATACATGGCGCTTTCCGAAGCAACCAAAGAATCAGTATGGCTCAAGGTTTTTTGGGGGAACTTGGTGAGATGGCAAGCGACGAAGCAATCAAGATATGTGAATACAACCAAGGATCAATCGCTCTCGCCAAGAACCCGGAGTTCCATAAGAGAACAAAGCACATCGACATACGCTACCATTTGTGCGTGAGAAGGTGGAATTGGGCGAAGTCTTTTGGAGTATTGCCCGACTCAAGATATGCTGGCAGACACGATGACCAAGCCGATCGCCGCTGTACAATTTGAAAACATTCGCGATCGAATTGGGATCCAGGTGCTGCAGCTAACGAGTCGAGAGGGAGTGTTGGATAGACGGCGGCTGTGAAGAAGACACCTCGTCAAGCTGCACCAAGTGTTGAATCAAGTCGAAGACCAAGCTTCGATGTACCGGTGGGTACCGGTATGTACCAGTAAGGGCGAAGTCAGGGAATGACGTCATTGGATGACGTCAGCGGAATGACGTCATTGCATGACGTCAGTTGGTGACATCTGTGGATGACGTCACTGTGAATGATATGCTTAGAGGTAGTATTCAAAGTTGCAAACTAAGTACCTACTATAGATATGTATTCACTTTGCGTTTTGCACTCGGACCAAGAAGCCTAAACTTCTTCAGCATTCATCACATCCACACCGATCCCTCGGCTCTAAGTCGGATATTGCGACACCTGACTTGCTGTCAGCTGGCTATCGAATACACCAGACTTATTGGGCTGGTTAGTCTTTTGTGACGCGTTACCAACTGTAAGAAAAACTGGGTAGTTTTGTACAAAGCATCCGTGTCTTTAGTCTATCGCAAAGTCACATCCATTCCGATGTCTTGATCAGAACTAGCGACTGTGCGCGCTCTCCAGTCCATCCACGGTAGCTTCTTACTAACCAATGCATGCCTAGGAGAGGCAATATGGAAATTTTATGCCAGAGAGTCTGAACTTCTCTTTGCACGTAAAGTCACTGACAAAGTAGGCACTTTCACATTAATTTCGTCTAATTTCACTAGCTTACCGCTTGCTAACCAAGCAAACGCATCTTCACGCTTTTGTCTCGGCAAAGCGCCTCATAAATTGTTGCATTTCATCTTAGAGTAGCGATAATTGAAATTTTCTGTGATGCACGCGAATCAATAACAAATGTCATCACGTGGCAATAGCCTCTTCATGATCGCTATATACTAGCATGTTTTACCGGCCACTTGTTTGGTACCTCGGAATATACGCGTCTCATTTTTTATAAGCCATAGAAAATTGGATAGCTTCAGAGTTCCCACCAGTATGGCATCCCGTCCCGTCCTTACAGAGCTAATGCATTTCTCGACCCATATTAAGTCGATGCAATCCGAGAGCCTTGCGCGCTCGTTCTTTGCACCGCCCTATGGCTTAAGAATATTCTTGCTAGACGATTTCGTGCTAGCGCCCGCTTTTGCATAGCATAGAGCCCTTGCATAGCCATACTTGCTGAGATTTAGCATACAATATCTTTGCTGCCAAAATTTGTTATAGTGGATGCAGACCTTTCAGTTGCTGGCTTTTGCCAAGGCCTTGCTGAGGTCCTGTTGTAGGATGGCTCCTCAATTAAAGCAATTTTAATTTCTTATTCCATTGCTAACAGCAGCCTCTAAAATGGACTTTCGCGCTGGGAAATGCCGCAGCCATTTAGAAACGTGGGCACATTAATGTTTTTTTTAATTGTACCTGCACTAATAGATGCCTGCATCTATCGCACCTCCTGCACGTAGCCTTGCAGCGACAGCTGATTACGTCGCGAGCTACTGCGCATGCATGAAGAAACACTCCATCGTTTGGTGGATAATACAGGGCGCGCATCTATATTCTAAAAATTGCCCATGATGAGAATGCTTTACTGTCTACCATAAGTACGGATTAGGCTTATTCAGAGTCCTTACCCCGCAAATGGGACACAGCTTACACTATCGTGTCATAACCTTTCTCGACAAGCTGCGCCACACTTCATTGTGTCGGAAAGACGGCGGCTGTGAAGAAGACACCTCGTCAAGCTGCGTCAAGTGTTGAATCAAGTCGAAGACCAAGCTGTGATGTACCGGTGGGAGCCGGTATGTACCAATAAGGGTGAAGTCAGGAAATGACGTCATTGGATGACGTCAGCGGAATGACGTCAGTGGGTGACGTCAGTGGATGACGTCACTGCGAATAATAGGCTTAGAGGGATATTCAAAGTTGCGAACTAAGTACCTATTATAGATATGTATTCACTTTGTGTTTTGCACTCGGACCAAAAAGTCTAAAGTTCTTCAGGTTATGAGCCCAAGTTCGTCAGAATCTAAAGCCGCCAACAATTCAAGCCTCGCTGCCATGGACGCCTCCTCCCTCCTCATCTCCAAGCTCGATGAAACTAACTTCCACGCCTGGAAGTTCAAGATGCAGATGGAGCTGGAGGAACGGGACCTGTGGGAGGTCGTCAGCGGCGAGATCAAGGCGGAACAGTGCGTGACTCAGTTGGACCAAGCGGCGTACAAGAGGAAGTCGAGAAAGGCGATGGCAGTGATCTGTCTAGCCATGGAAGATTCCCAGCTACCGTTGGTCTGGTCGGCAAGTGGTGCATGTGACGCATGGTCAAGGTTGGAAGACCGCTTCGAGAAGAAGAGTCTTGCCAACAAGATGTTCTTGCGCCGTCGCTTCTTCACGACGATGATGGAAGAAGGCGACAATGTGCTCGAGCATATCAACAAGCTCAAGACGTTGGCGGAACAGCTAGAAATGGTGGGGGCTCCGGTCTGAGAAGACGATCTGGTGATCACACTTCTCGGAAGCCTGAGTGACTCGTATCAATTCTTGATCACAGCATTGGAGTCGCGCTCAGACACTCTTAGCTCGGAGCTCGTGAAGTCTCGACTGCTTCATGAAGAAACGAAGCGGAAGGAGCAAGGAAGTAAAGGTGATGAAGCTTCGCAAGGTCAAGCGTTCATCACAAGGGACAATCAGCGCAAAGGGCTACCAGTGAAGAAGTCCTGGTCGTGCCACAATTGCGGAAAGATTGGTCACCGGGTGGCAGAGTGCCCCTCGCGCATCCAAGAAAACACGGAGAGACACCGGCCACAGCGCTCTCAAGACAGCGGCGACCGTTATCGATCACAACGTGCAAATGTCGCTCAAGAAGAAGACTCGGGCGACTACCTCTTCTCGATCGGTGAAACGACATCTGCGAAATCGAGCGGTATCTGGCTGGTCGACTCCGGGGCGACGCAGCACATGACGTGCTCCAACAAGTTCATGCGGAACTACAAGGTGTTTGACGCTGTGGATGTCCATCTCGCGGATGATGGAATCGTCCAAGCAATCGGAAATGGGGACATTGTCATGTCGACGAAGACACCCCAAGGGATAAAGAAAGGTGTGCTCACAAACGTGTGGCACATCCCGAAGTTATCCAGAAACCTGTTCTCGGTCGGCCGCTTCACCAAGGATGTCGTCCCAGTGACGTTCACAAAGGATGGGTGCTATGGAGAAGCGAAAGGGACCAAGTAGAACATTGGTTCCCGTGAAGATAAATGACTGTTCAAGATGCAAATGACTCCAGTGGCGCCGGAACAAGCAAATGCAGCCAAGTCGTCGGGATGTCAATGGGGCATCACGTCGTACCTCTGGAACCTTCGGCTTGGCCACATAGGTCATGATGGACTCAATTGCATCGTGACGAAGAACATCGGAATTGGCATCGACATATCTTCGGTGAAGAAGTGGGACGTGTGTGAATGTTGTGCTCTAGGAAAACAGACTCGATTGTGCTTCCAATCGAACACTACAGCTCGCACCTCCAAACTGTTCGAAGTGATTCACAGCGACGTATGTGGACCGATGTCGATGGCAACTTTCAGTGGAAAGCGGTACTTCGTGACATTTATCGACGACAAGTCAAGATACTGTGTCGTGTATCTGCTCAAGAGCAAATCTGAAGTTGCGGCGAAGTTCATGGAATACGCTGCGATGGCCGAAACGCAAACCGGAAAGCGCGTGAAGTACTTTCAAAGCGACAATGGGGGAGAGTACAAGTCTGACAAGTTGGTACGATTCTGCGCGGAACGGGAGATACAACAAAGGCTCGCACCCTTAGATACTCCTCAGCTCAACGGAGTAGCTGAGGGAATGAATCGCACGCTGGTTGTGTGTGCGCGCTGTATGATGAAACATGCTGGACTGGGAAAGAGCTACTGGGGTGAAGCAGTGATGACGGCGATGTTTCTTCAAAACCGCTGGGAACACGTGCCATCCACCAAGACAAGTCTCCATATCAAGTGTGGACGATGAAGAAACCGATTCTGGCCAACCTTAAAGTGTTTACATGCCACGCGTACGTTCAAGTGCCCCAAGACAAACGTGCAAAGCTCGACTCCAAGTCATCACTCTGTCGTTTCCTGGGGTACGCCGAACACCAGAAGTCATATCGATTCGAGAAAGTGTCAGCAGGAGCGATCAAGATCAGTCGCGATGCCACGTTCACGGAAGACAAGTTTGATGAAGGTCCGCGCAACTACAACGATGAGTCAAGTGCCGTTGAGTTTGACGATCAAGACGACGACGAAGAAAAAGAAGAACGTAAAACTGACGTCGACATGAAATCGAGCAAAGATGACGACGAAGACACCAGGTCTTCGAAGAGCAACATCAAGAGACACACGCGCACTCAATCACTTGAGAAAGCTACCGTCATTCCAAGTCATAAGCGAAGAACGTACAGAGGTCCGTCGCTCGAGCATGTGTCAGCGGCTGCGATGGATTTTGAAGCAGCCTGCATCGCTAATATAGTGGGGAAATGCCGACTACATTCAAGTCGGCGATGGAATCAAGTGACTCCGTCAAGTAAAAAGAAGCGTGTGACTCGGAGTTCGACTTGCTTCAGAGAAACGACACGTGGGAGATCGTGCCTCTTCCGAAATGTCGCAAGGCCATCGGGTGCCGATGGGTGTTTCGTGTCAAGGAGAATCGAGATGGCGAAGTTGAACAGTTCAAAGCAAGACTTGTGGCCAAAGGATTCTCCTAGAAATTCGGAGTTGACTATGAAGAAACTTTCGCACCAGTGGCCAAGTTCACACCGATTCGTGTGGCGCTCATCATGGCGGCCAAGTACGGCCTAATGCTACATCAGATGGACGTCAAGACAGCGTTTCTTAACGGATCCCTCGACGAAGACATCTACGTGGACCAGCCGACAGGATGCCTGGATGAAAAACAGCCGGACAATGTGTGCAAGATAAAGAGATCGCTCTACGGCTTGAAGCAATCGCCACGCATGTGGAACCAAACGATCGATGGGTTCACGATCAAGATGGGATTCAAGAAGTGCGACTCGAGTTCATGTCGACGTCAGTTTTACGTTCTTCTTTTTCTTCGTCGTCGTCTTGATCGTCAAACTCAACGGCACTTGACTCATCTTTGTAGTTGCGCGGACCTTCATCAAACTTGTCTTCCGTGAACGTGGCATCGCGACTGATCTTGATCGCTCCTGCTGACACTTTCTCGAATCGATATGACTTCTGGTGTTCGGCGTACCCCAGGAAACGACAGAGTGATGACTTGGAGTCGAGCTTTGCACGTTTGTCTTGGGGCACTTGAACGTACGCGTGGCATGTAAACACTTTAAGGTTGGCCAGAATCGGTTTCTTCATCGTCCACACTTGATATGGAGACTTGTCTTGGTGGATGGCACGTGTTGCCAGCGGTTTCGAAGAAACATCGCCGTCATCACTGCTTCACCCCAGTAGCTCTTTCCCAGTCCAGCATGTTTCATCATACAGCGCGCACACACAACCAGCGTGCGATTCATTCCCTCAGCTACTCCGTTGAGCTGAGGAGTATCTAAGGGTGCGAGCCTTTGTTGTATCTCCCGTTCCGCGCAGAATCGTACCAACTTGTCAGACTTGTACTCTCCCCCATTGTCGCTTTGAAAGTACTTCACGCGCTTTCCGGTTTGCGTTTCGGCCATCGCAGCGTATTCCATGAACTTCGCCGCAACTTCAGATTTGCTCTTGAGCAGATACACGACACAGTATCTTGACTTGTCGTCGATAAACGTGACGAAATAGCGCTTGCCACTGAAAGTCGACGTCTGCATCGGGCCGCATACATCGCTGTGAATCACTTCCAACAGTTTGGAGGTGCGAGCTGTAGTGTTCGATTGGAAGCACAATCGAGTCTGTTTTCCTAGAGCACAACATTCACACACGTCCCACTTCTTCACCGAAGATATGTCGATGCCAATTCCGATGTTCTTCGTCACGATGCAATTGAGTCCATCATGACCTATGTGGCCAAGCCGAAGGTTCCAGAGGTACGACGTGGTGCCCCATTGACATCCCGACGACTTGGCTGCATTTGCTTGTTCCGGCGCCACTGGAGTCATTTGCATCTTGAACAGTCATTTATCTTCACGGGAACCAATGTTCTACTTGGTCCCTTTCGCTTCTCCATAGCACCCATCCTTTGTGAACGTCACTGGGACGACATCCTTGGTGAAGCGGCCGACCGAGAACAGGTTTCTGGATAACTTCGGGATGTGCCACACGTTTGTGAGCACACCTTTCTTTATCCCTTGGGGTATCTTCATCGACATGACAATGTCCCCATTTCCGATTGCTTGGACGATTCCATCATCCGCGAGATGGACATCCACAGCGTCAAACACCTTGTAGTTCCGCATGAACTTGTTGGAGCACGTCATGTGCTGCGTCGCCCCGGAGTCGACCAGCCAGATACCGCTCGATTTCGCAGATGTCGTTTCACCGATCGAGAAGAGGTAGTCGCCCGAGTCTTCTTCTTGAGCGACATTTGCACGTTGTGATCGATAACGGTCGCCGCTGTCTTGAGAGCGCTGTGGCCGGTGTCTCTCCGTGTTTTCTTGGATGCGCGAGGGGCACTCTGCCACCCGGTGACCAATCTTTCCGCAATTGTGGCACGACCAGGACTTCTTCACTGGTAGCCCTTTGCGCTGATTGTCCCTTGTGATGAACGCTTGACCTTGCGAAGCTTCATCACCTTTACTTCCTTGCTCCTTCCGCTTCGTTTCTTCATGAAGCAGTCGAGACTTCACGAGCTCCGAGCTAAGAGTGTCTGAGCGCGACTCCAATGCTGTGATCAAGAATTGATACGAGTCACTCAGGCTTCCGAGAAGTGTGATCACCAGATCGTCTTCTCAGACCGGAGCCCCCACCATTTCTAGCTGTTCCGCCAACGTCTTGAGCTTGTTGATATGCTCGAGCACATTGTCGCCTTCTTCCATCATCGTCGTGAAGAAGCGACGGCGCAAGAACATCTTGTTGGCAAGACTCTTCTTCTCGAAGCGGTCTTCCAACCTTGACCATGCGTCACATGCACCACTTGCCGACCAGACCAACGGTAGCTGGGAATCTTCCATGGCTAGACAGATCACTGCCATCGCCTTTCTCGACTTCCTCTTGTACGCCGCTTGGTCCAACTGAGTCACGCACTGTTCCGCCTTGATCTCGCCGCTGACGACCTCCCACAGGTCCCGTTCCTCCAGCTCCATCTGCATCTTGAACTTCCAGGCGTGGAAGTTAGTTTCATCGAGCTTGGAGATGAGAGGAGGGAGGAGGCGTCCATGGCAGCGAGGCTTGAATTGTTGGCGGCTTTAGATTCTGACGAACTTGGGCTCATAACCTGAAGAACTTTAGACTTTTTGGTCCGAGTGCAAAACACAAAGTGAATACATATCTATAATAGGTACTTAGTTCGCAACTTTGAATATCCCTCTAAGCCTATTATTCGCAGTGACGTCATCCACTGACGTCACCCACTGACGTCATTCCGCTGACGTCATCCAATGACGTCATTTCCTGACTTCACCCTTATTGGTACATACCGGCTCCCACCGGTACATCACAGCTTGGTCTTCGACTTGATTCAACACTTGACGCAGCTTGACGAGGTGTCTTCTTCACAGCCTCCGTATTTCCAACACCACTGAGTCCACTACTAATATCAGCTGATTTTATAAATTGTTTCAGTTTGGATTTATACGTTTGGCATGCCGTCTGACCACAAAGGCAGGACTGGTATCGTCGTCTTTGTTGACAGATTGAGCAAAATGGTGCTTTTAGCACTGTGTAGCACCAAGATCTCAGGCAAAAAGCAGATTTCTTGTTCCTTGATCACGTGTATCAACTATGTTGGATGCCTGGGTCCATAGTTTCGGGACCTACGTTTTATGTCAGGGTTTTGGCTCCATGTGCTTAAGCTGCTTGATTATAAGTTTTGCATGTCAACCACCCATCATCCAAAAATCGATGGCCAGACCGAAAGGTCCTATCGTCTTGTGGTGTTTGTGGTGAATGTAATAATGTGTTGAAGTCCATCTCAAAAAATTTCTTTAGTGAGTGTCAATCTTCCACTTGCCCAGACTTGCCGACTCACGGAGGGGGTACTCCGATCCGTGCCTTGCTGTATAACCTTGTGCTCACCTTGTGTACCCGTCGGTTGGGCTGGCTTGAGCTCTTCGTAACGGCCTTGGAGGATGTCGATCTCGCTGATAGTTTGGGTTGAGAGCTCGCTTCCGGTGCTTATATCTTCATACTACGAACAGGGGTTCTGCGATCTTGATTCTCGAGTCGCGGCGATCTCTAGTTAAAGATGTCGTGGTCTCGGTCTCGAATCGCACCGATCTCGATTTGTCTTCGGGATCGGGTTCCTTGCTGTGCGGAAATCTTCACTCAGCAAATAGTAGTCTTGCGTCGATTTTGCCTTGGCATCAGTCCGATCTGGTCTTGGGATCGTCCGATCTTGCTGGAAGTGCGCAATTTGGGCAGATCGGTCCTTGGTTTCGCCAAAATGAAACACGCCAATCTGTCCAGTGGATCGCTTCGATCTTGCTCTGCCTTGTCTTGAACGCCTTGTCTAAATCTTCTGACCACTTGAGCCGTCTCGCGATCTTGTGTCCAAAATCCTTTTCTTTTGTTGCTGCTACCCTATCAGTTGAGTTGAGAGTGAGTACTTGATCGATCCGGGCCAAACTTCTCGAGGTCGCTCTTCCCGGTCTTGGCCAACAATCCAAGATCGGTCTTCTGTGTCCCTGTAACACGCGTGCCTTAACCCGCCGGGGAAGCCAAATCAATCTTGCCTGGAGAAGAGGGGAGGATAACGTGCGTCGTGAGCAGAAGAAGTAGAGTTCAAGTCTGTTTATTAACCAACCAAATTAATAGCCAACCTATCTTTAAGCCTATTCTTAACTATAGGTCACTCTTCAAACCGATATCGCCTTGAATCTGGATCGCCCCCTTGCCACGTGTCGAAATTTCGTGCCCTGTACTCCAATGATAGCGCCAATATTCCCGATACCGTACCTGAACGCCAAAAGAGGACCAAATCCCAAATGGGGTACCAAATACCCATTTAGGTACCCAAAAGCCCAAAATAGTGCCCAAATGCCGAAGGCGTCTAAATCCATTTTGCGACGTCAATTCAACCGGCTTCCACTGGCTCTTTCGATCTGAACTTTTGAGACATCACTCATGGACCTTCAACAAGCATGTTTGTCATGATTCAAAAGTCTCATCAACGATACATCCATAATCAGTGGGGAACATGACCGATCTGATGTCCAATTCGAGATCGTTGAGGATCGACACAGTACAATCCGGCCATATATGTTCTTCCGTTCATTGTGTGTACTTCGATACCATCCCTCAGGGTTTATCTGCTCAATAGGACCATCCACAGTTCTTACAACGGTCCCACGGACTCCCACAAACATCCACACTTCCCGATCGGGCCATAATTAACCTAAATCAGTACTCCCTTTGGGAGATCCGTAGAGAGTCTCACCGATCTGCAGGATGTTGCACCTTCGTCACAGAGTCATGTCACATCACCTGGTCCCAGATCTTTGTCCCAGATCGATCCACGGAAATCGTTCTATTGGTCATCTTGTCCCAGATCGCTCCGTCTCAGGTCGTTCCATACCCATCAGTCTGACGACAGTTGGATCTGATCGCCGATCCTCGTTGAGACTGCCTTCCATCTCCCTATCGGATCGCCAGGTCCCATGGCCTCATTTTCCACCAGTAAGTGGCGTCTCAAATATGTGGCCACCAATCTTCGTACAAAATTTGGATTAGTGACTTTGCCACAACCGCCCCCTGTACTGAAGTCCTTTGTACAGCAATTGACATCAGTGCAGTCACTCATCAACTTCGCTCCAACCACTCAAGTTTGTATCATGGCCTCTCCGACGCATCTCCCCACCTCACCGATCTCTTCAGAAGGCTCCACCATGCCTCTGTCTCCGGATCGCGACCCATCACCCGGTTCGCCCGATCACGGAGGACACACTCCAACGGTCCCAGATCCGCCTGGGTCTCCACGTCATCCAGGTCCCGCCGGATCGCCAACGATCGCCACGGGATCGCCATATCGACGACCGACTAGACCCTCGTTTCCAGCCCGAGACTTGCCGTCTGGATCACCGGATCGCGGGAGGTATGCTCCAATCGTCCCAGATCGACATGAGTCTCTAAGTGATTCCAGTTCGGTTGGATCGCTCTCGATAGTCACGGGATCACCAGATCGCCCGTCTGAGCCGCTCTCGCTTCCCGAACCTCCGGCGACCCTGGGTGCGTTTAGATCCGACACCCTGGCCACTAGTGAGTCTCATGTAGGGTCTGCTTCAACTGCAGACGTCACCGGCCACGTTTCAAGAATTTCTGCCGACGACGTTCGTCTTACGTTGGCTACGATCTCTTATTTATGGGATCGAGAGGCTACCTTCTGCAACCAAGCCGATACCATTCATGCGCTGCAGCAGTCATACCGAGATGCGGTCGCCCGGGGGGATCGCTTGCAAGACGAGATTGATTCTCTGTATAGATCAGCCGCCCTCTTCGTCTCTTTCGTCCAGCGTCGATATGATTGGATGCAAGGCCGTTACGTCAACGCAATACATTCTTTGAGCGACTGTAAACGAGCTCTGCGGACACATCGAGATCAATCAGCGCAGATTCTTCGGCTACGCGCTTTGTTACGTGCCAGTGATGAGGATCAAGGCAGCTTGGAATGGCAGGTGAAAACTTTGAGGGCTCAAGTCCATTCCCTCCAGGCCGAACTCAATTCTCTCCAACAGCAGCGTGACCAGCTGACCTCCGACAGGTCTTTCCTTCACATACACGTTTTGAATTTGAGGGAGGAATTCGATCGGTCTCGGGAGGAGATCGCAGATGGCCTGGCCTCGATCAGCGATCTCGTACAACAATTGGATAGTTTGACTACTCTGGAGGGTCAGTTGGCACTTTCGCAGGTGGAGAACGCCAACCTCCGTCGTCAGCTTGCGGAACACTTCACGGTACACAACCAGTTACAGGTGGCGGAGCAAGATCGTGATCGGGCCATAGCAAAACACCGTGCTATACGTCCTCGTCCTCGACACACTGAACAGTGCTATACTCGGGCCCCGGTCGTCTGCGTTGACCGCTCGACCGACGCCTAGAAGTGCTACTCCGGCTGGATCGCCACCTGTTTTCCGCATCCCAGGGATTGGGATCGCTTGCCCTTAGGCCCAGGTCGAGACCGTCTGGCCCGCCGACCAAGCGTCGGCGTGTTCAGCCAAGGTCCCGATCAGGGATTCTTCCATCACCCGTTCGGCCTCCCGGCTATTGTCGTTGAACCCCTCAACACCTTCCAAGAAACTTCCCAGATTGGCCCCACCCGAGCCTTCATTCAATTCTTCTTCTTCTCCGCCTTCGTCCACGGCTTCTAAGACTGGATCGGGAAGTATGAAGCTGACCGAGTCGGACTCTAGCTCGGATGATCTGACTCGTTCCGTGTTTTCCCACTCGAGATCGACCGCTCGTCGTCAACCTAGATCGAATGTCCGATCTTCGACTCCAGACCCCTCTCCGGCTGCCCAGGCTGCTCCCACTTCATCCGTAGCTACCGCGTTTGATCAAACACTGTCACGTTTGCCACCTCCGGACGTTCCGAAGCCTCGTTATATTCCGTAATCTTCCACTCCAATTGCTGTTGTCCCCGTAATTAAAATTCAAGATGATGGCGACTTAGAAGATGTGGAGGTGTCGCCGACAGGGGAAACACACAGCAAGACTGGCTCTGTTAGTCCGCCCCCTGGGTTCACTGCGGATCGCCATTTGTCCGATAGCGACAATAGCATCACCATTCCGGCGCGCCAAGTGGCAAACAAAGTCCTCTCTCCAGTTGATTTCGGCGATCTTCCACCACTCCAGCAAGCGCGGGATCGGTGGATTCCCAATTATTTGGCACCTTCCCGACGGGTAGCTTCCGAGATTGCTCCTTGGTCAGTTTCGCGGATCGCGATGGTCTGCGTGAGGACCATGACCATTGAGCTGCTGTTTCACCACTACTCCAAGCCCAGGAATTTTCTGTTCTCCTTCCACCCTCATGGGCGAGCTCCGCCTAACGGGGAATTGGTCACCTGGGCTGATCTCGCGGCGACACATCGAGGATCTTAACGCTACAGCTCCTTGGGATAACATCGTGATCCCTGTAAACCCGATATCGTTCGCCATGACTGGATGGTATCGTGATATGGGTCATCGCTACCTGGAGCTTGAGTCCACTCATCGACAAGATATGTGGGAAATCACTCATGCTTTCCTGATCTCCCCGGCCCAACGACGATCTGAACGGTTCATGCAAGCATTCTGGAGCCAACGATAGCAACGCCGATCTCGCTTTGGAGCGCGTTGGAAGAGCTTCTTGAAAATGATACTCAGCGGCATGATTGCTGGCCACTGCGATCTTGACATCTTGCTGGATCCCTTCTTCCTCCACTATTCGCGCCCACATGAAGAGCGAGTTTGGTATCCAGGGTTAGGACATTCTAACGACCCAGCCGACTTGCTAGAGGCATTGAACACGGCAGACCAATAGGATCCTCGGCGCAATCAGTTCCGTAACGCCTATTGGGATCACCCCGGATCGCACGTCCCTCGTTTGCAGGACAAGTTCACGCCTGCTCCATCATCTTAGTCCTAGATCGGTGTCCAAGCCCGATCGTCTTTCATAATCGTGTAAGTCGTTCAATTATCTTCTTTTTGGTACTTCATTCTTTGCAACTTCCACGATCTCGATCCTTCTCGCTTCACATCATTCAGTAAGGTAATTCACTAGACTGTCTCCATACTCACACGCAAACCACCATCCGTCAGCATGTGCTACCTCCTAGCACATCTTTCAACCCTTCCATCCGTATATGCTACCTTCCGCATACTTGTTCGAACTGTTAAGGTTCGTCCGACTTTCCCTAGTGAGACTGCGTCGCTTCGAAACGGTTTCGACTCACTCGGTTCCGCTCAAACTCCTGCAAGATCGCCCCACAACTCAGATCGGCCTCATCTACCCAGCTAAAATCGGGATATCCCTTCCACTTCATCAGAAACTGTCGGTGTACTCGCCCATAACGGGTTTTCCTACCTGATCGCACGTCCAATAGTTCTTCTACTTCGTAATCTCCCTCTTCAAGATCGCTCTCCCAACTGTCTTCTGGTAACAAAGCTTCATCAAAGTCCAAACGATCTGCTTCGTCTATCTTAAGCTGATCCTTCGGCCGTCCAGATTACGTTTTTACCTTCGTCAGCTTCGATAAATGTACGATCGGAAATAGCCGATATGGGGTTCCAGCAATCTCCAATTTTACAGCGTGATCTCCGCATATGTCCGCAACTCGGAATGGACCATGCCACATATGCGCTAGCTTCTTCGCACACCCCTCTTTGGATCGACCCAGGTATAGTCAAACTTGTGTACCTACTTCGATTTCGTGTGGTTCCAGATCTTCATTGTGTCAATCCGCTCGCTCCTGGATCGCGGCTTGTAAATGATCGTTCACTGCAGATCGGGCTCGCTGGTATTGTCTTTGGATTTTGTATCTCCAACTCTTTGGATCGCGATCTCGAGTTCCCGTATTCCCCACTGATAGCGTAGCTTCCAATGTCGATCGCGGGTCCCACCCATGAATCAGATAAAATGGGGTGTCCCCCCGGATCCGACCTTGTGCGGTGTTAATTGCAAATGTGAGCCGCTCAGCATACTCATCCCAGTCTCGTCGATCAACATCAGCCACGTACATCTTAAGTGAATGCGTCAAGGTTTGCACCATCCGTTCGGCTGTTCCATTTGCTTGTGGCCTGTAGGCCATGGTAGCACGCTGTTTCTGTCCTACGATCCGACTGAAGGCTCGAACAAAATCGGACGTAAATCCCGGTTCTCGATCGTGCCTGATAGCCTTGCTAGCTCTGAAGCGTCGAAACACACATTCTTCGTAATTCTCCGCTATTATTTGTGCCGTCCGTGATGAGCTAGCCTTTGCAATCACATATCCCGAGAAGAGGTCCACCCAAATGAGCAGCTCAGTATTCCCCTTGATGGACTTGGGCAACGACGGTATATGATCCATTGCGATGATCTGGAACGGATAGGTTGCTTGCAAGTTGCCCGGGGATCTCCCATGAGTCGTTCCGGTTTTACAGTCAGTGTATTCGCCCACATATCGTTGCACACTCCGACACAGTCCTCTCCAATGGAATCGCGATCTGATCCTCTGACAGGTTCTGCCGATACCCTGATGGCCTCCTTCTAGACTCGTATGATAGTGATGAAAAAACTCCTGCTGCAACGTCTCAGGGATCACCAACCGCATCAAACCATCGCGATCTTCTGACTCTCTTTTCGCAATGGGACAGAAAATAGCAGATCGTTCTCATCTCGTATTCCGGCGCCAGTTTGCGCACATCTTTACTTCTCCCGCGTCCAAGTTTGATACATTGCCACGTAGATACTTCTTGAAATTGACAATCCAACGCTCTTCATCTTGAGCTTGGACAATTCGTTGAATCCTGATCCTCTGTACTATCTCCTCCTGTATCACTTCAGGTTCATGACGTATCCTCCCGGCTGATCTCGTGATCACAGTTATCCGAGCCAGCTGACCATCTTGCTTGGGCTTCAACAATTCATCGAGACGGTTCAGAGTCATCAGATCTTGCCGATCTTCTTCAGCTACAACGGTTCTTCCCTTTTCATTCTGCAATGCTATACTGGCTAGTCGATCTGCGCTCTGATTCCACTCTCGCTTCATATGCAGAAACTCGTGACTAGGCCAAGATCGCAATTTCTCTAACGCTTTATGCTTCAAGAGTTGTAAGCCCGGGGCTTTGCAGTCGATCTCACCGCGCATCTGGCGGATCACCAAATTAGAGTCCCCACAAAAGATTATTCTTCACCTGTCCAGATTGGCCAGTAAGTCGAAGCATAGTAGCAAGCCATGATACTCAGCTTCATTCACGGTGAGGTCGAGAGCGTATCTGGATTCTGCCGCCACGATCGTCCACTCGGGTAACCTCCATATCACAGCACTGTACGACCCTCCTTTATTTTTATCCTCGCCGATCCATCAAAACTGGCCACCAGCAACTCCTCGTCTGCTTCCACCATTGGAAGGGGCGTCGATATTTTGAGTCGGCAGTCCTTTCGGGGGGAAATCGCAATCAGCATCTCTTGCACCTCTTCTCTCGGGGTGATACTCGCAGCTAGCATGCCCAAAATCTCTTCTTCTCCTTTTTCGCACCTCTTCACCTCCATAGTCCAGTTCGACAGCAAAGCAGCCCACCGTCCTAATCTCCCGTTGAGCCCTCGAGATTGCATCAACCACGCTAACGTAGAATGTCGGGTCAGCAAAGTGATCTCCCGCGAAGCAAGCGTAGTATAGCACACATCCAAAACACGAAGTAACGCCAGCACTTCCTTTTCCACCGTTCCGTAGTTAAGCTCATTGGGCTTTAAAGTGCGGCTCGTAAACGTCACCGGATGGTACACGCCATCGTACTCCTGTATCAGGGCCGCTGAAACAGCCCACTTGCTAGCGTAGACCACGATCACTGGAGGGCGATCGGGTTCGAAATGTTTGAGCATGGGAGCTGTAGCTATCTTAGCCTTTAGCAAATTGAAAGCAACCTTGGCTTCCGTCCATCGACCCTCGTTGGAGCATTCGTCTCCTGCTGCAAGCTGAGATCGGCCGATCTCGAAGAAATCCAATTCTCTTAACTCATACAACACCGCGAAATCCTCAATGAAGCGGCGGTAGTAGTTCAAGCTCCTGAGAAAAGATTGCATAGCTCGCAGCGTGCTAGGGAACGGGATGTTGACCAACGACTCCAAGTTTTTGATCTGAGCCTCCAGACCATCCATCGACACTCGATGTCCCAAATAATCGACCTTACGGCACCCCCAAAAACTCTTTGTGAGACTGATGGACAGATTCCACTTATTACATGCCTCCAGCAACCGTTCTAATTTTGTGTACAAAGATTCTCATGACGTGGCTGGTATGAGAATATCGTCAATTTAAGATCGGCGTCCCAGTATAGACGGTCGTCGATCTGTCAGGTTCTCCATCTTTGAACACGTCGATCGGGCCATCAGAGGCTGATCTCTGGCCGATCTTGAGATATCCATACAACGCATTGTCAACCAGATGTTGGTAGATCTGGGGCGCGTTCTTAAGCCCAAAAGGCATTCGCAGCCACTCGAACAAGCCAAACGGCGTGACAAACGCTGAGATCAGTTTTGCTCGTTCAGTCATTTCGACGACCCAGAATCCACTAGCCATGTCTAGCGAACAGTACCAAAGAGCTTTATCCAGATCTTCCAGCAGATCGCTGATCAACGGCATGGGATAAACCATCAGGCGCGTCAGCTGTTTTACTCTTCGATTATCAATGCAAAGGCGAATATACACTCCGTTCTTCTTGATGATTACCACTATCGGAGACGCCCAAGGTGACGTGGATGGCTGAACGAACAGTCCTTTGATGAGATATGACAGCTTTTCCCGATATTTGGGTGCGACCGGACGGACTCTTTGCGCAATTGGTGCGGCTCCACCGACATCGATATCACAAATCGCCCCTCGTTCTGCTGGTGGTAGAGCGTCGCCCTTCCCCATAAGAAGGTGACGGCTCTTCCAAATCAGCGATCTGAGTCTCTGTTGATCTGCGGTAAGAGGAACGTCTGGATCGCCGATCTGATAGTCGTCAATTGTCACTTCTTCCGTAGCAGTGGACATCTCTGGTAACATTGCCAGGTGTTACTCGATGTCTTCGGCAAACAAATCTCCACTCTCGTGATAGTAGACTGGTGCTTCTGCGGAGTAAGCTTTGTCGATCTGAGACGGCTTGTCCTCTTCAGATCTTTGCGTCGCCTTGGACCGATCCAGTCCTGCTCTGTTGTCGGCAAGGTTGACGTCTAATGAAGACAGTCTGTTGCCTTGTTCTTCTCGTTCGGTCCCGTGATCTCTTCTCATCGCGATCTCGGTTTCGATCTCACGATCTTTATCCTTCGACGATAGATTTGTTTCATCGAGTGGATTCGATCCGACTCCGTTGACTGTTCCTTCTCTTGCAACCACAGTATCTGCCTTTTGCAAGTCGTCGTCGCCAGCTTGCTGCGTTACCATGGAGATCGCTGGAGGTATGTCCCTTAACACATCAGACGGACGCTTCATGATGCATTTGGGAGTGACGTAGGTAGAGCGATCTACCAATCGTCCGATCTGCTCTTTTGGGAGTTCATTCACTCGAACCGTCGTAGCTTCATACGCCAGAGTTTGCCACTCCTTGTACTTCCCCAATTCGACCGTCACAAAACCTTGAGTTCGTGGTACCATATCGCCTTCGGTCCACAAGCCTAATATCGTGTGGGTGGGCAGTATGATCTCACGGTCGCCAATGTTGATCATCTGCAGGTATTTCGTCTTACCCAACCCCGAGATCACAGTGGGGACCCAATCTGGTCCTCTAGCGACCCACAACTTCATCTTAGCCCCCCCCCCCGATCCCGATCTTCACTTCTCTTGACTCTCCGACCGGGATAATCACATGTTGGTCCTTCGCCGTTACATGTTGTATCTTCGATCCGTACTCGGGGCGACTTCCTGCGAGATGGATACGGATTTCTTCTGGTAGACAAAGCGCGCCATCAGCTAGATCGAGCCGCACTCCGGCAGGCACCATAAATTCCATGCCCAGAATTGCTTCTTGCCCTGCCGGATCGCCTACCCATACATTGAAATAGTATATCAGCGATCCCGCGAGGATTACTTTGATCTTGGTACGTCCTATCGTCATGTACGGGGTTTCCCCGATCCCGATACATTCTTGTTGTTGACTTTCGTCAATATTGCAACCGACCTTACGAGCAAAGGTGGTGTCAATGATCGACACTTCAGCACCAGAATCAAATAGCAGAGTGGCCTTTTCGTTGTTGATCTTGCCAACAGCTTTCGCCTGTTTAAACCACTTCCCGGGCGAGTAATGTTTCCAGTATTCGCGAGATTCACCATAAGCGAGCTCGATCTCCATAGTTGGTTTAGATCGCGAGTACTCATCAATCCTCTTCAGATGGGACACGAAAGCGACACGTTTTGACCTCGAACGAGATATATTTGTTTCCATCTCCGTATCCTGCTAGCTCTCGCGATCTGTCTTCTTTTTTTCCACGTATGCAATGATGCAGAGCCCAGAACGCTCGGCTCGTACCAGATGCAAACCTGGCGAGCGTTCTAGTTTAACATCTTCTCGGCCTTCTCTGGCAGCATCCCCGCATGCTTATTCGGGACGTAACACTGACGGATCATGTTGTAGAACTCCTCCATAAGACACTTCTCCGAGTCATGCATCTCACCGCAGGCGCGACACACGAAAAAACAATTGTCAGAGGGGTGTCCTTTACGCCCAAATTTCTGGCAAGTGAGCCGCTTCCAGCAACCGAGATCTCCATGCTTGGTCGATCCGCAATGAGTGCACGGCTTCGATGGGGTATTGCGATCTTGATAATCTTGACGAGTGTTCGGGTCGACCGATCTCGCGTTTGCTGCAACGTCATCGGGGGATGCACGCCGATCCGTAGAAGCAGTCACATGGATCGATCTCAATCGATCCTTCAAATACGATCCGCAGGTGTCCGATCCTGAATCGCTGCTGACGTCCTCGGTACGGACCATCCTCACCGCTCGTGCAGGCTTAGAAAACGCTGAACCAGGGTTCCCCTTCTGCCTGAACTTGGACGATCTCATCATCACTTTCCATTGACGCGATCTCCCTTGTTGATATCCATGCAGTGTCTTTTGCATGGCATCCGCATCTTCTACATTCAGCAGTAGCAATTGGTTGGACAGATCGGGGTCGTCCAAGGTGTCAATAAAATGGTTGACATGTTCCTTGCGCGCAGCTGGCAATCCAGTCATCACCATTTTCTAAGCCTGCATTCCCATCACATTAAGCCGATAAAGGCACTACAAAGGATCTTCCTCCGATCGTTTCTTTGCACGGTAATATTGCCGGCTCGCGGACATCTCGTGTCCCGCATATTCCACAAAAAAACTGTTCATCAAATCATTCCAATTAAATCTCGTCGATCTACTCAGCTGTCGGTACTAGTAGCGGGCTGGGCCCACCATGAGATCACCGAAGACCAGACATCTCTCTTCGTCCGGTGCTTGGTCCCGGATAAACGCTGACTTCACTTTGCCGATCCAGGTTCGTGCTTTGTCTTCTTCCCGATCCTTCCCTGAGAATTCTTTCAGCTTATAAATCGCTGAGATTCTGATCCTCTGCGTGATGTTTCCCCCTCCAGTAGTCACACCGGTCGCGGCTACGTGAGGTCGCCGTGGTTCGGGCATCCATAAATCATCCGGGTCGTATTCCGCCCCATGATGGATCTGCTGGTAAGTGTCCGACTCCACCGATTCCATCTCTGCAGCCGGCATGTCATGGCTTTCGTGTGCGGGTTGGAGAAAAGTGCGGCGATCTGGGTGGCAGTTTGGCTGTCGATTCATTCGCTGAGCTGTACGTTGATCCGCCTCGTACTCCTTCATGGCTGAATTGAAGTACCGACTTAGATCGACCTCTTCCTGACCATCCAGCCCAGTATGGGTACCGGCCGATCTCCGTGGCATGTCGCTCCTGGATTGTTTTTCAAAGGCGTCGGTCTTGGCTTGGCCGATCTTGTCCTTTAAGAACCTTCCACCCGATGGTCCCAGAGACATCCGACGAATACTGATGGATCCATCTGACTCGCTTTCGGAGTCATCCGAGCCGTAGTGGGGCGATCCCGCGGGGTGTTTCCGGAGCTAGCCAGAGGGTGTCCAGATCTTGTCTTCAGGAGTATTCGCTTTGCCCACCAGCATTATCATGATCTTTACAAACTCATTCTCCGCGTTCTTCAACCGTTTCAATCTGCAACTTAGCAGTTCGTCTCCATCAAAAGCGTTAGGGCAGACACCCATGTCGTCCAACATCTGCAAAATCAAATTGATCTCGTTGACTTTGTTGGTCCCAGGAGGTGGGACCGAGATCGGCTGATCCAGAGGACCAATCAGCTTGGGCCTTAATATCTTGAACACTGGGTCCGTCTTGAGCAGCGTCTTCAAATGACCGTAATAGTACTGCCATTTCGCACGCTCCCGAGCTTCACCCGTCGTCTCCTTCTCCCTGGACGCGATCTTCATCAGGCTATATTCCGTCTTCGGCATCGCGATCTGACCTGGTGTTTCATCGTATTCCTCTTTGACTCCGATCTTCGATTGCACGGTTCGGCCGATCTGGCGATCTTTGACGTCTGATCCCATCGATCTCGTCGTGGATCGTACCGATGTGGTCGATCTCGCGACTGTGCTCTTCGTCTTGAGGTCGGGCGACCTATCGACTAAGGCATAGGGTTCGGCTTTCGCCGATTTGGTTTTCACCATTGGATTTTCATCCAGCAGATCGCTCTGCAAAGAGCGATCCGCGGTGGCCCCCGAAAGGACCCTAGGAGGGGGTTGACGTTTATCTTCCAGATCGATCTCTCGATCTTCCTCTTTCGTTTTCATTTCGGCAGAGCACCTCCCAACACTCTGATGATCTGAGGATCTTGTGCTTCTGCGTGTCTGCGTCGATCCCTCTGTCGCTGACACGTCAATCCCAGGTTCTTGCTTGATCTTGACATCTTCGCCAGTAGACTCACGGTGAAATCCAGAGGCCTCAGAAGATCCGGGCACGCGCACAATTGTGGTGAAGTCCATCTCAAAAAATTTCTTTTGTGAGTGTCGATCTTCCACTTGCCCAGACTTGCCGACTCACGGAGGGGGTACTCCGATCCGTGCCTTGCTGTATAACCTTGTGCTCACCTTGTGTACCCGTCGGTTGGGCTGGCTTGAGCTCTTCGTAACGGCCTTGGAGGATGTCGATCTCGCTGATAGTTTGGGTTGAGAGCTCGCTTCCGGTGCTTATATCTTCATACTACGAACAGGGGTTCTGCGATCTTGATTCTCGAGTCGCGGCGATCTCTAGTTAAAGATGTCGTGGTCTCGGTCTCGAATCGCACCGATCTCGATTTGTCTTCGGGATCGGGTTCTTTGCTGTGCGCAAATCTTCACTCAGCAAATAGTAGTCTTGCGTCGATTTTGCCTTGGCATCAGTCCGATCTGGTCTTGGGATCGTCCGATCTTGCTGGAAGTGCGCAATTTGGGCAGATCGGTCCTTGGTTTCGCCAAAATGAAACACGCCAATCTGTCCAGTGGATCGCTTCGATCTTGCTCTGCCTTGTCTTGAACGCCTTGTCTAAATCTTCTGACCACTTGAGCCGTCTCGCGATCTTGTGTCCAAAATCCTTTTCTTTTGTTGCTGCTACCCTATCAGTTGAGTTGAGAGTGAGTACTTGATCGATCCGGGCCAAACTTCCCGAGGTCGCTCTTCCCGGTCTTGGCCAACAATCCAAGATCGGTCTTCTGTGTCCTTGTAACACGCGTGCCTTGACCCGCCGGGGAAGCCAAATCAATCTTGCCCGGAGAAGAGGGGAAGAGAACGTGTGTCGTGAGCAGAAGAAGTAGAGTTCGAGTCTGTTTATTAACCAACCAAATTAATAGCCAACCTATCTTTAAGCCTATTCCCAACTGTAGGTCACTCTCCAAGTCGATATCACCTTTAAGCTTGACCGCCCCCTTGAACACGTGTCGAAATTTCATGACCTGTACTCCAAAGATAGCGCCAATATCCCGATATCGTACCTAACCACCGAAAGAGGACTAAATCCCAAATGTGGTACCAGATACCCATTTTTGGTACTAGAGAGCTCAAAATAGTGCCCAAATGCCGCATGCGTCTAAATCCATTTTGCGACGTCAATTTAACCGGCTTCCACCGGCTCTTTCGATCTGAACTTTTGAGACATCACTCATGGACCTTCAATAAGCATGTTTGTCATGATCCAAAAGTCTTATCAACGATATATCCATAATCAGTGGGGAACATGACCGATCTGATGTCCAATTCGTGATCGTTGAGGATCGACACAGTACAATCCGGCCATATATGTTCTTCCGTTCATTGTGTGAACTTCGATACCATCCCTCAGGGTTTATCTGCTCAATGGAACCATCCACAGTTCTTACAACGGTCCCACGGACTCCCACAAACATCCACACTTCCCGATCGGTGTAACGGGGTGAATCGTTACATAACAATTTATAAGAAATTGTTAATAGAATATAACTATAAGAGTTATATTCTCAGAATATTGTCATAAGGACAAATATTCTGTAGCACTTCCAAGTAGTTCCTAATTGGTTGATATAGGCCATTATATCAACCAACGAAGACGCTCCACGACAGACGCACGCAATGAGTGGTGAGCAGATAGTTGATTTACACATTTGTATTTAGACATAGTTAGATGAAGATAAATAGTGATTTATTGCAGACATTAACTATTATAAATACAGTTCTACTTTTTACTCTAACCAAGTACTCGCTTCTTCTTACCGTCTTCCTCTGCACGTACGAGTGTACGTGAAGTTACGAGGCACCGCCTTATTCTGTTATCAGAATAAGTAGCTTGTACTGTCACCAGTACAAGCTTCAGGGTGCCCCGTTACACCTGGTAGCACTTCGTAGTCCGTCCAAGGACCGCGTTCACATCCAACATGAATATGTTGGATGATGAAGATGACCAAAGCTTTCACGCTACGCGTGACGGCTACTCCCATTTGAGCGATGTCGAATGGGATGCGGTTGAACGAATGGGTTCGACCATGGGCATCCATGCTGTTAGCGTCATGCTAGAGGCTCTCAATAGAGACGCCCAACATGCTACTATCGCCAAGTTCATCCAAAATGAACTTGACGCTGAACGCGAGAAAGTAGCCTTGCTTCACCAACAAGGTTCTCAACAAGCAGAGTTGTTGAGAGAACAAGGTGCTCAACAGTTTGAACTGTTGAGACAGCAGCAGGCTGCTGCTGGCGGGTCGATGCACTCGCGTCGGCCCGAGACTTTGAAGATTGACATCTCAAAGTATAGAGGGGTCGAAGAAGACTCCCTCTTGAGATGGTTCGTCGAATTGGATGACGCCATAAGGGCGCGTCGCATCGACGACGGGGATATGCAAGTTGCATTTGCCCAATCAAATCTGGCAGGACGTGCCAAGACTTGGGCACTGGGGCTCAAGCTGCACGACCCATATGCGTTTGGGTCGTTGGAAGTCTTCAAGTCGCGGCTCAGACAAACGTTTGAACCGCCTAGAGCTGAGTTCAGGGCTCGAACCGAACTCTTGAAGCTCAAGCAGGGTAAGCGTGATGTGCACGCTTACGCTCAACATATACGACATCTTACGAGTTGTATAAGTTCCAATCCAGTGGATGAACACACGTTGGTTTCGGTGTTCATGCAGGGTCTTGCGGATGGTCCCGTCAAGACTCACCTGTTCCGGCTTGAACTAGATTCACTAGAACAAGCCATTTCCATTGCGGAGCAGGAAGACTTCAGTCTGAGACAGGCTCGCGCCAGCTCGACATCATATCGTCAACCGAGACGATATGACAACGGAGGTCCAGAGCCGATGGAACTCTGTTATGTAGAGAGCGAGAAGGCTCGCTCTACAGGCTACAAGAAGTCGCAGAGATGCAACAGATGTCAAAAGACAGGACACTACGCTTACGAGTGTAGTGCCCCTCGTCCAGTGTCTCGCGACACTGGGCGTAGTGACCGACCACCCATGAGAAAGGGGCAGGGACGAGGGTCCGCAGTTGGTGCAAAGACGCAACAACGGGATGGACCGTCAAAAAACGGACAGGATCAGTAGGTGCGGAGCACCCTACTGATCCAGCAACGTCAAGAGAATTTGTAGGCCTCTTGATGAAGGTTGCTCCCAACACACAGACATTGTGCGTTGCTACTCTAGGTAATGAGATCTCACTCATTACCTTGAAACTCGAAGTGACGAATAAGTTGTCCCTTCGAGCTCTAGTCGATTGTGGGGCGTCCAACAATTTTGTGCGACGCCAATCGCTAGAAGATGGTCACTTTAAATTCAGTGAATGTGACACACCTCCTACGAGGATGACGGTTCGTCTTGCGACAGGCGCATCCGTAACCGTCATGAAGCGTATAGTGAAGATTCGCTATACGCTAGAAGATACCCAATATGACGATGACTTTATCGTATTGGATTTGGATGACAAATTTGATGTCATCCTTGGAATACCGTGGCTCAGAAGGTACGAACCACGGGTAAACTGGCAACATCGGACAGTAACGATGCCTGCCGCTTGTTCATCAGATGGCCATCTGATGAACGTTTTGGAGCGTCCACAAGCGTGTGGATGTACTACGAGTGAGTGCGATGGCCTCACTTGTGGTACGGTCGTTAGTACGACTGCACAAAACCTTAGTGCACCAAACGGTTACACTTCGGAGCAAAGTTCCGGCGGCTGTGAGGAAACACAGGCTGCGCCGAAGGTCCACCACTCGAATAAGTCGGGTGGACTGGGACAAAGATGTATCCCTAGAGGGGAACATCTAGAAGAGAAACAATCGATCGCTCAGGTTAAGCGAAACGATAATCCTAGATCGACTGGAGAGTCTTTCGTAGAGGATCTCGCTGTGGTTGCGCAACCCCAGCTAGAGGAAGTAAAGGGAATAAGTCCCAAGATTACAAATACGGCGGAAATAAGTTCCCCGAAACCCGCGGGAATAAGTCCCCGGGAAGACGAAGGAATAAGTCCTTCGAAG